GCATATTGGATTTTCCAATTGGACACGGTAGCTCCTAAGGGTTTGAATGAGTACAATCCTAATTCTATGTTTCTTTAAAGCATGTTTTTTCGTCATTTATTTTAGACATAACAGTTTGACTTAGAGTAGAATCATAAATGTTTTTATTTCTTTATTCCTAATTGTTGGTATGCATGTGTTATATCCAAATATTGGATATATTATGCTCTATCCAAATATTGGATACATAGTTTAATTTAGTAATAATTGTCCCTTGTCTAAATATACAGCTAGGCATATTATGTTGGTTTATAGATCACTTCAGTCTATTCGATCTATATCTGTATTAATGGTTCAGTAATTATGTAGAGCCAGGTGCTAGATGCCTTAATAGTGGATTTTGATGCTAACTTTTCACCTTTGGTCAATATGCTGTATGATACATACTATTTTTGTTAACTTGTATGTGATTCGATTTATTTAGGTCACATATGTTACATGCATTGAATTATTTCTATTTGTATATTATAGGATCATGTATCCGTTTGCATGAACACTTTGGTGACTTATTATATCCATGTGGCTTTATAGATAGGTCATAGTATACTATTACAGGAGGTCACACTCAGATGCACTTACTATCCACCTCACGTTTGTTTTCACCTGTATATTTGTCTACTTGCTCACTCATTTTCACATTGTGTTCAGTACATCTGAGTACCCTATACTCCGATATGGATGTTCACAACATCATTTATTATACAGTAAAAACAATCCTCCTTACACAGTATTTGTATACTATTTTAATTCACAGCACATAATTTCACAAGGTGCTTAATTCACATCACGATGTATTTCAGCACTATTTACAGCGCGTAACACTGGGAAAACACATAGCGTTGTTTGTGTATACGTTGCTTAGCAATGCCGTTTAACACACACGTCATCACGTTTGTCACTTGGTGCCGCCGGTGATCTTCCGTGTTTCGGACAGCTAGCAGATCTCTCACACACTGATTTGGTAAGTTATCACTGTTATTTTCTTATATATTCTTATCACTTACACTGCATTATTGAACTTGAAAAAGACCCTATAGGGGTCGAAACGTTGATCAGGAATTATTTGATTTTGCACAACTAAATAAAAAACTTTGGAACAAGACCTGTGAGTGCACCTTTTACCTTTTTGTTTATATATATATATATATATATATATATATATATATAGAGAGAGAGATACACAGATATATATATACACATACATAAATGATTACATAAGTATACACGTAGACTTTAAATATATATATTAAAATTCTACGTGTATATTTAAGTAATCTTTTAACATAATTATGTGATTTAATTAAAATTTGATAGACATGCCTGACAACCCAGGCAGAAAGTGCAGAGAATGTAATTTGCAAGCACTATATTTAACCCCGTAACTTTCCAAGAACCCATAAAAACTGTACATATGGGGGGGGGGATACTGTTTTACACGGGAGACTTCGCTAAACACAAATATTAGAGTTTCAAAATGATGATATTTTCAGTAAAATTTTAAGTTTTGCATTTTTCACACACGATCGGCACTTTTACTGACTATATTATTGTTGTAATATGTGTAACTGTTTTGAAACACTTATGTTTGTGTTCAGTGAAGTCTCCCAAGTATAACAGTACCCCCCATGTACAGCTTTTATGGTATTTTGGAAAGTTAGAGAGTCAAATATAAGACTTGCCTTTCATTTTTTTCACACTGAAATTTGCCAGTTTGGTAATGTTGCCTTTGGAACAGTATGGTAGCCCAGGAATGAAAATGGCATACTATTTGCAAAAGTATACAACCCAAGGTATTGCAAATGGGGTATGGCTAGTCATTTTTAGCAGCCACTTCACACAAAAACAAATACGAATGCTAACTTTGGCTACTAAAAAAAGACTGGACATACCCCACTTGCAATACCTTGGGTTGGGTTGCGTACTTTGGCTAATGGTGTGCCATCATGGGGGTATTTCTCATTCCTCAGCTACCACGCGGTCTCAAAGGCAACATTACTAATCTGGCAAATTTTAATGTGAAAAAAATGAAAAATGGAATATGCTATATTTGACCCTGTAACTTTCCAAAACCCTGTAAAATCTGTTAATGGGGGGTACTGTTGTACTCGTGAGACTTTGCTGAATACACATATGTGCATTTTATTGCAGCCAACAGTATTATGACATATACATCTAAAATTTCAGGCAGAACTACAATTTAAAAATAAAAATAAAAAAAAAATCTTAATTTCTCAGTTTTTATTTTTTTTATTTTATTCATAATCAATAAGGTTTAATATATGAATAGTTCATGTGAAATTAAAGCCCTGTTTCTCCTGAACAAAACAATATATAATAAGTTTGGGTGCACTTAATATGAAAGAGGTGAATTACGGTTGAACAAACATAGCGCAAATTCCAGTTTTTGTTTTGATCAGAACGTGTACTATTGCCCCCGTCCTGAAGGGGTTAACAGATATATAGCACAAATTCAAGGTTGTGTTTACGTTTTGTTTTGATCTGAACTTGTACAACTTCCTCAGTCCTTAAGGGGTTAAAGGGGTTTGCTTTATTGTTTACAAAAAATAAGCACATGATCATGTCACTATAACATTTACCGATAGGAACTACACCATTCCATACTGCATCCATAACTTCAACAGGAAAGCAGTTTTCACTGGCAATCGCTAAATTTCTTAAAATTTAAGGGAATCATTGACAAGTTTGGAGGGAGGGGGGTATAAAAATCATGCTGTACCATGCCACTTTCCCTTATACACAGTCCCAAATGATCCTGATCCTATTCTTTGCCCAACTGTGATTTGCCCATCTGCAATTTCCCAATCGTCACTGGAATCTCGACGTCCGAGTGTCTTCTGCAAAATATCAATAGGAGGGATTTAGGGTTTATGTAATGTTCTTAGAGGACAAAGTACAAACAAATGTGCAAGATTTCATGCTCCACTCACCATACGATTCCGGTCTTCAGTGGAGGAAGAGGAGGACTTACGCTCTCTCTGTTGCCCGGGGGATTTCTGTAGTGATTTGACATTTGTAAGGGATCCAGGAAGAGAGGCTGGGGGTGTTGCAGAGAGGCCAGGAGTTGAAACTGGAAAAAAGTTAAAGAGTAAAGTAACTGAAGTAGTATATTGAAGCAGTATCCAAAAAAAATAACTAAATAAAAAGCACAGAATATATTTTGAGAAGCTAACACTACTGACTATTATGGGATAGACTGCTAGTATTCCCCCAGCACTCTTAGCCAATCACAGCTTTCCTTGTTGGATGCAATTGACATGGATAATGTGCAAGTATTAATTCTGCATTATTAATACAGCAGTGGAAGGGGCAGTCTCCAGGTGCTGTTAAACCAGGGCATGACACAGTTATACTCCAGGCAATATAACCACTATTGTGAGCTGCTGTATATGTAGCTTAGAGTGTCCCTTTAAGCTCAGCAGAAGCCGGGCAAGACTAAGCTCAGCAGAAGCCGGGCAAGACTAAGCTCAGCAGAAGCCGGGCAAGACTAAGCTCAGCAGAAGCCGGGCAAGACTAAGCTCAGCAGAAGCAGGGCAAGACTAAGCTCAGCAGAAGCAGGGCAAGACTAAGCTCAGCAGAAGCAAAGATGTACTAGGATCTAGCTATCATGTTTAGTAGTAGAAAAGACAATGGGTTAGATCACTAAATTCTAAGAAGAAAAACTGGAAAGGTTGACAAGAGGAAAAAAAAAAATGCTTTTTTTTGTAACACTTAAAATATTCTGCATGCATATGTATTTGCACAAATAAATAACTATTGTTCCACTAATGTGTTCTAGTATTCTAAACTTCTAAAAACTTGATTGCACTTAGATGACTTTTGAGGCTTACATGCCATCTGGCGATATATTGAATACACAGATGTGTATTTACTTGATCTAACATTTAGTTTCATGTGTATTACTTCAGCAACAACTTTCATATCTTTAATAATTTATTTTTTATTTTAAAGTTGAACAAAAGATTTACTGAAGTCTTACTTTGTATAAATTTAGTAATGTAATTAGTTTTTCTATATATAAAAAAAAAATGTACATTTTTAAAAAGGCAAACAGGCCTTCTAATGAGATTTGAACAAATTCAGATTAAAGCAGGACATCTGAAAATGTTTTATACATATCACAAAGTTAAATAAAAAGGTCTACATAAACTGTGCATAATCATAGAATGTATGTTATTTTAACATTTTAAAACAGTTTATACTAAAAACCTGTTTCCAATTAAAGTTTAGGCATCTGACACAAATTTCTCAACAGAAGATAGAAGAAGTCTATTGGTCTTTATTAATTCTGCACAGGTTCAAAGACGTTAGAAGATTTACAACATTACAGAGCAAGCAGTTTATTCGTATGAAACCAGGTGCATGAAATTGCTTCATTGTTTTAAAACAATGTTTATTTGGTTCATTATATAAATGTGTGTGTGTGTGTCATATATATTTACAGGTCCAATTTCATCAATGATTAATCTAATGATACAATAATTTGCACAAAGTTCCCTAAAGTACCCAGAATTCCAATTTATTTAGTTTGTTGTACAAAGAAACTGGCATGCAATGAGGGAAAAAAGAAAAATAGAAAAAATAAAGTACATAGGTGGTGGCAGGCTACACAAAAGTAAACAAAGATTACCTTCGACAAAACTAAAACGTGAGTTCTAAAATTCTACAGCATAATGTCATGCACAAGTACAAGCATGATAAGTGTTAAGAAAAAACACACACACACACACACACAAAACGCACAAAATACAGCTTCTTAAACAAAAATATTAGAATTAGCATGGCCTGTGTCGTGCATAATTCTACAAGTGGCCAAAGCAGGGCACATACTGTACCAGTGACTTTAGTATTTAGTTTTGATGGGGGAAGGTGATATAAACAGCCCAACTACCTCTGCAAACGGGGTCAGGCTCAAAATCAAAGACTATTTCACTGGGGACAGTGTGTAGGAGTGGGCTGGGGTTCCGAGAGTGGTATTTCCGAAGGCAGCGGGTCGCCTGGACCGAGGGGGCTGCAGGAGAAACACAGGCATAAAAAAAATAAAATAAAAAATAAAAAAAAGGGAATGGAAGGGGGAGAAGAATGGATGGAGAGAGAGAATAGAAAGGGGAATAAAATGTAATAGTGGGAGGGCATAATTAGGAAGACAAATCAGCAAGAGATATTCCCATATACAGACATCTAATTAGCAATTTTATGGGGGAGCTTACTTGAGGGCCATGCTTTCAAATTTAATGGCTGAATAAAACAAAAATATGGAAAATAAATTTGACCAATGCACAGAGACATTACAGAATGTATATAATCTCATTATGTGGACAGTTTGTTCCTGCATAGTTTCCCTGAAATCACTTATATATGAAAAGCTGAAAACCATGGCCATAACTGGGATATTTGCGGGCTAAAACAAAAGTACGTCAGACTGAAGTTTGCCACTAAAACACCATCAACAGTTTAAGATATATAAAAATCAGGGCTCAAAATTTCCACATGACCCTCAGTCATTGGATATTGAAAGTTTAGCTATCACAAGTAGAAATTCACTCATGGGAGTGTGCCATGGACCCTCTAGGCTTGCAGTTGTGAGTGACCTTTAAGCCTCACTAGTAATACAGTACTTGAAATTTTGAGCCCTGAAATAATTAAATAGTGTTTTGTACAAAAGAACTGATTTTCTTCCCCACAATTATTAACAAATCTTAAATGAGTGCAAGGCATTTTGAATGTAACCAAGTTTAATAATTTAGCAAGGTGAGAGTTTATTTTTTTTAAATGCTGATAAAGCAAATTTTGGGACTGTGCATCAATGTCACTTACCTCCCTCACTGCGCTGAAGGCCAGGGTCTCGAATCAAGTCCTAAACAACAAGAGAGAAATTAGTGGGCATTCGACTCAGGAATATATTGCTACTTCAAATCTTCAGTTAAAGCTGTTTACAAAGCTTCACAACACCATCATGACTCAATGATCTGGTAGATGCTTTTTTTCCCTCAGAGCAGCTGAAACCAAACAAGTAGAAGGTCGATTGCCAGTCAGCCCGGAACTCTACTTATAACAGCTTGCTGCTACATCATTATATTTGCAGTGTTTCAAAGTGAAATACGACACATACAGACTCAATGCACCATGACCACTTCCAGTCACTCACTTGGAGTAACTCTTTAATTGATGCCATTAAAATAGCAATATGAATCTGTACAATCACAGCAATGTGCTAAAAGGAAACACAAATCAATATGCCTAGTTAACTAAAAATCTGAATATTCGTAAATACCGAATGGCTACACAGAGGTAAAAATCAGCTGATCTCAAAAGATTCTCCAGATCAGTAATAGTCATGGCAGCAACTTACAAACAAATAATCCTGTTTCTTTTGTCAAATATTAAAATGTCTGAGTGGCAGGTCAAGTTTTCATACAAATACAATTTAAGGCAGAATGAAAAACCCAAACCGTATAACTGTTCTTACATCTATGTTGACTGGTTCAATGGTATTTATGTGCACATTTGGAGCAGAGGACGAACGATCCCGCTGGCCAAACTGATTTCGGTGATCTTCGTCTGCTGGTCGGAAAGGCTGAGGAATGGGTATAGACTTGGAGGGAGAATTACTTGGGAGGCTTAGATGCCTGAGAGGAATCAAAACACAAGATAATGAAAATAAACTGCAATGGGTATATTAAATAATTTTTGCACTTGAAATGCAGAGGACCAAAAAACAAAAACTAATTTGATAAAATTATTTACAGGCTGCTTAATATCTACATACTTCCCTGCTGCACTTTACAGTTTAAATTCTAAACACAGCCTCAGCTGGATCTTATTGTACCCAATTCTAAAACACTTTCTATTGCACCTTCGGTCCCCAATCCAAAACACACCCTTGGCGCCAGCATAGGTGTGTTTTGGATTGGACTTTATTGTTTACTTTATTGAACGGACCCGCAGTCACACTATTCAACTGAAGAATCCAGATCTTCCTAGACAAAATGCTAAATAATGGGACTCTAAACGTGGGTCTCCAACGAGTTATTTAACATTTTCATCATGGTCTACCTTGTTACCCTATGCAACAATTAAAAAAAAGAAATTCTATTAAACTCTTACTAATCCATATAAATGTGTTTATCATTTTATTTTTTTAAGATTAATTTGTAACTTTTATTTAACCCGTAGCCTGACGGAAACTTTATATTGCAAACAGACAAAATATATAGGTTTGTAGAATATATGTAATCGGTCTTCTTTCCCACTTTACTGTTGCATTTAGTCAAACAAAGAACCATCAGAAACAATCACAACAGCTCTGTGTAGTTATGTTCCATACTGTATTTGGGCTGTGTTCTCCCTGTTTATGTCAAATATATTCAGAATCCATGATTGTATCACAAGTACTATTTAAAATTCAAAATTCAGCAGAATTGCAATCCTTTCAACCACAATTAAAAATAAATAACGAGCTTGCTGTACTCGCGACTTATGCATCATCTGGAGACAAGAAAGAATTTGGAAACCTTGACTGTAGTTAGCAAAAATTAATTGCAGCTTAAAGAACAAACAAATATTCTGGGTGGTCCAAATATCTGTTTGGCTTGGTGAAAAGATGAGCTGAAGTTTGTGTTGTCTGAATTGTATCTGCTGCAAACACAAAGGACAGCAAATAAACCACAGCCAAATCTTACCCAGCGGTATATGGAGGGGGTGAAGGTGAACTGGATTCAACAGCTGGAGTGACCTCTTCAAAAGGAACTTCCTCCTGAGGTATTGGGTGGTGTTCAAAGAACTTGGAGACAAACAGCAAACTAGGAAGTAAAAAGCAAATTAAAATAAGAAACCGTGTATAACCCACGGCAACACCTTGCACAAGAAAATATATAGTTTCATTACATAGCAATTGCATAGGTTAAAGAGGAAACAGCCAGCCACTACCAAATTAAAGAAAAACATGAGAGGAAAACTAAATGAGGATTAAATTTTTTTTTATTTTTTTTTTAAAAGGTGGCTAACCTTTGGGGTCGTTGTGAATGCTCCCCCTATACCACACACCCTTTGTGACATGGTGTAGGTTAAAAAAGTAGCAGGTGCCATCAGCTATCTCTCTATCCAACAGTGTAATGAGTCATCCAATCTGTAGGGTTCACTGGGACACTGCAAACTGGAGTATAGGAATTGGAAATACCATTGACGTAACACTTGCAACCCAATCAGAACAAGAGAGGTTGGATTCAGACAGCTTAAAAGGAACACACATGTATTCCTAATGTGAATTCTTAATATTACCCTACAGGGTAGCGTTGAGGCTAGTGCGTATGCGCAACAAAACATTGCACTGTGCCAGTTAAGTGTTGTCTGTCAGAAGGATTTGATTGAACAGCCACTAGAGGCTCTTCTGCTGCAATAAGAGTCAGACTGTCAGGAAGAAAGACACTCTAGAGGTGTGTTGACCGTGAAATGAAAACATTGCTGTTTCTACAAAAGGGCAATGTCTTAAATTGTAGGGTTATATTGACAGGACGTGCGTCATTGAGTTGAAGTAGCTTGGTGCCTTCAATGTCATGACCAAAACAAAATATTGATAGGTTTGTTCAAATATAATTTACCTTTTTTGTAATAAACACAAACCAATATGTGCATAAGATATTTTTCTAGCAATTAGCGCAACTAAAGAAAATACATAAAAATGTATTTGCTCTGCTTTTGGAAAGGCCCCATAGGTATAGTAATTTTAGATTTGGTGTGAGGGGTCCCACATTTCAAGGAGTTGAGTACCAATTTAAATATAACATTTCAAAATGTAATGTGTAGGTATTGTAGAAGTGTGTAAAAGTAGATGAACATACACAAATCTCCCCCTAAGCCATTTAGCGGACCTCTGACAGACCATGGGGCCTGTTACATAGCTGCAGCTGTTATGTGCGTCTGAGCACACACACAGTGATCAAGCACTGATCTCAGTGCTGAGACAGGTGTCTGATCACAGTGTTCTCAGATACACAGGGGGTTACTGGAAGATCCTGTCAGGGTTTCAGGATTCTGGGGGTGGTGTCTAGTGCCTGGCAACATCGATGAGGTCACAGAGACATGGCTGAACGGGAGAGTTCAGCATTCTGTTTTAATGTGATGTGGCACTGCCCACTTTAATCGCTTGTCACTTCATATTAGTTATTAAAGGTGGTTCCCTACTGAGAGAGCACAGCTTCTGGAACCGATTAATAACCTGGTGTCGAAAAAAAAAAGAAAAAACAAAAAAAGAAAGTGTTTTAGATACCAAAAACACCTAACTGCACAACTGTGTTTTCTGTAGGATGCACTATACAGCTAGTAGATTTTTACAGTGAATCACAGAAATGTGTTGAAGTGTGGAGTATATTACCCAGAAAGCTGTGAAAGCATCGGAAATGGATGTCTTTTTTTTTTTTTAATGAGTGCTCATCAGTGAAAGCTGCAAATTCTACGTTTCTTTGTGTGTGTTCTAATTTTTTTTTTTTTTTTTTGGTAATGCTATCAATGCATTAATAGCTTAAATCGACTTTCATAAAAACTAAAGCAACTCAACTTGTTTTTTTTAAACTTAGTATAAGTCTATATAAAATATCCATGGGCAATGTGAGTATGCTTCACCTTCATGCAGATTAACAAAACTTTATTCATATACTAAATTGTCATGAGATGTGGAAATAAACAAACAAAAAACAAAAAAAAACAAACACACACTACAAAAACCTTGAAAAACAGACCAACATAGCAGTTTTCAATTCTTTTGCATCCCAAATTATTTTCATGTCAGCACATTCAGTAAATATGACCCCTAGGGAAATACTTAAAAACTATCATTAAATATTATGCCCACAATTCTTTTATGGTTTTAATTAATGAAGCCGTAACACACTAAACAAAATTAGACTTGGGCAAAACACTTACTAGAATGCTTTGTTGAACTTACTCGAGTCGGTCGTAATTTACACACATAAGAGGAACTTCAGTGCTACATCGCTGGTGAAACTTGTAACCACATGTCTGGCAACGAAAACCCTGGAAAAGAAGCTTCCGGCAAAAATCGCAGAACGCCAAAGTGAAGAAAGTTTTCCGTACCTAATAAAAGCAGAGACAGCTTTGTATGTAGGACAGATCCAAAAATACTACATAGTATTTTTTTTTTTATTTATTTTTTTTTAAAGACATTTTTATGACAAACTAGTATTCCTCATGGGAGGCACAATATTGGAATGTAACAAATGTGACAAATCTAGAACAACTAGGGATGATAAATATAAAGAAACTCACATGTTCTATGCAGATAAAATGTGTGAAAAAGTAAAGAGACAGGGAATGGTCTTTTCATACATTCACAGAAGCATAACATTTCCATTATTAGAGTTATTCACTAAAGTGAGAATTCAATTTGAATTTTAGATTCAAGGTAAAAATAGCCAAACTGGAAAAAAATTTCACAGTCCTAGATGCTTCCAGTTTGGTTATTTTGCCTCTGAAAAAAAAAAAAAAAATATTTCTAGATGTAGATCACATGCAACAAACATTACTTTAATACTTCCAATTTATTTCATAAATAGTGGACCTAAGATCAACCTCAACACAAAAAGGTTTTGCCAGCTAGCACATGAAAATGAAGATGTATAGAAAGGAATGGCACTGTAGGCAATGAAAAAAAAAAAAATAGTTACCTGCGCTCTCTCCTTAATCCCTATGTATATTTAAACAAATGGAGGTCATTTAGTTACTCCAATGGCCACTGGAGGGAATGCCTGCCTGCCAACGTAACTAAATGACCTCCATTTGTTTAAATATACATAGGGATTAAGGAGAGAGCGCAGGTAACTTTTCCTTTGGTTTTTACTATATGTATTAGCTGATGTGTACTGTAGTCATTGCTGCCGCCCAGGAGTGATGGGAGTGAGCGCAAGACTTTTCTTTTTGTATTAATAAAATAAAATTTACACAATCTGGAGTTACCAAATCTTCAGATGCAGAATACAGAGGATCAGGCATTTAAGTGCTGTCTTAAGGTTGTTTTATGCCCAAGAGCCAATTATGGTGAGTGAAACTAATCTGCATGCATTACCCTACCAACCGGACTAAAGGATTGGACGCCCCCTAACTGCAAGCTTCACAGTGTTTAGGCACTAATTATGACCAGGCATCATCTGAATTTGTATAAGAAAGGATTAGCCAGAGGATTTCCAAGCACTTTTACCCAAAAAGATGTACAATATCATTCATGCAAATAAATACACAAAAAAGGTGTAGACGTTCTGCTCATTCATAACAGTTGTTTTCAAAATACAACAAATATACTTAAAGCAAATGTTCAGAGAAAAGTACTGCGATCATTAAAGAAACTCAAACAGGCCGTCTAAACATGACAAACAGAACTACTTGCTGCAGTACTGGTTACGGCGCCATTAAGCTGTGGATGTCATCCCCCTCAGTTCTCCCTTAAAATATTTGACCAAATACAGAAGTCATTTGGGAACTTGCATGCTGGCTCCCTGCTTGCCTAATACAAATGTACGCGTTCCATGTCGGCATCAGAAAAATTAAATTAGGCCATGTTTTGACTTAATGGGCCAATGATGGCAGATGGCATAATCAGCCAATCCTAGCATAAACATGTGGCTGAAACATATTACTAAAGTGTAAACTGAACTTCTGCATTAGCATTATGGTGAGCAGGTGGCATGGGTTGCAGGTAATCCATTAAACATCTTGAATATGGTTTTAGTCAGAACTTGGGGGGGGAGCAGCATCCACATCTTAACTGCTTCATAAGCACTACAGTGGCATAAAAGTGGTTAGTGTGTTTAGACTACCAATTTTAGTAAACATAAGTGGTATTACTGTAATTGACGGACTTCAGTTTTTGATCAATATATGAAAAAGTGGTTTCTCTTTAACAATAAAAACTAAAAAGCCACATGTGGTTGCATTATACCTACAAAATTATGTGTTGTGAGGGGTACATTCTCCAAAACTTCCACGTGCAATTCTTCACCAGTAAGCCAGCTGATGTCTGTATCCCAGCCTATAGGTTTCTTCTCACTGTCAAGAACATTAACACGAATACTATTAAAATATGTACACACATACATTATGGTAATTGTTCTTGTGCGTATAGCACGTTCCTGCAGGAATTTTTTAGTATCCTTTTCATTGGTACTAGAAGTATCAAATAAAATGTTCACTTTATGAAGCAGTTTTGGTGACAACATCATACCTCTGCAGTCTCCCTGCTCAATTTTCTGCAATAAGGAATTAAATTGCTTTTGTTTCCGTTTATACAACCCTAGCAATTAATGACAGCCTGCATGAGAAAATAGTTTCATTTTCATATGAGATTTACTTTAGAAGAGACAATAAAGTCACCAGAACTCCAGCTTAATGTTCTGGAGTGTATAGCACACTCCTGTGTTTTCCTTTATGTGTTTTCCTGTGTTTTCCCTTTGTTTACTTTACTGCCTAGGAACACCCCTAGTGGCAGTCAGACTTTGTTGCAAAGTGTGTAGAAATGATCACGGAGATGTTGAACACTCCCCATAGAGATGCACTGATTCAATGCATATCTATAAGGAGATGCTGATTGGCGAAATGACCTGCATTTTGCTGCAGATGTGCAATAGCCTCCCAATGCTTTCCATTGGGAAAGCATTGTATTGGCTGAGAACGTCACCTTTCTTGATCTCATCCATAGAGGTGGAGCCAGTCTCGGCGAATCCAGCTCAGCAAAGGGAAAAATTAAACCAAAAAAACCCCATAAGTTTTACACCTTTTTAAAGTAAGGAGAGCAGGGCCAGGGCCTTAAAGGTGATTTTAAAACTATAGTGTCAAGAATACATATTTGTATTCCTGACACTATAGTGTTCCTTTAACTACACACTGGAGCTTCGTGAAGGCCATTAACAGAGCAGGAGATCGGAAAATCTAACAGATTGTGCAAAAAAAGTTTCACCTTTAGATCTCTTTACAGTAAATGTGTAGGGAAACCGTGCAGGTCACATGCTAGGTAGGTGTGACTAGTGCTGTATAAATAAATAAATTTAACTCAAATGGTAGATAATCAAGCCGTAAGACTACAGAGGCATGACCTATAACCAAAATCACAACATCATGCTAAAGTTTAAACACAAAGACAATATGCATAACAACCTTAATAAAAATAGAATGGAAATAAATTGTTTAACATTTACCCATTAATTAACCCACCCCCTCTCCTTGTTAGAAAAAAAAAAACAAAAACAAAAAAAATAAAAAACCCAAAAAACACATTACTATGATTGCTTTATCTAGGAAAAACAAAACCAACAATCTTACCCTTCCTGGTCCCTATATACTGCACAACATTCTGGAATCAGCCCCCGCATCATCAATGCTTTCTTTAGGCTGTCCCGCACAGTAACACCACATCTGGCAGGCACCTAGACAAAGAACAATGAATTGGTGTAGTCCTGTCAATCTTAAATTTAACAAAACTAAAATAATATTTGGAGGTGCGGGGGGGCGTAAATCAAATAAACCTAAAGTAAAAAGGAATATGTTCACTTGACAACTTTTTTTGGGGGGGCATGGGGGGGACATATGGGCATGTTTGTATGTACGTATGTATGTAGGGCCCGGGAAGCTTTAACTATTACGCTCAGTTCTATTTCCATGAGTTATGTCATCATAGTTACATAGATGAGACATGCATCCATCAAGTTCAGCTTTTCTCACATCTCATGTCCTTTACAATTCTTGTAGCATTACATTAATACTTCACCAAATAATCTATAAAGCACATTGTAGAAGTAGAGAATTAAGCAGAAACTTAAAGAGAAGTTATGAGAATTACACACAATTTTAAAAACCCTCAATTTGCATTTGAGGAAAAAGAAGTGGATAATTGGGCATTACTGAATTGGAAGACAAAACAGTAACTAGGAAAAACAGCCACTACATTTTTAAATACAATGTAACTAGAGAAAAAAAAATAAAAAAAAATTCTATGTTACTTAAAAAAAAAAAAAAGAAAAAGAAAGCAACCGCACCCTGAGAGTTCTGCAAATATCTCAAGAAACTATTTGTGGTATTTCAAAAAGTTCCATATACTGTGGAGAATTGCAAATAAATTTACAAAGGTGGCAAAACATGGATGAAGGACATTCATTTCGCATATCAAGCAGCATCTTACAATCTGGAATATTTATAAATAGCAAATAGTCTCTGAGGTAATTTTGGAGCTATAACAGATTCTCGCTCTTTTAAAGGAGATGTGCTCACCACTGTGCGTTGTTTGTTAGGTAGGAAGACTCTAACAATAGGTTTCTGAGGTGATTTTGGTGCCATGCGTGACAGATCAGACGGGGGCTGCAGCGCTGACAGTGTTGGTGGTGGAGGCGGCAGGGGAAGTGGAAGGGTGTCTGAGGACAGAGAGGAGCAGTCTGACCCATTGCCCATGGACTCCAGCAGCTGTTGCTCCCTTTTTTGTAGGGCATCTAGTTTGCTTGTGTATTCTTCATAAGCCTGCAGGGAAACGATAAAACACAAAAACAATGAGAAAATAACCTTGCTAAAGGTTGTTTCAAAAGAGGCACACTCGTTTCACTGAGAAGCAGAGATGGGCATGGCCCATCAAAAAATATATAAAAAAAAACAAAAAGGCTGGTGAATGATGGCTACGGAGATAATTAAAGGCCCACTATAGTGCCAGGAAAACGAGTGGGGCTCTGGGGAGAGGAAGGGGTTAAAATCTTACCTTTCTCCAGCGCCGGGCGGGGAGCTCTCCTCTCCTCCTTCATAGCAATGTCATCGGCTGAATGTGCATGCAAGGCAGGAGCCGCGCGCGCAGCCAGCCAGTTCATAGGAAAGCATTTACAATGCTTTCCTATGGACGCTGGCGTCTTCTCACTGATTTTCACAGTGAGAAGCACGCAAGCGCCTCTAGCGGCTGTCAATGAGACAGCCACTAGAGGATTTGGAGGATGGATTAACCCTAACATAAACATATCAGTTTCTCTGAAACTGCTAGGTTTATAAAAAAAAAAAAAAAAGGTTAACCCTAGCTGGACCAGGCACCCAGACCACTTCATTAAGCTGAAGTGGTCTGGGTGCCTATAGTGGTCATTTAAAGGAGGAAAGAGGTGGTTTAGCATTTTATAAACAGCTGAGAAGGGGTTTGGGGTCATTAGCTAGCTAAGGAGGGTCCAGGACCATTCACTGCCAAGATGCATATTGAGAACATTAATGTCCTGAAAATAACACTCTTGTCAAGTTTATGTGAAAACACAGGACTAAGTTTATAAGCTGCCCAGTGCAGTTTAAAACAAAAAGAAAAGAAAAGAAAAAGAAAATTGAAGATGATTCTATTGTGCTCTTTAGTAGCTCATTTAATTTACTCTGTAAATGCATACCATTTGCAAATGTTGACACTGTGGTACTCACATGATATTCTGAGCTTTGTAGAGTTTTGTTTTAATTTTTGTTGCTTATTTATTTTTAAATATTAAGCGTCCAAATGTCATAACATTATCTTAACTGTACTCCACAACATCTCCTGAACAGAACAAAACACCATTTACATTTGGAACAAAGCAATTGGTAATCCTAAACCAAATCCAAATCCCAAATAGAACCCTAATCATAAACCTCACCCTAATCCAGTGACACCATAAATTGTTTCTGGACTACATTTCCCATGATGCTCAGCTAGCTTTTAGAGTCAAGGTTAGCCAGCACTGCTAATCCATACACAAATCATATGCCTAACCATAACACTAGCCCTAGTAGTACTGTAGGAGGATCCTCTCTGCTGTTATCAGCTTGCTTGCCCTAGTTTGAACCTAATCCGAATATAAATTCCATCTCTAATCCTAAACCAAATACCTCTCCTAAATCTGTAATCTTAATACTTAATCCCTTACTCTTAAACCCTAATCCAAAGGGTTTTCTTCTGCTAATATTAACCAGCTAAGTGAAAAAAGGTGATCATTATTTGGGAGACTGGAAAAAATACATTGTTGGGGGAAAACAAAATATTGATCGCAAAGGTCACAAAATTAATTGAAAGAATAAAAATGTCTATCCTATTCATTGGATATCTTATAGCACAATTATAATCGTTAAACTGACACTCTACACAACATAACCTTTACATATTCCATGGGTGATGCTGCAAGTGCCCCACTGTCTTTGCACATATTGGCTTATATGGACATTGATTTTCCCCTTCCTCCAAATAAATTAATCTGGAGCTATAAACCTGACCATTTTTCTAGGACAGGGATAGGCAACCTTCAGCACGCCAGATGTTGTGGACTACATCCTCCACAATGCTTTTGCACCCATAATGCTGGCAAAGCATCATGGGAGGTGTAGTCCAAAAGTTCTGGACCCGGTTTGCTCTATTGGCCATACAAATAGGATGCAGATGTGTGGCTTTCAAAATACCCATCCCCTCTCTGGTGCTTTCTCAGCATTCCAAATGTAGCTGTGCACAAGCAAAGATGAGCTGTACAGGCAAAGTATGGATAGGGCTCAAAATGTTCTGATCACTACAATATGTACTTCTACTGATCAGACTTGTGAAACTCCTTTTGAGGGCCAAGCGAACCGAAATATCAGTTCCCATTGAGTAGATTGAGTGTCTCCCAAGATGTGATCTGGGAAGTGCACTCTGCAGCTGCTTGACTGTAGGGTATCAACCTAAATATTTAGCATTTTCTTAATGTCCGTTAAAATGAAGATATGGTAAACAAGAATGCATGAGCTATTGTAAAGATCTATTAAGAAGAAAATGACACTAACCACTTTGATAAGATTATACGACTGCAGAAAAGTAAGTGAGGAACTTCAATTCGTAACGGTCTAATAGTAAGAGGGTGCAGTCAGTTGCAATATTTGAGAACAAATCCTACAGGAGAGAATTATGCATATTTCTGTGATTTCACTAGTTTTTTGTTTTTTTTTGAGTTTCATAGACCATGTACACGGATATTCCATGGCAAGGCAAAAATAGCTATCAACATGTATCTACCTTGGTTCAACACTTTCAGTGTTGAAGCCGGACTTATGGCTCTGGCAGATGGGGGGAAAAAAAATCAATAAAAATCATCTTGCCGATTCAAAATTATACATAGATGCTATGCTTGTTAAACTATTGTGAAGAATGGATGGTCCATTGCTTGTTCTACAGCCTCAATCCTGTTCCCTTGTGGTGTAGGGAATGGAAGGAACTGTCCTTCCTCTTCTAGACCACACAGTTTTATGTCTCTACCCACATCCTACTTTTCCTAACCGCTGCTATAAATTTAGAAAATGATAGGTTGTCATTCAGAGGATATGGTTAGAAAGAGGGGCAACCAGTTTCTATTTCTGGTGTGAAGCTATGCCCTTCGAAGACGAGCACAGAAGAGTAAGACATTCTACATCAATTAAACCATGAAATATTTAGAAAAATTATAGTCTCTGTGCAGTAAAAGAAACGTTTCCAGTTCCTAAGTTTCAAAATAATGTATTTTTTTTGGTTCATGAATGTGCCATAAAAGCTGTACATCTGCTTGTTTGGAATTTGTGAGTTAGGGTTGACAATCATATGTTTTTGTTTAACCAACAATGCTTTCCAAATCATAGCCTTAAACCACACACACAAATTAGCAAATTGAGGATTATTCATGGCTGACCGGATACTAGACTGGTGTGATCCAATTCTTGTCCAATCTTTGTATGAAAACGGTTTAATACTTTGATATATGTGCTTTACCAAAACACTTCATAGTACCTTAGCTTTCTATGGTGATTTAAGTAATTGCTCAAATATTATACTGCTGTTTTTTCCTTCCCCTCTCTTTTCCTTTCCTTTTTTTTTTTTTTTTTAAAATATACAATATGTTGGAAAAAAGAATATATAATATTTAATTAAATACAAACAAACCCCACACACAAAGTGTCAGCACTCTGCATGTATATAGTCTATGGATCAACAAATATTTTTCCAGAGTTATTGGTCGCCTCTGGCTGATTACTGATATCCACTGCTAATATTCTGTGCATTTAGTTTTGAGGAAAAAAAATAAAAACCACTAACCTGGTACTAACTGAAGCAATCACACTCCTATCACTCACAGGCAGCATGCACATTAAAGTAGATTAATGACGCTCTATACCTCCCTACCTTCAGCTGAGCTCTACATGCCTGGACTCACAGGGACAAGTGACGTACAGTCGCAATGTGGCGACTCATTGGCTGGAGTCGAAGGATGCTTGATTGTTACTTTTGCTAGCAATACACACTAGCATTGATCAAGCAAATACTTCACGTTTTAGAAATGCAGACACATGACGTCGGAGATATTTGAATTTAAAAATTTGTTGATACCCTAAACAAAAAAAACAAAAAAAACTGCCAATCTGTTAGTTTAAAAAAGTCCTGGTTCCCCCAATAAATTGCACTGCATACAATCAAATTACAGTGGTCTAGGTGCAGTGTCTGTCACTTTGCAAGAGGATGCCGGTTTTCAAAATCACCATAGGAAAGTGTATTAAAAAAATAAAAAAAAATAAAAAAGTGCTTTAAACCCTATATACACCATGTTGTGCCATTTTAAGGGTAGTAGATAGGGTGAGGGAATTAAGGGAGGGGGGAAACAAAACAACTCACCAGGGGAGGCAGGTATAAATCATGCAAGAAAGGAAGGCGAGTGGGTCGGGAGGTAGAGCCCTGCAAGGTAGAAGCTCACTACCTCCGTTGCCAGCATTCAGTACTCTCGGACGACTGACGTTTTTTTATATTGGGCAGGCAAGGTTACCTAAGGCATGTGTGCCAGTGGTGCAGCTAGCCTCTGGTACAGAAGATTGACATTTTGCATAGGTTCCTGAATTGTTCTTATGTTTTAGTCACCCTGAACCCATCATAGGTGCAGGTTGTGTGTAATGTGACTGTTTATTGTTTAATATGTTATGTGCACTCCTGTCCTGCGGATTCTCTTAACCAACAGGTGGCTTTGGCTGTGGAGCCTGTACAACGCCAGCTGTTGATTGTGAGGATCTTGAAACTGTTATATGGACTACCTGAATAGCAGGTATATCTTCAGGTTAAGTTGCATATTCAGGTAGATTTGCATATTGCTAATTCTGCAGGCAGGAAACATATTTCATGTTAATTATGGCCCTCCTCACTCGTTTAGAAGCATGTAATTACGTTTTTATAAGTTCCTGTATGTTGTCTGATATGATTTGTTTATTAGTATATTATTGAAGCAGTCACAGTAATTTAAGTGTAAAGACAATATGGGCTATTCCTAAAGGGACACTGTAGTCACTATAAGCATTTCATCTCTTTGAATTGGTTATAGTGCCTGAAGTACACTGGCACTGTCCCTCCATTCAGTGTTGCACCATGTTTGTGCAGTATGCCACAAAATAAGAGTCCCTGGCCACCCAAAGTCCGGCCCCTTCAGTATGTGTAGCTAAGGCAGAGATTACACACTTCCTTGTTGTCATACCCACTCATACCGTCAGTTGGAACTCTGACAGGCTAAAAGCAGTCAGCTGACACTCTCAGCCAATCACAGCTGCCCATTTCTGCTCAGGCTAATACTTCCTTATTAGCCAAAGCAGCACAGAGGGGATGGATTGCCAGGGACTCTTGTTTAGCATTAAAACTTTAAAAACGGTTTAATGCTGATAGAAATGATGGGACCAGAAGACTCCAGACACTATAACCAGTTTAATGAGATGAAGCAGATAAAGTGCCTACGGTGTCCCTTTAAGTAAAAATATAGCGGTGTATGTTCGTTCCTTTTGGAATGATGTGTACTTTGTAGATTTGTCCAGGAATTGCAGTAACAGAGTCTTCAGACCTGTAGGCTTGCTGCTTGATCCCTGTAGCCTGGGATAAGTCAAAACAAGAGCTAGGCCTGAGTGCCACAAGTGACTTTGTAAAGTCAGTAGGCAATCACATTACAAGCAGAGGTATGGCAACCTGCCTGAAAGTAGCACTGCAGAGGAATAGGCAGAGGGGACGATAACCGCCAGGAACGAGAGAGCTGCAGTCTGGTTGGGTGGAAGAGCTCCAGAGTTACATGTGGCAGCTGGGAAGCTCACTGGTCGGAGGTGCTCTATCACACTAACAATCATAGATATACCTCTTTTGGTAGATCTTGTTTTGACAAGTGCATCACAGCTTAAGTGAAGACGGGATTTGACTGATAAGTGCAAGCACATAAACAAAACAAAAAAAAACCTCCCCAAACACTCAGTTTATTATTATAGTATAGAGAAAAAGATCTTCAAATAGAATGTGCAATAAGCTACTCCCATCAACTAGAAGCAAGAGACGTACAAGTTGGGTTTCAATATTTCTAAAATCATTCAAGCAAAACATTAAAAAAATAAATATGTTTATGTCCCTAGAGCACTTGATTTGGTCTTTACCAATTTTCATTATACTCTGACTTATGAGTCTATAGCACCCTTTTATTTGTTAGAGTTTTATTTACATGGTGCTAGCAGCACCTTCTAGCCTTCAGAAAAATAATTTCGCAGACTTGACAATAAAATGATTGCAAAAGATCTATTTCCCTTTAAAACATAAGAAGTTTGTCAAGTCTACTAATTTAAAACATGATGCAATAAAACTGCTGCATAGAAATTAGTTTACACCAGTGACTCAGATATTTAGTAAAATATAAACACTAGTTTTTTAAGATAGTTTTTGCATAAAAGGTACTCCTAGCAAGCCAATTAAAATGTACAAACAGGACACTTGACTAATGGGGAGAAGAATATGCAAAGGAGGTAAACTGCTTAGGGAAATAAGAAAAAAAAAAAAAAAAAAAGACAGATCTGGCTGTGTGTTTGGGGAGGTCATACCTGCTGTTTATAACAAGTGTCTGCTCCAGTTTACACAACACAAGAGAGAGTAACTCAAGGACAGTGAAATATTGGACGGGTTACAACATCAGTTTTTTTTTCTGGATGGTAAACAGATGGAGAGCCAGCCTGGCTATGGAAAAGAACATTTTCCCTGCCGTGTACTGGCACAGCTCAGACACTGCACATCAGGAAAAAAAACAAAAACTGTAATGCTAAATTAAAACTGGGTGAAAAGTAAAACCACAACACAAATTTTGGGAATAAAATGTTAATGCAGATTTAAAACATTAAGTGTTAACTAAAGCTTTTTGTGTAAGTGCATTAACTTTAACCCCTTAAGGAAACGTAAACAAAACCTGGCATTTGCGCTATAGGTCTGTCCAACTGTAATTCACCTCTTTAATATTAAATGCACACACATTATATATCATTTTATTCAGGGGAAACAGGGCTTTCATTTAACATCAAATATTTAGGTATGGAACATAATTAAATATGAATAAAATATAACAAAATGGGAGAAAATTAGATTTTTTAAAAAATTTTTAGTTCTATGTGACATTTTAACTGTGAATGTCAAAATACTGTTTGCTTTTACTGCAAAAAACCAAAACACACATATTTGTATTTAGCGATGTCTCACGTGTAAAACAGTACCCCCCATTAGGGGGGTGACAACCTGGGGGGCCCACGTGTAGCGGCGGAAGTGCACCGGGGCCTATCGGGTGGCCCATGCACTTAGGGCCACCCGATGGGCCCTATATCTTCAGGGGCCTGGTCAGCGTTATGGCCATGGTATAGCGTGACCGGGCCGCAAAAAAAAGCAGCCACAACTCACTCCGCGCGGGAGGACCGCAAGCCAGGCAGTGAGGGAGAGCCGTGTCGACTACTCCCATCAGCCCCAGTCACCCTCCTGCAAAGAAAAGGTAAACAGGAGGGTGGCTGGAAAATGAGCTCTCTGTGTGTGTATGCATGCATGCATGCGTGCGTGTATGCATGCATGTCTGTCAGTATGAATGTAAAAAAAAAAACTAATTTGAACGCCAATTTTGGCCAGTGTTTGTGACTAAGTGGCTACTAAAAAAGACTGAACACATCCCATTTGCAATACCTTGGGTTGTCTACTATTGCAAATGGTATGCCATCATGGGGGTAATTCTTACGGTCTCAAAGGCAACGTAACTAATCTGGCGAATTTCAATGTGAAAAAACTGAAACGCAAGCCTTATATTTGACTCTGTAACTTTTGAAAACACCATAAAACCTGTACATGAGAGGTACTGTTATACTCAGGAGACTTTGCTGAACACAAATATTTGTGTTCAAAACAGTAAAAAGTATTACAGCAATAATATCGTCAGTGTATCATCGTTGTAATACATTTTACGGTTTTGAAACACAAAATATTTGTGTTCAGTAATGTCTCCCGAGTAAAACCGTACCCCCCCCGTAGAGGTTTTATGGTCTCTTGGAAAGTTATAGGGTTAAAAATAGTGCTAGCAAATTCAATTCCCTATACTTTCGGCCTGGGTTGTCAGGCAGGTCCCGCAAATTGTAATTAATAAAAAGCACCTAATTATGTAAAATTATTACACATTATATAAATATATGTAAAAAAATTATTTATTGAGATATATATATATATATATATATATATACACACACACACACACACACACACACACACAAAAAATATGTCAAACCCCTGCACTCCAATAAAAAGATATATTTTACCTGGTGCTCTGGTAGCTCAATTGTAGAAAGACCGGCACTCAAGGAGTTTTAACAGCTTTTACTGTGTAAAGATAAATCAACGTTTCAGCTCCACTAGGGAGCTTTCATCAGGTATGTCCTGATGAAAGCTCCCTAGTGGAGCTAAAACGTTGATTTATCTTTACACAGTAAAAGCTGTTAAAACTCCTTGAGTGCACATATATATATATACACATACATATACACACATACATACACACACACACACGAAAGTCCTGGACTGCACTCACAGTCTTTAGAATAAGAAATTTTTTTACTCCATAAATGAAAGAGAAATATATATATATATATATATATAAAAATTACAGTTAGAACGAACTTACACACATTTTTGAATTATTTAACGGATTTAAATATTTTATTTTTTATTAAATATATATTTATCAATATCATTCTACGTGTATTTTGAGAGATATATAGATATTACACACACACACAGATCATATATATAATATATATGACCTAAGTATATTTTATTTGTAACTGTAATTTATTTTATTTTTAATATTTTATTTTTAACAGGAGAGGGGCAAAGACAGTGTCAGCCAGTGATTTCACATCACTGGCTGACACACAGGATCAGTGATCACAGTGTCTGGATGTCACTAATCACCTCCTGCAGATTGCGGTCACTGGCCGCAGGGTGACTGCCTGGGGGGCCAGGTATGTCCCCCGACAGCGATCTGCAGCTGTAAAATGTTGCGGCTCCATGTATCAGTCGATTTTAAAATCGTCTGACACATGGTAATTACCGATCGCAGGGACAGCCTGTCACTGCGATCAGAGGCTGCATGGGGGCCCAGGCATGCCCCCGCCCACGATCTGCAGCGGGGTAATGCCGCAGGCCACGTGACGTAAACTTGGAATTTGACTACATGTCTGTTCAACCGTAATTCACCTCTTTCATATTAAGTGCACACACACTTATTATATATCATTTTATTCAGGAGAAACAGGGCTTTCATTTAACATCAAATATTTAGCTATGAACGAATTTAATAATAAATAAAATATTTTTTAAAAAGTGAGAAATTAAGAAATTATTTTTTAGTTCATTTTAACTGTGAATGTCACAATAATGTTTGCTTTTACTGCAATAAAGTACACATTTGCATTCAGTGATGTCTCACGTGTAAAACAGTACCCCCTATGTACAGGTTTTATGGTGTTTTAGGAAGTTACAAGGTCAAATATAGCATGTTACATTTTTCATTTTTTTACATTGAAATTCACCAGGTTTGTTACATTGCCTTTGAGACTTTATGGTAGCCTAGGAATGAGAATTACCCCCATGATGGCATACCATTTGCATAGTAGTGCATTGCAAATGGGGTATGTCCAGTCTTTTTTTTTTTAGTAGCCACTTGGTCACAAAGACTGGCCAAAGCCAGCGTTAATATTTGTTTGCAAATGCAAAAAAAACAAAAAAACAAAAAACAATCTGAATGCCAATTTTGGCCAGTGTTTGTGACTAAGGGGCTACTAAAAAAGACTGGACATACACCATTTGCAATACCTTGGATTGTCTACTTTTGCAAATAGTATGCCATCACGGGGGGTAATTCTCATTCCTGGGCTACCATCCGATCTCAAAGGCAACGTAACTAATCTGGCGAATTTTGGTTTTGAAACACAAATATTTGTGTTCTGCGAAGTCTCCAGAGTAACATTACCCCTATGTACAGGTTTTATGGTGTCTTGGAAAGTTACAGGGTTAAATATAGTGCTAGCAAATTAAATTCTCTGGATTTTCAAGAGAGTCCCGCAAATTGTAATAAAATGACTTAATTATGTACAAATATTACATACATATATCTATGTATATAGATATATATTTCGTTCTAAGTGTATTTTGACATACACACACACACCCCAAAATACCGTTAAAACAAAATTACACATTATTTTTTATTTTTCATGTATATATTTAATATTCTAAGTGTATTTTGATAAATACACACACACACACACACACACACACACACACACACACACACACACTTTATTAAAATTTTTCTTTAGGCAGCAGCTGTCACTGCTATGGACAGCTATTCTGTCCATGTGAGGTCCTCGTGATCACATGGCCCAGGAGGGCTGGATCGGCAGCAAAGGAGACTCCCTGTGATGTCAGGTAAGTCCCCCTATCGCAATTGCTGGCAAGCAGGTAAGTGGGAAGGACGGCGTGGACGTGCTATGCCATCCGCTGGTGTTTAGAGCCGGGTCCCCAAGGACAGCATAGCACGCCGGCCGTCCTTAAGGGGTTAACTACTTTAGAACCACATGGCTATCAATTCCGTTACGCAGTGCAGGCTTTACTGTCCAGTGACTGCATAAAAAGTCATGCAGTCAAGGTACCAGCAGGGGTAAAAAATATAACAGCTTTCCCCCTCATGCTGAACTGACAGTACAGAGTGCTCACTGAGCCCTCTGTACTGTGTGAGCAAAGAAACCGCTCTGCTGATGTCAGTACTATTATTAACAGAGGGAATACTTTGAGAGGTGGGATAAGGTGAAAAGGTATACATGGTGGAAATCAATGAAGTCGAGAACAAACAGAATACAGATATGCAGTGTTTGCCGTAGTGGGACACAAGTAGGAATTTTGACCTAGGTTTGTGATAAAATGGTTAAATGAAAATGGTCAGTATGCTCATACGTTTAGAATCCAAATGAAATTAGTTTTGGTAGTTAATGATAACCCTATAGCAACCATACCACTAACAGTGTGCTTACTCTACCCTACCCTAACCTTACCCTAGCCCAACTGAGATGGGTTACATTGACAAAGTCAGTGCTCTGTACGGTGTGACTGCAGTCCTGCTGCAGCTCCTACCTGCTGTCCTTGCCAATCATGCACTGATTAGTAGTGGGCAGTTGGTAAAGCAGAGCTCAAGCACTGTTGGCAGGGGAGCCATGCAAGGAATACAATGCAGGGTGTTTTCAGAGGTACGCTTAGCGCAGCATGCTGAGAATCACCATGACGTGCGCGTGAGCCAATGACTTAACGGTCAGTTTAAATATAGGCAAGAAACGAGTACTAGCCCAGTTTACAGTTAAAACAACTTTTAATATGCAATATATAAAAATGTTGTACACAAGAATCAAACCCCTCCTCCCCCCCAAAAAAAACCTCACTAAAACAAAGTATATACACAAGTGTGTATAGAGGTTGTAATTAACCATCTTTACTGCATATTACAGAGCCAGCAGCAGTAGGCATCACCGCTTAAAGGACCACTATAGTGCCAGGAAAACACTTGTTTTCCTGGCACTATAGTGCCCTGAGGGTGCCCCCACCTGGCTCTGGAAGGGGGAAAGTGGGTAAAACTTACCTTTTTCCAGCGCTGGGCGGAGAGCTCTCCTCCTCCGATCCTCCTCTTCATCGGCTGAATGTGCGCGCATTCAGCCGGTCACATAGGAAAGCATTCCTAATGCTTTCCTATTGACGCTGGCATGCTCTCACTGTGAAAATCACAGTGAGAAGCACGCAAGCGCCTCTAGTGGCTGTCAATGAGACAGCCACTAGAGGAAATAGGGGAAGGCTTAACCCATTCATAAACATAGCAGTTTCTCTGAAACTGCTATGTTTATGAAAAAATGGGTTAACCCTAGAAGGACCAGGCACCCAGACCACTTCATTAAGCTGAAGTGGTCTGGGTGCCTAGAGTGGTCCTTTAACTAAAAATGGCAAATTATATCGTAACAATGTTTGACTATGTCTCACATGTTGACTACAAGTATAAACTTATGGTCAAAAACAAAGGTTGCCAAGGCTGTGTAGTTTAAAATAGTGTTTAAGGCCAATGTCCTACAACTTAGAATCTATAAGGGGCAATTTAATGTTGAAAAGATTAGTTTAGAAAAGGCTATTTATCTGCAGCAACAAATATTGGTTAGCTATAGCTGTTGCCCTCAAGTCAGGGACACATTTTATACAGTCAGTTATAAGGTAACACTTATTAAAACACCTATAAGGTAAAATTATAACTAAGCTGTGCCTTCTAGGGCACCTGAACAGTCAAAAAGATTAACTAGCTAGCAGTAACTAATGAGCATACTCTACCTTTAAGTATAGAGAGAGAAAAAAAAAAAAAGTTGTAAAGGTCATGATGAGAAACACTCAATATACGTGAGACCTTATAGAGAATCACAAAGGTCTATAAAGGGTTTTGTCGGTCAGGCAGGGGGATCAGGGTCTAGGGATAAAGGGAGTTTAAATAGCCCGCCCCCGTAAGATTGACAAATAAGCCAATTGAAAAGTGGAAAAACACCTCTAGGGAGAAGGATACAAGTAGTTGTGCCGGTTTTTAATCGGGACATGATCGTTGAGATAAGCTTAATTGGGAGGAGACCGTATAAATCCACTTGAGTAAATTGATATACCCCTCAAGAGACAACCGAGACAGTCAATACATTGTTGTAATATAATTAAACGGATACAATGTTGCTATTTTTTTAGTTCAGCAGTGATGCCTACTGCTGCTGGCTCTAATCTGCAGTATAGAGTAACTTACGATCTCTGTACATACTTTAGTTTATTGAGGGTTGTTTTTTTTTTTTCTGATTCTTGTGCACGATATGTTCATATATTACATGTTAAAAAGTACATTTTTTAACTTTGAACTACTTACGAGTTTGGATTAGTATTAGTTTCTTCTCTATATTTAAAATGACCAGTGATCATACATTTTATAATTGTGCGCCTTCTTTTGTGCTTTCAGTAACGGTCAGTGTGACAAACAACCCAAGTCCCCATCCACATGTCTATGTGTTTCCAGTATGTTGTCCACCAAGAGACTATTTTCACTACCCATGGCTCCCATCATTTTCCCCTCCAGGCCAACTAAGAGTGCCCTTTCCCCTAACTGTATCTGGAGTCTAGAAAGCTAAAAGACTCCAGTGTGACTTATTCCCAATTATTCTGAAACTCCGGTCTGATTGCAGATAACCTCAAACCCAGGCCAGCTTTCACCCCTGTTTTCACCTACTTCCCTAGCAACTACAGTGAGGAAAATAAATAAATAAAGTATTTGATCCCCTGCTGATTTGCCTCTGACAAATGATCAGTCTATAATTTTAATGGTAGGTATATTTTAACAGTGAGAGACAGAACACATTTTTTTTTCCAGAAAAACGCATGTCAAAAAAGTTATAAGTATTTGATCCCCTATCAATCATACATACATAGGGGAAACGGTTTTACTCGGGAGATTTCGCTGAACTCAAATATTAGTGTTTCAAAATGATTAATTGTATTACAACGATGATATTTTAAGTAAAAGTGACTTTTTTTTGCATTTTTTACAAACGAACGGCACTTTTATGGATTATATATTGTAATATGTTTTACTGTTTTAAAACACTAATATTTGTGTTCAGTGTAGTCTCCCAAGAATAACAGTACCCCCCATGTACAGGTTTTATGGGGTTTTGGAAAGTTAGAGAGTCACATATAAGGCTTGCATTTCATTTTTTTTGACATTGAAATTTGACAGATTGGTTATGTTGCCTTTGAGAGCGTATGGTGTCCCAGGAATGAGAATTACCCCTATGATGGCATACCATTTGCAAAATTAGACAACCCAAGGTATTGCAAGTGGGGTATGTCCAGTCTTTCTTAGTAGCCACTTAGTCACAAACACTGGCCAAATATTAGTTTTTTGCTTTTTTCACACAAAAACAAATATGAACGCTAACTTTGGCCAGTGTTTGTGACTAAGTGGCTACTAAAAAAAAAAAAAGACTAAACATACCCCACTTAGAGATTAACACTGCATAGATTTTTGTATGGGTATAAAATAAATTAGATTCTTTTTCTACTTTTCCATTAAAGCACATCTCTACTTCAATTATTCTGGAATTATTTTAGTGTGCCTTTAAATAGTGCTGGTCAGTGTAGGGAGATTCATTGCAGGCCTCCAGTGCCAAAGAGGATTTATATGTAATCTAAATGAATACTTATTTGATCTCCTCAGTCTTGCACTGGTAAAAAAAAAAAAAAATTTAAAACTCATTCCAGCGTTCGTGAGTTGGAAATGTATGAACAACCTGAAATAGTTTACCATTAAAATTATAGACTGATCATTTCTTTGTAAGTGGGCAAACGTTCAAAATCAGCAGGGGATCAAATACTTTTTTCCCCTCACTGTACAAGAGTGCTTTTTAGAGGGAAGGTGGCTCAGACTATGTGGAACAATCGCTCCCATCACCCACAGGAACTCCTGACAGTTGACCGGCCAAAGCCCTAATCGTCCTTGAACTCTTTTGGGTATGAACTTTGTGAGCGGCCGGTCGAAACTTTACCCCAGTGGCGATTTGTCAATTCTCCATGGATTGGGCGCTATTTGCAAACATGGGAGCTCTGAACAGAGATATCAGAGGATGTGTAATATGGGGGGGGTTCTGTGTGTTTTTATTATGGTTTTGGGTTTTTGTGTTATGCGCTCTGTATCCGGGAGATAATCAGCAACTCCATTATCTCTCAAACACAGAGGCACGAGGGCAGGATCCTACTGAATATGGACCCCATGTTGGGGGTCACTGTATAAATGACCATGCTTTGCCGCTGCGCTGTGTACCCGGAAGTGAAGTGTAAGCAGTGGGAAAGCCTGTGGCAAACATACAGTCACACCGCCAGCGGTAAGTTACAGACCGGCGGCCGGAAAGCTCATAACTTATTATATTCTGCCTGTACCTGCCAATGAAGTGCTTTGTCCTAGTACCCAGTCCACTCCTGCATTTCTAAATCTGCTAAGTGCTGACAGATTTCAAAATGACCAGATCCTTGGGACCTATTTTTTGCCGGGCAGTTCTTCAAAAATGTAGCGCTGTCAGGGCAAATTCGGAACGGTTGGCACCTATGTTTGCTACTTCCTGGGGGTTTATTATTAATCAGTATTCCCCTTCAATCCCACATCAGCTGGCCAGACAGTGTGCTCCTCACCCTTGTACTGATGTATATACCATATAGTATCTGTCATGTTGTACTTGTACACAGATTAACGGGCAATAAATAAATTTAATAGAAAATCATTTAATGCAATCTAAAGTGAACTAGAAACTAAATAGCACAAATAAATCATTAGATAAAGGGAAAAAACTATTTTAAAAGCATTTGGGGGAAATTCATTTTGAGTTTCGGTTTTCGGCCAAGGGCATCCTGAATTTTCGGTTTCGACCCAGAATTTTAATTTCGGTGCATCCCTAACAACTTTCGCATGAAAAATTATGTTTGCTTTATCACCAACAACGCGCAATCTACTTTAGTCAGTGGAAGGCCCTGGTGACTACTGGTCCATATGGCCAACGGAGAACCATATACAAGCCAATAGAATAGAAAACAGAATTCTCTCAGGTTCCCTCCTTGCAGTCCCTATAAAAGCCTTGAAACGCTCACGATCAAAACTAGGTGCCCACCTTCTCAAACTCTTCAGGTTCTAAATATTTACTTCCAAAGTGGAGATAGTATGCGCTCACCCTAGGCACTACAAGAAGTACCTAGAGCTTCTCCCTTACTTGAGTGGCCTTACACTATCATGGTTCACTTACTTCCAGACACAAAACCATTTGGGGGGTGGCTGTGACCTGTAGTTTTATAATGTTTGCATTTAAATTCGCACTCTAGACATCAGCTCAAGCATCAGTCTGGATAACAGAGCGGTGTCGAACAGCAGGAGTCAGAGAGCCCTCATTTAGAGTTCAAATCCTGTTAACCCTGAACAGTGGGACAGCACTAGGGGACTCCAGACACCATAACCAATTCAATTACATGAAGTAGTTGTGGTATAGTGTTCCTTTAAAGCAAAACTGTAATCCAGGGCTTTCAAGTCCTACATTACTAACCAGGCTTTAACAGTTACTTACCACTGCAAGGTTGGAGGCTCCAAGCATCATAGCCACTAAAGCATGATGTAAATAGTGAAATGGCCGCCTGTCGCCACTATTCACATCTCTTCAGGGATGAGAGCATTGCAGAGCTGGTTCGCTGGCTGAGAACTTCAATTCCTGAATTAACTCAGGCAAAGAGTTTCTGCTCTCAGCAGCACCCAGATAAGATGTCCAAAAAAAATAAAAAAAATAAAAATAAATAAAAATGGATGCCATCGCCAACTTGCATTGTAACATATAGGTAGCTTTATGTAGGTTAAATTAACACAGTTTTAAATCACACTAACCTCCACATATAACGAGGGGGGGTTATTGTCGCCTCCAAATTTTGCTAGCAGTGCTTCAATGTGCTCTTGTGTTAATTTTATCATCTGTTTGATATTCCATACCTGATGAACAAAAACAAAACATTAAAAAAAAAAAAAAACTCAATAAAATGAAAAAACAGAATGCACATAAAACTCTACGATGGTAGTACAGAATAGGAACCCAATGCCAAGGTTAAGACAATACCAAAACACAGATCTGTTTGTGTATTTTATATAAAATTACATGGAGCTTCATTTGAAAGATTATTTTGGAGACATTTTAGAAGCTTTTTTAACTTGAGAATAAATGTTGCAGCCTAATATACAATGATCTTCACTGTATTTTATAAAGTGGAATCATGAAAGCAAGTATTTGCATTGTGCCAATAAAGTGATGATCCGTGCGGATACTGAATTTCTCACACCTCATAACTGACAGCAAACAATGAAGTAACAATAGTTATCTTATTTTGGCCTGAAATCTGTAGCATTGGTGCTTTCTATTTTGCAAGTGCCAAAATATATATAAAAAAAAAAAAAAAAAAAAAATTAAAAATGGCTACAGGGGCATACCAAACTGTTTCTACACCAAAGCTGGGCAAACAGATAGTTGTGTGAAATTCAAGCCTTACATCCAGGACATGCAATTCCGCATGAAAGGAAAGTAGATTGATTATTTTTTTCTTTAGACATGTCACATGCAAGCAACTGGGAAGCTACAGGGAAGACCATGTCCAAGCAGGGACTGTTAGGTCTGCACCACCTCCGTAATCGTTCCCATGTAGTCAGGCACTCTCAAGAATGCTTGGACCTGACACTTTCCCACTGCACCAAAAGGTGAGTTTTAAACCGCCCTGACTACCATTTAGTAGTAAGCCCCCCAGACGGTTTTAACTACAACCCCCCCACTGGACAACTAGGAAAGTTTTAGCAGTCTTTCGTCTGGACTAACTGCCAAGTTCGAACCACTACATAAAAAAGAGCAACATTACTTATAGATCACACGCATACACAAAATACATATAACCAACACCCCCCACTATACACAGCCAACACATACACAGATATCACACACACACTATTGGGCGGGGGGAGGGGAGGCAGTCAACGTTATTTACCAAGATTTACATTTTTGTTAAATAGATCTGAATGGCAAAACGGACGCAAAAATTGGACACTACTTTAGAGAAGTTGGAGAATAATTACAGATTGGCTATTTATCCAGGGTTCAATTTACTAAAATATGGAGTTGAATGAATAACCCAGACAATTTCCAGGGCTCTAGAGAGGAGCTCCCAATTTTTGTAGCTGAAATAATTTTGTGTCAGAACAAATAGATTGTCATGACGTACAAGTAGATTGGGCTACTATTTAGTCCCTTAGACAAGTAGTCTGCCATGCCAGCCTTTAAAACGGCAAAGCATCAAGGAGTTGCATTTGTACAAAATCTAGGGATCTACCATTTGGCCATCCCTGTAAATCTAGACAATCCCACTCTCTGGTCCCAGACATCTAAAAGCTGATAACATGCTACTTTATGGAAATATACAATGTTTCCCTCCTATGAATTTTAGAATTCTAAATAGCAGCATTCACAATGCAACATCTAATAACTTGGCCTCCTTGCATTTATTAGACCCTCGTTTAAAAAAAAACCAAAAAAAAAAAACAAACAAACCACTATAACCATTCCAGTGTACCCTAAAACCAGTAGTTAAAACATTAAAACTAAAAATAAAATACATTTTTTAAAAGAACATATGACTTGCCTGGGTCTGCAAGTTGCTGATCGTTGCCTCATTCTAGTTGGAAGCTCCCTGCCTTGGTTACAATAAAGCTCATGCTACCAGCCAGTGAGCTGGCCCTGCAAAAACAGGCTTAGCTCAGGACAGCCAACAACACAGGAAGAGGTAACGCGATGCTCCAGTTTACTTCAAGTAAGAAGTCAAGCCGCTCAAAACAGTTTGACTACTTACAATGAGGACTGTAGTGGTTAAGTTGCTTTTAGTGTTCATTTAAAGGGAAACCAAGTACCAGACAACAGGCAGCTGAAAAATAGCCACATTTTTAAATTCCTTTGTTTAAATATATTTCCGTAAGTATTTTACAGGACATGTTGCCGTAGTGTGAATTTACATTTACCAGAACTAACAGATACACTTTGATTAGCTCTCTGTTCTTACAAGACATACTCTGAAGTGCTAAGTGCAGCAAATAAGACACAATATAGATTATAGTAAATTAGTTTCCACATCTTTTAAAGCATACAATCAAGGTAAAATAAAAGACCAACACATGCATTTAGGAGAAAGGTGTTCACAGTAGTGTCTCATCAGATCAAACCATAGCATTTAAAAAAAAATAATAAATTAAAATTAAATTATATATTTTAAATGCCTTATTCAGGGTTTTTAATTTTACAATTAGTACAGTTTCTATTTTCTGTATTTAGCATAACCGGTTAAACTAGTTCAATACTTGGGGAGGGGGTGCTCAAGTCTTTAAGGGAGTACATATAGAGAGGCTTCTAGAGGAGTACACGATCATGTATTATGTGAAAGCAGAACATATGCCTCATTCTTAAAAATATAGTTTTAAGATTAATACATATACAATTCCGAAATAAATCTGCCATAAGGAAGTCAAGAAGAATCACTAATGAGCAGGATGATTTAAGTTTACCTAAGGGGGGTGGGTGGGAAGGGTTCGATTTGCAACATAATCAGCTTAAGATCGTGTATATGAACAGCAGTCCATAATTCTCAATGTCTGACAAAGCAGACCTAAATGTATGAGTAATTCCCAAACCAAATACACAGGAATACAGATTATTAGATACACGGGAAGGCCCACAAACCATTTCAATTAGTCATCCATATAGTATATATCACTTCTATTCACTGCGGACACATGATTTCCTAGTACTCCAACCCACATATTACAAAACCCCACACAATAAAGGGTCAGATGACGTTGTGGTCCCAAATTGCAAGTTCCACCACGCCTTAAAGAAGTGCATACATAAACATTTTCAACAAGTTTAGACTAAATTAACTACATTCAAAAAATTTCAGCACTAGCTGACAATGCTAGCATGGCTAGTGCTCCAGCTGTCCCCTGGGACAGGCCTGGTAATAATTCCCAAAACAAAATGCTCAAACCAATAGTAAAGAAAACTTTAAATTTCCCTTAATATGGTGGCAGTGCAATAGGGATGTGCTCTTCCCTTGAACAAGCATCTAAAAGAAATTAATGTAAAAAAAGATCCTCCCCCATTAGGTATAAAGTACTAACCTTCCAAGATCCCACAGTTTGTAACAATAAAACACTAGATACCTCTTACTGTAAAAATGTATTATCAAAGTAGGGGGGGGGGGGCGGGGACAGGGAGGGGGGAAATTTTACGGTAAGTAAAATTAAAGTTTTTCCTAACATATCGTGGCAGTACAATAGGGATATATCGAGATCCCAAAAAAACCCTGGGCGGGAATTAGGCAACCATTGCTGAAAGCACCTTATGCCTGAAAGCTGCTTCAGAAGTAGAGAATAGGTCTAGCCTATAATGCTTCACAAAAGTGTTGAAGGAAGAAAACGTAGCAGTTCTGCATATATCCTCTGGAGATACTCATAGCTCTGGTTGAGTGCGCTTTTAAAGATGAAGGCAAAGGCAATTTTGAGGAAGTGTAGGCCAATTTTATGGTATCCACTAGCCATACTAGCCTTGAAAGCTGTAAGACCGTTGAATTTCCCAAGAAAATTAACAAAAAGATGGTCTGATCTTCTAAAGTCAGATGAACGAAAATATAAATATAGGACTCTAACATCTAGCATATGCCAGGTTTTCTCCTGTTCAGAGGCTGACATATTACCAAAGGAAAGCAGTATAATTGGATGATTGAGAGCACTAGACGTAATGACTTTTAGAAGAAAGGATGGTTTTGGATGTAGGACAACTTTGGAAAGAAAATAGTGAATTCTGAAGAATATGAAAGAGCATGAATTTCACCGATTCTTTTAGCAGATGTTATTGCTACTAAAAATTTTGTTTTAAGAGACAAAAGCTTCAGGAAAATTTCATCTAAAAGGTTCGAATGGTTCTTCACAAAGGGCCTTAAGAACAACTGACAAATCCCCTTAAGGAAAGAAATTCCTCTTTGGATGTCTGATGATTTTTACGACTTTGAAGAATCTCTGAATCAAAATGTCTGAAGCCAAATTCTTGACCAGAAAGAGCGGAAAGGTCAACCTTGAGAGTAGATAACCCTAATACTGCATTAAGACCATCCTGCAGAAAATTCAAAAATCGTATCTAATTAAGTCCAGATTCTTAAATAAATGCCAGAGGTAGATTTTCTGGTAGAATTAAAGGAACACTATAGTCACCTAAATTACTTTAGCTAAATAAAGCAGTTTTAGTGTATAGATCATTCCTCTGCAATTTCACTGCTCAATTCACTGTCATTTAGGAGTTAAATCACTTTGTTTCGGTTTATGCCGCCCTAGCCACATCTCCCCTGGCTATGATTGACAGAGCATGCATGAAAAAAAAAACTTGTTTCTCTTTCAAACAGATGTAATTTACCTTAAATAATTTTATCTCAATCTCTAAATTGAACTTTAATCACATACAGGAGGCTCTTGCAGGGTCTAGCAAGCTATTAACATAGCAGGGAATAAGAAAATCTTAATTAAACAGAACTTGCAATAAAGAAAGCCTAAATAGGGCTCTCTTTACAGGAAGTGTTTATGGAAGGCTGTGCAAATCACATGCAGGGAGGTGTGACTAGGGTTCATAAACAAAGGGATTTAACTCCTAAATGACAGAGGATTGAGCAGTGAGGCTGTAGAGGCATGTTCTATACACCAAAACTGCTTTAGTAAGCTAAAGTTGTTCAGGTGACTATAGTGTCCCTTTAAGTAAAAACTGGTATCTTTCATCCTTAATACCTTTGTGATGTAAAAACAGCCTTGCAGCAGCCATTCTGTCAATCTGATCATCTTCACGATGTCTAGGGGAATCCCTGTGTTCTCCAGGAGATTTGTTGATAAAGGAACTTCCCAAGACCTCAAAGCCATGGTCCTCAAGGCAGAGAACCAACTTCGGTTTGGCCAGTATGGGACTACTGCCAGAACGCCTTGTCTGTTATTTTTTGAAGAATCCACGGAATGAGTCTTACAGGAGGAAAGACATGAGCAAGTTTTAAGTCCCAATTGATCGATAGACCATCCAGGACCAGAGGAGAGTCTGCCTTAAAAAGGAATACCTTTGCATTCTTTCTTCTTGCCATAAAAGGTCTATGACTGGCATCCCAAATTTCTCTACAATCTGAGAAACTAACAGGATTGAGGGACCATTCGTTCTGGGACCATCTTGATCTGCTGAGGTCATCTGTTTCAGGATTACAAGTTGATCCAGCACAGAGAACTGTGTCACACCTAGGACTAAGGATAACATATAACCAGACCTTAGAATGGCCTGACTTAACCCCTTAAGGACCAAACTTCTGAAATAAAAGGGAATCATGACATGTCACATGTCATGGGTCCATAAGGGGTTAATGTATCCAAGAATAGTCAAAATACTTGCCGAGGTCAGGCAAACAGAATCAGACTCAACGATGAGGGAAAGACAAAAGTCAAGGATACCAAAAGTACCAGGGAAGTCAAAACGAAGCCAAAGTCAAATACCAGAAAATCCAAGATCAGGAAGGCACTCTCAGATTACTTTTAGGATGAGCCATGAGCAAAAGGAGAATTGGGTTTAAATACCCCTCCTGCGGATCCGATTGGCTGTAACCGGCCTTTGACCCCAGAAGCAATTACCAGGTTTCCATGTGCATGGATTGCTGCACAACCTTTCCTGTCAGAACAGTAAATGCCATTAACCACATTTTAATGTGCGGATGAGTACGTGACAATCTGCTATAATGTTGTTTATACCCCTTATACGAACAGCCGACAGATCCTCTAGATTATTTGAGCCCATTACATAATTCTTGCGCAGATTATCTGTAGTTTTCTCACCCTTGTACCTTTTTGTTTGTTGATATACTTGGCGCCGAGGACAGACCAAACGGTAGGGCTTTGATAGGAATGTGCAGATATGAGTCTTTTAAATCCAGTGTTGCCATAAAATCTCTTCTTTGCAGGACCTGTGTCACTGATGTAATGGTCTCCATTTTGGTGTGTTGGTATGGAATCATGTGGTTTATACCCTTCAGATCTAGAATGGGCCGGAATGACCTACCTGGTTTTGGGAACAGGTACAAATCTTGCCCATCTTGATAGAGATGGGCCCTTAGAACTCGCTCTATGACCCCCTTTTATAACAGGATCACAAGGGCTGAAAAAGCCTGGTTCTTTAAATTCGATTGGTAGGAGTATACTAGGAAATTTGGTTTTGAAGGGTCTGAGAATCAGATTTTTGTATCCATTTGTTACCAGATTTAAAATCCACGGATTTGACGAGGTGTCTCAATCTGTGAACAAAAGGTTTTATCCTTCCTCCCACTTTTATGGCGTCAGAATCTTTTGACTATCTGTTCTGATATCTTTGCGGTTATCAAATCTTGGATCTTGCTTTTGCCTACAAAAAAAAAAAAAAACGTGGTCTTTCTTGATAACGTCTACGCTCTGATACTGGAAAATTCTTATATCCATGCCTCCAGGAATACTTCCTGTCTTGAGGAAACGCCTTCTTAGTTTCTGACATTTTTCAAATCAGTTCTTCTAATGGAGATACAAATGACGTTTTCCTTTCCAAAGGAAGTTCACAGAGTGCTGCCTTAGAGGCTGTATCGGCCGTCCAGGCTTTAAGCCATAGTGCTCTATGGGAGATAGATGTTAATCCCATGATATGAGTTGAGAATTTTGTTACTTTTGTTATATCTAGAAGGTAAAATCAGACAATTTTAGGTTACTGAATAGGTGTACTGATCTTGGTGATCTACTAGGCAATCTGCTAATGCATGAATCCAGTAGGAGTGAGCGTTAGCTACTGAAGGTCCTACCATCGCTGCTTTACATTGGAAACCTGCAGCTTGGTAAGCCCATCTGCAAGAGGTTTCAGCCCTCTTATCCACTGGGTCTTTCAACCAGACACTTCCTCAATTGGAATCGTCTTTTCCCCAATTGGAATTCTTCCCATTTGTCTTCTCCTTGTAACTTGAATTTTTTTTTTAAATGTCTGGAGATAAACACCATCTTTTCTGGATTTTTCCATTCCCCATTCATGAATTCCAGAATATGTTGCTGTCTTGGCATGGTCTTTTTATTGCATTCCTCTGGCATATCCTTCGGTAAAGCGATATTAACTTCTTCAATAAACCTATATTAATATTATATAATATATAAATATATATATATATAATATAATATACACACACACATTATATTATATATATATATATATATATATATATATATATATATACACACACACACACACACACACACACACACACACACACACACACACATATACACACACAAATTTTTCAAATAAACCTTAGCAGAGATTTTCAAGACTGAGACCAAATAAATCTCACCTCTGACCTGTGGGTGTGGGGGGTTGGTGACACGGGAGATCCATTATGAGTAGCCTTCATGCTCTTAGTAGGATCTGCACAGCTTTTTCTAATAAATATTTTTAAAGTTTAGGGGGGCGGGGCCAAGCCAGCAAGCTGAGAAGTCGCAGAAAAGCTGGGCTCCCGCTGTACTTGCCAAATTCTTGCTGAAAACTCGCTAAATTGAAGACTAAAGAATCCGGGATGAGCCACCCACTACAGGGGCGACCCGGCAGCAATCCTGAAACCCTTAGTGAGTGCTTGACAGATCGGACACCCAGAATAGAAAGCCGCGGCCTGCGGGGGACGGGAACAAGGAGAGGCGGCCGCTCTCCTCGCCCAGACTCTGACGGCACGGCCCCACAGATGCCGTGCTCCCCCCCCAGGACCAGCGGGGGATCCTGGTCCAACGCGGAGAAGCAACCTACCCACAACTGCACCAGCTGAGAAGCCGGGCGAGCAGCGGAGCGACATGAAGCAAGGAATGCGGAGCTCGAAGCTAAACTAGACAAGCTGTTCGCCAGGTTCTGGGCGAAGCTGGCATCCAGGGAGCAACAGGCAGGCACAAACACACCTGCACAGCAGCTGACACTCACCCGCACAGATCCGGCGCCACCGCAAGCTCCAGCGACACACAAGATGAGCCACAGCCAGCAGACACGTGGAGCCTACGGGCCGAAGAGACAGCAACTGCCAACAGCAGTGGCAAACCCCAAAACCCACAGGGCAAACTCTACTCAACGTCCAAAGCACCCACAGACGACGCTGAGGAGACAGCACACCCCTACAGACAGGAATGGGAGACGGCTGAAGCTACCTGCACGGGCCGCACCAAAACCCATATGCCGAATAGGAGCAGAGGCAAAGGCCTGTCCGGGCACACTCCTGTGCAAATCCTGGGCTATTCGCCCGACGCACCTCACCGCACGTGGAGACCATGCCGTTACCAGAGCCATGCACACTTCTTCCGAGCTGGGGGTTCACCTGGAGGTAACCCTCCCACGCCACCCATACACCTGAGGGGACAGCCGAGCTCCGGCGGATCCTTGGGCCCACGACCCTGTTGATGGGGTCAGTGGACATGTGGCAAGGGCCCCTGCTAAGGCCTCGGGCCGAAGACACATGGCACCTGGACGACGGGTACCCAGGAAGTACGAGGGGAGAGCCACAATGCGGGGAGCGGAGCGCCTGGCGGGCCCTGACAGACGCAACGACAAGGTTACCACGACGGGCCAGGAAACAGTCTACCTCCCAAAACACACTAGTGGTATCGGGTGAAGTGCCCCTGCAACCCACATCTAGGCTCCCAGCCTAGACACCACGCAGGACTTGGGACGCTCTCACATTACTGTAACTATATACTCGCCTAGTGCTACAAATGCCACCTCTCATGTAACATAGCTTAACCATATACTTGGTCTTGCTAGCGGCAACACACAGCAGCAGCCTTATAAGCCTGCTTTCCCTTTATGGGCTACTTACTATGTTAGCAAAAGGTACTGAGCCGCCTGAAACAAAAGTTAACCTAACCTGTCAGCGTATGTCTATTCTGTATCATGCAGGCGCAGGGTACCCACTAGCCCCATCATATATACGCTGCATACTACCATAGCATGCATCACTTAGACACAATAGCATAGAATATGCAAACCATAATATCACAAGACAGTAAACTAGTGGTTAGATTGAATACATCGCAAAAAATCGACTGTATGTTTGCCCTACAAACATTAATAGTGCTAAACATAATTCTGCTGAGCTTGATTGATTAGTTTCACTTGATGCTGTTTGGTAATCACATGTTAGTACCAGCTGGTACCGCTCAACCTATATGCCCGAAGGGAAGCACCTACAGTGGATAGGTCTCACTCGTTCAGTAGCAACCTAATTTAATACACGTTTACGTTACGCGACTAACAAAAATCAAAAAAATGAGGCATTAACAAACTGGAAATGTAAATAACATTGTTTAGTTACACCAATGTACGTTGTGAAATACTCATGCATTTCCCTCTCTCTCTTCTGTACCCCCATATGTGCCTTAATAAAATAAATATTGACAAAATATTTTTAAAGTTTAGCGACAAAAATTGGAAGTTCCAGTTGTACATGAGCAGTCGCGAGATCGGAACTTTGGTGGAAAGCACAACCTCCTGGGCTTTAGTTCCACCGCTGTGCGCACACGTCCTATTTGTGCAGTGATTGGCTGCCTCTAGAGACGGCCTTCTTGTTCCGCCATTCTAAGGTCCAGTATACGCCTTTCTAGTTTGTACTCTGCGTGTTGGATCCCTGTCTCGTTCTTGACATTACGACAGGGCCAATGGATCCTGCAGGTACTAATCCTCAGGTCGACTTCCAGGACTCAAGATTTGAGGCCATGGACCATAGAATGGACCAGATGGCTCTGGAATTGCAGTCACTGTTATCATGGCCGAATCCTCAACCTGAGGAGACTCGCGCTTCCATTATCACTCCTGTAAGCACAGGGTAAGAGGCAGCCACAGTAGGGGCCTCCTCTCGAGTTACCTCACCACTACGCTATGGCGGATCACTAGATACTTGTCGAGGTTTTTTTGAACCAGATTAGTATTCATTTTGAGTTGCAACCCCGTGCCTATCCTACGGACAGAGCGAAGGTCGGATTTATAATAACCTTGCTAATAGATAAGGCACTTAGATGGGCTAATTCTTTGGTTTATAATTATAACGCTTTTGTTGCAGCATTTAGAAGGACTTTTGATCCTCCAGGAAGCTAGGGCTTTGTTAAGTCTTAGGCAAAAAAATAGAACACTTGTGGATTATGTGTTAGAATTCAGATCCCTGGCGGCCGAAGTTAAGTGGAACGATCAAGCCTTTATGGATGTATTTCTCAATGGTTTATCCAATGAAATTCTTGATGAGGTAGCCACTAGAGAACTTCCGGAAAATTTGGAAGATCTGATTTCATTGATCTCACGCATAGATGAACACATGAGACAAAGACAAAATACTAGAGATAGAACCCGTAGACCTATTAGATTGGCCCCCTCATTCCAGAATTCCGATTCTATGGCTCTAGCACTGCCTGAGCCAATGCAATTGGGAACTACTTGATTGACTGAGGATGAGAGACAATACAGGAGAAGGGAGGGCCTTTGTTTATATTGTGGACAAAGGGGTCACCTACGCACCTAAGTTCCTCCGGAGGACAGGCCTTGGGTGTTTCGATCTTGTCCTCTAAATAAATATAAGAACCATAGGCTTCTAATTCCTCTCTCTTTAGCCTGGGAGAAGAGATTCGTAACTACTTTTGCTTTAATAGACACTGGAGCAGCAGAAAGCTTCGTGGATCAAGCATTTGCCAATAGCCAACTTCTCCCTTCTAAACTAAGAGATACCCCCTTGGCCGTTGAGGCCATAGATGGTAGACCATTATCAGAACCTGTTATCTTTCATGAAACCATACCGATCAAAGTAACTATTGGCGTGTTACACGAGGAAACCATGTCTCTACTGTTAATTTCCTTTCCCTCATTTCCAGTGGTTCTGGGGTATCCCTGGTTAAGGAGACACAACCCTGCCATTGACTGGGAACAAGGGGAGATAGTATCATGGGGTCTGGGTTGTACTGGGGGATGTTTGCAAAGAGTCACACCAGTTTGAATAGCTAGCATTCCTACCAACTCTCCCCAGTCTACTGACTTACTCATACCATCTCAACACCAGGATCTCAAGGCATTCTTTGACAAAGGGAAAGCGGACACCTTGTCTCCACATAGGTTGTTTGACTGTACTATTAAGCATCTACCTGGTACGATGCCTCAGAGAGGTACTGTGTAATCCAAGAAGGAGAACTTAGTACTAGAAGAGTACATAAAAGATCATTTAGAAAAGGGATTTTTTAGGTCATCACCAGCAGAGGCTGGATTTTTCTTTGTAGCTAAGAAAGACGGCACTCTGAGGCCTTGCATAGATTACCAGGTTTAAACAAAATAACTATTCGGAATGCTTATTCCATTCCCCTGATCACCGAGTTATTTGCTAGACTTAAAAGGTTCCAAAATTTTTACCAAGTTGGACTTAAGAGGAGCTTATAACTTGGTAAGAATTCAGCAAGGAGACGACTGGAAAACTGCATTCAATACTCGCTATGGTCATTATGAGTACACAGTAATGCCATTCGGGCTATGTAATGCTCCAGCTGTCTTTCAAGATCTAAATCAATGAGGCTTTGAGGGAATTTCAACAGGAATGTGTTATAGTATACCTGGACGATATACTACTACATTCTAGAGAGAAACTCATCACAGAAAGATGTTGCATAAACTTTTACAACATGGCTTGTATTGCAAATTGGAGAAGTGTAGTTTTGATCAATCTCAGATAAGTTTTCTAGGTTATGTCATTTCCAGAGCTGGCTTTATGATGGATCCAATTAAACTTAGATCTATCTTACATTGGCCTTTGCCTAGGGGACTCCAAGCCATACAGAGGTTTATCGGATATTCCAATTACTATAGGCGATTCATTAAAGGATAATTGTAATTGGTTAACTCAAGACAAGGTGCTGCAGCAACTAAAGAAAGTTAATATAAACAAAGCTCCAGGGCCTGACGGTATCCATCCATGTGTACTTAAGGAACTAAGTGTAGAAATAAGTGAACCTCTGTTTTTAATCTTTCAAGAATTCTTTTCTTTCAGGAAGTGTGCCGGAGGATTGGAGGAAGGCAGATGTGGTTCCTATATTCAAAAAGGGTTCAAAATCCTTGCCTGGAAATTATAGACCCCGTGAGCTTAACTTCTGTGGCTAGTAAAATATTTGAAAGGTTATTAAGGGATAATATTCAAGAATTCCTTGAGAAGAACATTGTTATAAGCAAAAATCAGCATGGTTTTATGAAGCACAGGTCATGTCAAACTAAATTGATTGCGTTCTACGAAGAAGTAAGCAGAAGTATAGATCAGGGTGTTGCTGTGGATGTGATCTATTTGGATTTTGCCAAGGCATTTGATACAGTTCCACACAATAGATTAGTGTTCAAACTCAAGGAAATCGGTCTAGATGAAAATGCTTGTTCTTGGGTAGAACATTGGCTTAAAAACAGAGTACAAAGAGTTGTCATTAATGGTAAATTTTCAAGCTGGACAGAGATGGCAAGTGGTGTCCCTCAGGGGTCTGTTCTGGGACCTCTTCTATTTAACATTTTTATAAATGATCTTGAAGACCGCATTGAAAGTCATGTTTCAGTGTTTGCAGATGACACCAAACTTTGTAAAACAATACAATGTGAGCAAGATATTACTTTGCTGCAGAGTGATTTAGATAGACTGGGGGACTGGGCACTCAAATGGCAAATGAAATTTTATGTTGAAAAATGCAAAGTTTTGCACTTCGGCGTAAAGAATACACAAGCAACGTATACCCTTAATGGAAGCGAATTAGAGATAACAACACACGAAAAGGACTTGGGAATTGTTATAGACAACAAACTATGCAACAATGTGCAATGTCAATCAGCAGTGGCCAAGGCCAGTAAGGTATTGTCATGCATGAAAAAGGGCATTCATTCTCGGGACAAGAATATAATTCTGCCTCTTTATAAATCACTGGTAAGACCCCACATTGAATATGCTGTGCAATTTTGGGCACCTGTTCTAAAGAAGGATATTATGGCACTAGAAAAAGTGCAGAGGCGGGCTACAAAATTAATAAAAGGAATGGAACATATCCGCTATGAAGAAAGGTTAACAAATTTAAACCTATTTAGTTTAGAAAAACGTTGCTGAGAGGTGATATGATAACATACAAATATATTCGGGGCCAATACAAACCATTGTGTGGAAATCTATTCACAAACCGGACTTTTCGTCTAAGGCAAAGGAAAGGTTTTTTTACTGTAAGAACAATCAGGATGTGGAAGTCTCTGCCTGAAGAAGTGGTTTTATCAGAGTCCATACAGATGTTCCAATGGCAACTAGATGCATACTTGCAAGAACAGAATATTCAAGGATATAATCTTTCAATGTAGGGTAATAACGGCTTGATCCAAGGATAAATCTGACTGCCATTCTGGGGTCAAGAAGGAATTTTTTTCCTAGCTTGTTGCAAAATTGTGCTTCAAACTGTTTTTTTTTTGCCTTCTTTTGGATCAACAGCAAAAAACAAATGTGAGGTAGGCTGAACTTGATGGACGCAAGTCTCTTTTCAGCTATGTAACACCAAGATAATTGGGTTGGTCTGATTCCTTGGGCGGAGTTTGCACACAACAATCTAGTTTGTGATTCTACTCGTAATAGCCGCTTCTTCATGAATTATGGTTTTCATCCTGCCATCCTTTCGTCTGTATCACCCTCACAGGGTATACCGATGGTTGATGAACAGGTCACCAATCTAAGGAAGTTGTGGGATCAGATTCATCAAGTTCTTATTCAAAATTCCGCTTTATTTAAATGGCAAGCAGATAAATGCTGAAGGCCTGCCCCTGTTTTTCACCCGGGTATAAAAGGTATGGTTGAGTACCAGACACATCCGCTTAAGGGTTCCATCCATGAAGTTCGCACCTCGTTACATAGGACCTTACAAGGTCTTACGGAGGATCAACCCGGTTGCTTATCAACCTGCTCTTCCTCCTGCTCTACGCATTTCTAATTCTTTTCATGTTTCACTGTTGAAACCTCTAATTTGTAATAGATATACCTCAGTGTCAGCTCCTCCCTCTTCTGTTCAGATTGAGGGTAAGGAGGAATATGAAGTCAAATTCGTTCTCGATTCTCGTATTTCTCATTGGAAATTACAGTATCTTGTTGACTGGAAAGGTTATGGTCCTGAAGAAAGGTCCTGGGTGGCCCATGAGGATATCCATGCCCCTCGTCTTCTCCGGGCATTTCATGCTCGCTTCTCTTCCTGGCCCCTTCTGCCCGGTGGGCGTTCCTTAGGGGGGGTACTGTCATGATACCTGTTGTATCTGCATTAGAGGAGGTCGGGCATCTGGACGTCTATTCCCAGGAAGGGACACGTGCACCCATCTCTTTCAGCCATTTCGTCCGTTTAGACGCCGGCCGCGATAGCCCCGCCCCCTTTTATGACGCAGCGCAACTTCGCCAATGTCATGACGTCTATGATGTCACGGCCCTCCGAAAAGTTTGAATCAGGAGGCTTTGAGGGCGTGGACATCATTTAAAAATTCAAGATATAAAAAGGTACTCACTTACAGTACGCCAGTGCCCTGTCGTGGTTCCAGCTTGTCTGTTCCCTCAGTGCTATTCCTGTTGATTTGTGGTTCTTGACTTGGCTTTGTATCTTGACTTTGCTTCATTCTCCTACCCTTGTACTCAGCTTTCGCTTACCTGTCTTCTCGTTCCCTTGACCTCTGCTTGTTCCTGACCATTCTTTGTCTGTGTGACATTAGTCCGGCCACTCTGAGGTCCGGTATACACCTTTCTAGTTGTTAGTACTCTGCGTGTTGGATCCCTGTCTCGATCTTGACAGTCAAAAGAGAACCTCCGGGTACCAAAAGAACTTAACGTTTGGGGAATTACACAGTTCACAATTGTTTTAGCCCCAAAGCCTTCTTCCAGCATGGTTTAGCTTTGCACCTCTCCTTTCACTTCTATCAGATTCTTCAAACATGGAGCAAACCCTCTTCTGCTCCTGAGTATAGAGTATCTCATGAGACTGCAGGAACCTCCATAGATTAATGCCTGAATCCCACAGCAGCCACGTGTGGCAACTGCTGGTATTGGACAAATTTAGATGGCACAGCACGAACTTGTGTCAACCTCAGATTGTTCTTAAAACAAAGTAATCCATTTTTTGTCTTATGGTAGCTTTGGAATTTCAATTAAGTTTTATCATGAAAATACTGAAAAAAGATAGAACCGCTTTAAAACACCACTAAAGGCACCTATACCATTTCAGCTCAATGTCCTTTTAATCATTCAATGTTAAACATTGCAATTTTGTAGAAGCTGTAGTGTTTCCATTGCAAAAGGTAATTTACCCCACTCCTCCTGGTTGGGGGGATTGAGGAACAGGAGGGGAAAAGCAAAAATGAATAAATAACAGCACAATAGCATTTAGAATAAAGTTTTCTATTCCTCAAGCTACAGTGTATCTTTAATGTACCATTTAGCTAATACATTGAAATTTGTGGGAAAAGTTAAATACTTTCCACGTCAATAAGGAAGAGTTTAAACAATTTACCTCTGCAAGCACCTAACTGCAGAATATTTTTTATTCAAAGCCCAAAAAAATTCCCATCATTTATATTAAGGAAGCCAAGCATCATCAGTTTAAATGTCACCATTTCAGGTTTAGATTTTACCATAAGTGCTTACTTGGCTATATTTAGTTTGTAAAAGCAAGCTGTACTTTTTTGTATGCTAGTAAAATAAGTTTGCTGCTCCAAATCACATTAATTTAATGTAGAATAGAAAAAAAAAAAAACATTAAAATCTTCTGTAGTTATATAAATCTGGCTGCAGAAGACAAAACAGTTACAGGTATATTGATAGTCTTTAAAATGGACATCTGTACTTGAATGTCAGTCTGTTTTTACTCGCATTGTCAGACATGATACAGAAGCCCAATGTTGCTATTTAGCAGTAAACACTAACAAGCTCTGATGGGAAATGTGGGAGAGAAAAAAAAAACCAATACAAATGAAAACAAAAACCACTAAAAGGCACAAAGCATCTGTCACAGATTATACGAGCGCAAATGAGATTATATATATTATATATATATATATTTATTAATGACACCCCCAGGCATAAAGGGGGTTAAAGCCGTTTAGTAGATATTCCCCTTCCAGATATACAGGCAGATACTATAGTCACCAATCCACCGAACTGGAGAAGCATATGAATGCCGTAAACAGCCGAATAGGAAAAACCATACGAATAGGTTTACACTCCTAGCAGTCAAACTGGAACAGCATACAATAAATCCCCCCCCCCCCGACAGAGCTTTGGGTTTACTGTTCTTATATACACATTCTAACACATTAGTACAACCCACAGGGTTTTGGAAAACAACCAATAAACACGTACAATACACACACACAAAATCCTCCCCTCTGCCTGTGAAACAATTACCTTACACAATGGGTAATGTAATTATCACAGGCAGAGAAATACAGTTTTTCCACATTATTCATAACTTTAAAAGTATGCATCACATTCACATAAAACTTACAGAATCAGCATACTCCAAATACAAACATATGTCAAAAATCATCCAAATTGGTGCACTGGTTCAAAAGATAGATCGAAGTCCTTTGTGACAAAATGAAGCATGGCTTTTCTGCCCAAAACCAGTTCCACAGAGTCTTCTATCCTGGAGATAATTAGGAAGTAATCCAATTATCTCCAAGGACAGAGGCAAAACTCCATTAGCCACATGGTAGGAAAATACAGTAAAGTACAATAAAATACACAAGGTTACATTTATTACATAAATACAGACATGCAACATATCCCCAGATAGCTTAGGTCTGAGCGCACATTATTACTGAATGGCGCTCAGACCACACACATACAGTTCAATTGCCATGGAGCCAAAAGTCTTTTATTACACGAATAGGCTCCATGTCATAGCTATCTGGGTTAAATGAGTTCATTCAGTAAATCCGAGAATCTACCGAACGCCGGGGAAGAAATACATAAATAGACCTTTCTGCATAGGAAAATAAAGTATTTAAATGCCGGTCCATAGTCAAAAGTCAGCAGGCAGGCAACCAGGCTCCTCCAATGCACAGTGGCGAGATTGGTTCCGATAGATAATATATATATATCCATCTATCTCTCAAGGATTTTATACTTCGTGTTGTGTAATTAGCCATCAAAACTTGCAACCTCAGGGATTCATCAGACTGCCATCTTTCTTGTTTATGTTGTGCTTTATGGCAGTGTTTTAACATGTACAATTTGAGCATGTGGAGAGTTAAAAATTAAACAGTATTTCACTGTGGATTATCTAAATAATAGACAAGGTCAATAAGTACAATCGCTTTTGTTCATGGATGTCTGTTCAAATGAAGGCTGTCTACTACCACCACTACCACCATTGCCTCCTTATCGCAAGGATTTTCATAGGTAAAATTTCAAAACCATTGCACAACTGTATGGTGTAGAGCAAGGTCTTTAATTATGTATTATTAGAGGGTCAATTTCAGAAAAGTAGATCATCCAATTAGAAGCTTCAGTTGAATTATAGTTTGCCATTTCAGACATTCAAAGAGGTTCAAATAAGTGGTCCTATAGATTTGAGTGGTTGATTCCATTTACCACTATTCTAGGTATACACTTGGGTGTGTGTAACAAAAGTTTTAGGACTAGCCTTGATTTCCAAAACATTTAAAAGCCAATTCAGAGATCAGGAAAATAACCAGGTGTTACTTGAACGCAAAATAGCCTGGAATAAGCCTTCAGTTTTTCACTTTATAAGGTCATATTGAAACTAAAGCCCAAACATGTGCAAACATGCAATATTTGTGTAATAGAGCGGTTGAGGGGAAGTAATAACGCAAGAAACTATTGCAATTAAAGGCACAAGCTACCAAAATCAATATACAGGTTTGATTCACAGATGAGACTTATTTAAAAACACATTTTTGCCTACACCAGGCATATTTGCAAAAAGGGCTAAACAAGGACAAAAATGATTGGGTGTATAGAGCGTTAGCGCGGGGCTTGACAAAATTTGCTTTGAATCTAGGAGCCGGCCAAAATAAATCAATAAATAAATGGTTAGGAGCCAGGTTTTTTTTTTTTTTGGGAAGGTTTTGTTTTTCAGTGATTACAGCAGAAGTATGACATACAGTACATAAGTTCAGTACAATGTCAGAGATTACATATTGAGGGAGGATAGTTGATAGTAACCGGAACATCCAGGGGAATGTGTGTGGCATAAATGCTCTGAGTGTGAGAGAAGGGGCGCTTCTTAGGAGTATAACCCCAAAATATTATCAAAAACAAGCAAACTTGCTCGAATGGGATTTGAGTGATAATTAATGCACATGAAGTCTAAAGGCCAAGTTGGTGGTCTATGGTACAGATTGCTATAATAAAAGAAACTGGGAACGGTATTTTAGACTACCAGATTGTGTGGCGTATTTGGCTGTAAAACCATCTCAGGTTGTCAAAGAGGCTGAGGTGCTGACCAGCCTAGCTAGTGGTGGTGTTGTCAGCATGGATTTTTTAAATTTTTTAATTCTTTTTTTTTTTTTTTTGTGCTCAAGTAACAAACAGGCTGGCATTGCCACAACAGCAGAGCCAGGTTCCGTAAAACACATATCAAAACAATGTGGCAGGCGAAGTATTAGCACAATTTTTGTATTTAGACAAAAAAGTAACATGATAATGCATAAGTCTGTGAACCTCGCAGATGCGTCAGTCTAGACTTTTTGTATTACAATTCTGTATTTTTCCTCAGGCTCAGCGGAGTGAGAAAGCAATAGTTTACACGTGCTGACAGTGTGCTAAAACATATTAGAAGACAAAAACAAAACAGTTCGCAGCATTGATGGTATCTGTGAGCCGAGGGTTTTACAAGTGTACTGGGGTAAGGTATGTATCGGTTTTTAAATTGGCCAGCCTGTGGACCGTGATGATATGCGTGTCCATGCTCACCTTATGCGTCGGACTCGGGGTTGTACCTACAGACACGTACCTTGCTGAATCATGGTGAGGCTAGTTGGGAGGTAATTTTTGGCTATTTGGTGCTGGCATGGTCTATAGTGTCACCTATGTGGCTGCTTACTGGCCTTAGGTGTGTTTGGGACTGCTATATAAAAAGGTTTTACGCCTCTATGCTTCCAAGATGTATCGAGCCTAGGGTATGTGGCTATATGGTGTGGTTAGAGGTGGGGGGGGGTGTTAGCTGTTGGCCAACCCATCAGAGTGTGCGTATGCTTTTAAAGTGAGGTAAGCGCAGAGTTGACAGCAAAAAAAAAAAAAAATAACAGGTATAACAAACTGTGTATAGGTCTATTACAGCAGGTTATCTATAGTCCTGCTTTAGTATGTGTGCAGGGAGAGGCAGGCCGTGGTAAGCCTCAGGTGGTCGTTGCAGCGTAGGCACTAGATTCCGCCCGCTGGGGGACGAATAGGGTGACCTTGGTGGGGTCCCATCTGTGGGTTGCTGCTGGGGCCTTTCCCCATCGGGGGGGGAGGGGGGGCTAGATAGTCTCGTATGAGGCAGAGTGTCTTTAGTAGGGCATCTCTGGTATCAGGTAGGTGGAGGTGACTAGGAGAGTCTGAGGTGACCGCCAAGTCTTATATTGCGTTCTCGGAGGAAGGAAATGGCTGGAACGTTTTTCTCCGTACCATTGTGCTCCCGGAAATATCCGCATAGGATGAGACCCCCATGTTCTCAAAGGAGTACAGGGAAGTCCTCTGGAGGACAGCCATCACTGCCGATTTGTCTCATGTTTTGAAAGCGCACTACCAAGTCTCTTGGGGCAGCCGCTGGGGCCTTCCTTGGCTTAGGGATGCGGAATACACCGTCCAGATTAATGGTCTTTGCTTGTTTGGGTGTTAGCAGTGGCACCAGCAGGCAACTCACCAAGTGTGGGAGTTCAGCCACCGGTATTTCCTCGGGTATGCCTGGTACCTTGAGGTTCTTGCGCCGCCTCTGATCCTCCAGGGCGGCAAACCTCTGCTCGGTGATTGCTTGTTGCTGCTGTAGGCCTTTCACCAGGTTCTCCAATGCTACTATCTTCTGTGTCTGTCCGTCTGAAGGTCCCCAGAGTGCTCAGCCTTCCCACTAGGCCTGTGATGTCTGTACGGAGGGAGGCCACATCAGCTTGGATAGTTCTCTGGAGGCCCGTGAGTAGGTCCTTCAGCGCTCCCATTGTGACAGGCTGGGAGTCTGGGCTCCATGGTGTTGGCACCTGTGGTGGTAAGTCAGCAGTCTCCTCATAGAGCGGGTCCTCGTCCGAGGACTCTGTACATTAACCAAGGTATTCGGCCATCTTTGGCCTAGCCGCCACGTGCACTTGGAGTATATCACCAATATTCATCCCCATTCGGGGCTTGTAGGGTTTTTGTTTTTTGTTTTCCTACCCATGCTTGCAGGATTTGCGATGGTGTCTGTTCGTGTGTCCGGTTTTCAATTTTATATAGTTAGTTGATGCCGGAGCTCATATAAATATGTGTCCGTCTGCTACTGGCGTTAGGCTCCACTCCCTTCACCCACTCCAGTGTGGACTTTTTAAGAAGAGAAAAGGCAGTCAAGACTGCTAGAGTGCATCATAAGAGGTATGGGGAAGGTAGGAAAAAAGTAGGGGAGGGGGTCTGTACCAGAATAAGCAGACTAGTGTAGGTTTTTTTTTTTTGCTGGGTCATCAGTTAATTCAGAGAAGCATATTCCAGTAGCCATGGGTTCCAAACTTTATAGAATGGTTTGGTAGCATTAAGGACTATTAGAGAGATTTTGTCCATCTCCACCGCTTCCCTGTCTCTGCTTGTCACCGCCTCCAAGGAAGGTTTGTTATGGTCACCCCATTTTTCTGCTATCCTTCTCCTGGAGGCTAGTTCAATTTTAGACACCATTGTCTCTTGTGCTCTGGTAATATCTCCATGATGTTAAGAGAGCAATCTGAACGGCCCATTTGTTTGTCAAAGTGGTGTTTTGTAGGCCTGTTCCTTATGACTTACACACATTGAAACAGAAGCTGTGGCTTCCCAGATCTTCCCCCAATCTGTAGAGTCCTCCAAGGGACCCAAGTCCCTCTCCCCAGCAGACACATAGGAGAGCGACCCAAGGACCACGTTAGGGGTTATAAGTGCATAAATTGTGGAGATCTGACCCATTTGGACAGGGCATCGCATAAATGTTTTTTCGAATGTAGTGAAGTGGTACCTGCCTTTTTGTTGGCGCAGATGTCCATAAAGCTACAGATTTGTAAGTAGAGAAAATGGTCAAAGGTAGATAAGGAGGTGGTTTGCGGTAGGTCTGGAAATGGTATCAATTGAGCTCCCTGAAATAAATGATTAGTATGTGGAATTGGAAGGTTTGCCTTTGGAGTCGAGTATAATGTTTTTAGAGCATCAAGGGAGGATTGAGGGAAGCCCAGTTTATTCAATGTCGCAAACAGAAAAGGCCAAAGAAGTTGATCAAAAGCCTTTTCAGTATCGGCCTAAAGGAGTAAAGTAGGGATGCGTTGATGGCTAGCCACACAGATGAGGTTAAAGGTTTCTGTTGTCGCATGCCAGTCTAGAAAGGATGAAACCCACTTGGTCCATGTGGACTAATTTGGGCAGGAAAAGGGTTGAGTCAGCCATAATTTTGGTTTAGAGTTTAATATCTACATTTAACAGCGAATTAGTGCCTTGGTTCCAAAAGACTTATTTGGTTTAGGGAGCAGACATATATGTTTGCCTGTAGCATTTCGTGTAGGAGTGGTTCACCTTCAAGTAGTGAATTGAAGAGGTTACAAAGATCAATATATACAAAAATATTTTGTAGTAGATTCCAGAGAACCTGTCTGAGTCAGGACATTTGTTTGGTTTTATAAATTTCAGAGGGGAAGTAACTTTCTCTGGTGTAATTGGTGACGCAAATAGATTAGCTGCTTCTGGGGATAATAAAGGCAGGGATATAGATTAGTGTTCTTCCCTGCCTGTCCCAAGTGCAGTATTCTTGACTTTTCATGTCATCATTACTATCTTTCATTGTGATATATCATCTGAATTGTTAATTCAAGCATGTCTGTTAAAATAAAAATAAAAATTTAACAAATTTAGGCAGGTTTGACCCGTTTTCAGCCGAAAAGGGATAGGCTAGTTTTTGGGCGAAAATGTTGGCACATCCTTAAAGGGACACTCCAGGCACCCAGACCACTTCTGCCCATTGGAATGGTCTAGGTGTCAACTCCCACTACCCTTAACCCTGCAACTGTAATTATTGCAGTTTTCATAAACTGCAATGTATACCTTGCAGGGTAAACTCCTCCTCTAGTGACTGTCTACTGGACAGCCACTAGAGGGCACTTCCTGGTCTATAGCACAGGTTTTCTGTGCTATAGCATCGCTGGACTTCCTCACGCTATGTGAGGACCTCCAACGTCGCCAAAATTCCCATAGGAAAGCATTGAAAAGCATTTTCAATGCTTTCCAATGGAGAGGTCTAAAGTGCCTGACATGATGAAGGGGAGGAGCGTTAGCAGAGGTAGAAGCAGCGGCGTGGGACATGTCGCTGTCTCTGGTAAGTCAATGAAGGGGTTTTCACCCCTTCAGCAACCGGGGATGGGAGGTGGGAGTGAGAGGGGACCTGCAGTGCCAGGAAAACTGATTGGCACTGGAGAGTCCTTTTAACTGTAACCCCTGTGGCATGCAATTTATGGGCATACAAAAAAAAATTCAAAGGTTTTGGAGAGGTGGGGATTTGACCAATAGATTAGAGAAGACAGATGGAATGGATATTTAAGTTATATTCTTTGCAACCTACTGGTCTAAATGCAGAACTCAAAATCTGTCATTTTCTAAACTGAATGGACCTAAACTTGCATTTTATCTTTTCTTTTAAACAATTGTTAAAATTATGTTTTTAATATATTGCAAAATTTTCTAATACATTTTATCTTATTCTATTCCTATGCAATTTTTTAAATTGATATTTAGTTTTACTACAATTTTATTAGATCAGATCATATTATAGTTACTCTTCAATATACCAAATAGTTCCTCAATTTGTCGAGGTTGATTGGACAAGAAATTGTTTTTAATACTTATGTTTAATGAACGCCACACACCAATATTGTCCCTTCTTCACAAACAGTCAACTACAGAACAACTACATTAAAAGGACCACTATAGGCACCCAGACCACTTCAGCTTAATGAAGTGGTCTGGGTGCCAGGTCCACCTAGGATTAACCCTTTCTGCTGTAAACATAGCAGTTTCAGAGAAACTGCTATGTTTACCTATGGGTTAATCCAGCCTTTAGTGGCTGTCTCATTGACAGCCGCTAGAGGCGCTTCTCACTGTGATTTTCACAGTGAGAAGACGCCAGCGTCCATAGGAAAGCATTGAGAATGCTTTCCTATGAGACTGGCTGAATGCGCGCGGCTCTGGAAAAAAGGTAAGATTTAACCCCTTCCTCTCCATCCAGCCCGGTGGGAGGGGGACCCTGAGGGTGGGGTCACCCTCAGGGCACTGTAGTGGTCCTTTAATGTGAGAGGGAAAGGTACTGAAGAGCTGCTACACTCCTTTATATACACCTCAAAGCGCTTTTTGCACACTAACTCCCTGTGAGTTTCATCAGAGGTGCCTACCTGCCTGGAAGGAAAGCTGCAGAGGAGACAATACCTGCCTGGAAGCACAGCAGCTGCAGCCTGGTCTGGTGTAAAAGTTCCAGAGAGGCCCTAGTAAAGCCTCGACAACTGGGGTTGAAGCGCTTCAGGCTACCTTTGCAACGGCTAGGAAGCAGATTGGGAGGAGGTAATCAGGCAGAGTACTGTAGCTCCGTTACAGTGTTCATTAGGGATCAACCGATAATGCTATTTTTATGGTGGATGCCAATAATCTGTGTCCTTTCAGGCCTAACTTGTACCAATATTCTGTACATTTACGGTTTTGAAAAAGTGAATTTCTACACAAATCTGCTGTAAACCAAATATGTTTATTATTTAGTGGGTTTTTTGATTTCTGAAAATTTGAGAGGTAAAAGCAGAAAATATACAAGCCAGTAAGATTTTTTTTTTCACGTTTTCATGAATATTTGAACATTACTTTACTGAGAGGGTAGTGGATGCATGGAATAGCCTTCCAGCTGAAGTGGTAGAGGTTAACACGGTAAAGGAGTTTAAGCATGCGTGGGATAGGCATAAGGCTATCCTAACTATAAGATTAGGCTAGGGACTAATGAAAGTATTTAGAAAATTGGGCAGACTAGATAGGCCGAATGGTTCTTATCTGCCGTCACATTCTATGTGTGTGTGTAGTGGGTGTAGTGGATGCAGTATGTGTTTGTAGTGGTCCTAGCATATAAAAAAAAACAAAAAAACACTGTTCACTTTGCTGCCACTTTCTCTTTAGTATATATAGTTTCAATGATCATATCCATTAAAATCCCCCCCAAAACACTTTTCCTGTGTATCAGCAGTGTGTTGTTCATGTCTGGCAGCCTCCTCCCTTCATTATAGAGGGGAGGAAAGATTAGGATAATGGGCCTTAAATAATTAACCAATTATACAATTTGAAGAAAAAAAAAAAAAGAAAGACAACCTTTTGATTAGCAAAACATTTATTGCTTTTATATTAAATAAAATATTTTTATTTTTTTATTTTTTTTAAAAAGCTTAAATATGTGTTTTACAGATGTAGATGTAACTGCTAAACCAATTAGGTTGGGCATTAAATACATACAAAATAAAGCTTTGCATTCTCACCTTGAGGACAATTACAAGTGAGGATACCATCTAACAACTGCAAATGGAAGTGAATATGACAAGTTTAAAAAAAAAAAAAAAAAGTTAATTGATTTCAGGATTCTTGTACAACACCATTTATGTCAAATGAATACTGCCAAATTAAAGGGATACTAAAACAAAAAGTACAGCAAACATTTGTAGTTTTATTGGTTAATGAACACCTTTAAAGTGACACTAGTCATGAGAATCATTACAGCTTGATATAGTGTTTCTCTATAGCTGGTCCCTGCCGCCTTTCAATGTAAATGTTTCTCAGAGGAAAGAGTGTTTAGATTGTTTTCCTATTAACACTTATAGGTGCATTCATTCAGTCAATAGAGGCTCTTCCATATTTCAGTCCTACAATCGATGCAGGACCCATGTTCACCTGTTTGCTCCCACAGAGATTCATGAATCAATAATGAGATGCTGATTATTGCAGCAGCCTCCCCAACTATTGGATTGACTGAGATCTTGATGATCTCAGCTAGGGAGGGCGGCAGAATGCACCAAAAAGAAAATCTTTTTTACAGTTTATGCTATAGTGTTTTTTTTTTGTTTTGTTTTTTTTAAATAAAGCCTGTTGATTGGGTTTATATAATATATATATATATATATATATATATATATATATATATATATAAATAATGCAGAGTGTGTGTTTGTGTAGTGTGTGTGTGAACTGGGTGGGGGGAGGGCATTTTTATTATTAAATTTTTTTTTTATTTTAATATTATTATTTTAATTTTTTTTTTGTCCCCCCCTCCCTGCTTGTTAACTGGTCAGGGAGGTGGGCTATCTTAATCCCTGGTGGCCCAGTGGCATGGGCTGTGAAGTGCGGGGGCTGGCAGGAAGCATTTACTTACCTTTCCTGCAGCTCCGGTCAGCTCCCTTCTCCTCCGTTCCGGTCAGCTACACTGTAAGTCTCGCGGTCTTGTTGCCGCGCGGATCGTTGCCATGGCTCTGATGGCCGCGGCTCTCTAAGTTGCCATAATACAGACAGTGACTCGAGTATAAGTCGAGTGGGGGTTTTTAAGCACAAAAAATGTGCTGAAAAACTAGACTTATACTCGAGTATATACTGTATATATTTTTCTTCTTACCTTGACTGACAGATAATGACTTTTTGAATTATGTTCTAATATTTTTATTTTTCTGCAAACTAGGAGCCAAGCATATCAAAGATATGAATACTAGCTTACAATATACGAACAAAAGTAAAGATTTTCTGGTGATGGTACATGGAAAAGCTAGTAATTGTCTCGCAGTTACGCTCTGCTCCCTTGCGCACTTTTCTGTGATGCTGGAATAAGATGTCACTCCGGTCCTGGGATCACGACAGATAGCGGAGAGGCACTGCAGATAGATTAGAGAGCAGCCCCACTGGACCCCAGGGAAGATCTGCGCAACACACACACGAACAAATTTAACCCCTTAAGGACCGAGGACGGTTCAGGATCGTCATCGGCATTTTCCCATTGCCGACCGCTGACGGTCCTGAACGGTCCTAACGGTCCTAGTTACTTACCTGATCACCGTCGTTCCCGGTGTGGGGAGACTGCCTGCAGCCCAGACAGACAGACAGTCTCCCCACACTGGATTAGGGCCCCTGGGGCCATGTGATCACAGCGATCACATGGTCACAATAGGTGTCCTTGTGTCTGCCTGCAGGGGGACTGTCTGTGCTGACAGGCAGTCTACCTGCATGTGCAAAATAAAAAATTGTGTGTGTATATATATACATATATACATATATACACACACACACACACACGTCATACTAAGTGTATTTTTATATTAATATGTACTTATATTAATATAAAAATACACTTATTAAATTACACACGTATATAATAACTATTATAAAATATAAATAAGTAATTTAAATTAAATTTTTTTAAAATAATACAAATTGAAAAAAATTATATCTATATGAAATTTTATTCTAACTGTATTTTAAAATTAATATATATATATATATATATATATATATATATATAAATTAAAATACACTTAGAATGAATTTGTATATATCTATGTATATATAAATAAAAATACGAAATATACATATGTCCATATACAAAATTACATAAATAATTATATAAATATACACGTAGACTTCAACTATATAAATATGCATATATATTTAAATTCTATGTGCGTATTTATGTAATATTTTTACATAATTAAAGTAGTTTTATTGATTGCAATTTGAGGGACCTGCCTGCCAACCCAGGCTGAAAGTCCAGAGAATTTGATTTGCTAGCACTATATTTTACCCTGTAACGTTCTACAACCCTAAAACCTGTACATGGGGGGTACTGTTTTACTCCGGAGACTTCGCTGAACACAAATATTAGTGATTCAAAACAGTAAAACATATCACAGTGATGATCTTGTCAGTGAAAGTTACTTTTTTTGCATTTTTCACACACACACACACACACACACACACACACACACACACACACACACAGCACTTTTACTGATGATATTGTTGTGATACGTTTTCCAGTTTTTAAACACTAATATTTGTGTTCAGCGATGTCTCCCGAGTAAAACAGTACCCCCCATGTACAGGTTTTATAGCATTTTTGAAAGTTACAGGGTCAAATATTTTCACATTGAAAATGGCCAGGTTGGTTACAGTGCCTTTGAGAGCGTATGGTAGCCCAGGAATGAGAATTACCCCCATGATGGCATACCATTTGCAAAAGAAGACAACCCAAGGTATTGCAAATGGGGTATGTCCAGTCTTTTTTAGTAACCACTTAGTCACAAACACTGGCCAAAATTAGCGTTCAATTTAGTTTACTTTTTTCACACACACAAACAAATATGAATGCTAACTTTGGCCAGTGTTTTCAACTAAGTGGCTACTAAAAAAGACTGGACATACCCCATATTGAATACCCTGGGTTGTCTACTTTAAAAAAAAAAAAATTATAATAATAATAATATGTACATGGGGGGTGTTATTCAGAGATTTATGACAGATAATAGTGTTACAATGTCACTATTGATAAATTTTAAAAATGTATGTTTTGAAACCGCAATATCCTACTTGTACCTATAGCCCAATAACATGCAAAAAAAAAAAAAAGCACGTAAACACTGGGTATTTTTAAACTCAGGACAAAATTTTTAATCTATTTATTTAAATTTTTCATTTTTTTAAATTAAAATACATGAGATTATATAAATAATGGTATGTAAAGAAAGCCCATTTTGTCCTGAAAAAAAAACAACAATATATAATTTGTATGGGAACAGTAAATGAGAGAGCGGAAAATTACAGCTAAACACAAACACCACAAGAGTGTAAAAATACGCCTGGTCGCAAATGTACAACATCGCAAAAACAGTCAGTCCTTAAGGGGTTAAATACAAGATATAAAACCGGTTATGTTTATTCATATTTGCGTGGTTTAGCACCTAGGCATATTGCACTTTATTGATATTTTTTGTTGAGTGCTGGAATTTTGTGTAGATAGCTCTATCTATATATCGCTTTACTGGACAGGGGGGGGGGGCACGGTATATAATGAAGTCCATTTGTAAAAATGCCGTAGAAAGCTGCAAATCTTTTTTAACAACTAAATAACTAGAGCAACATACAGTAAGAATGAGGTTGAAACCTATTTAATGCACTACTCAATTGCTCAAATACAAATAAAACAAAAGTTTATGAGATTTACCCACATTGTAAATATGCATTTGTTCACTGGAGATCTCAGCCTAATCTTTCTTTGGCTGTACAGTAACGGACTATCCAAGGCAACTCAATGAGAAATTTTTGCAAGGCAAGTGCGCTGGTCAATTTCCTGCCTCTTGAGTTTACCTCCACTGAGTTAAAAGTAACAAGACTGGTTATGTTTGAGAGCCGTTGAGGAAAAGTGTTTAAAGGAGAAGGGCAACAAAATTAACAAGGAGAATAGATTTTAGTTATAACGAAAGTGAGAGGAAAAATAAAACAAAAAAATTCTATTTAATTCCAGCAAATAGCCTCTCGGAGGGGATATAATAACATGATACAAATATATCTGGGGCCAACACAAACCATTGTCTGGAAATCCATTCATAAAGAGAACACAAGGTCACATATTTAGACTGGAAAAAAGGAGATTTAGCCCAAGGCAAAGGAAAGGGTTCTTTAAAGTAGGAACAATAAGGATGTGGAATTATCTGCCTGAAGAAGTGGTTTTATCACTTCTTCAGGCAGAGTCTATATAGATGTTTAAACAGTAACCAGATGAATACTTGCAAACATATTTTATATGCGAGTTAACAGCTTCTTTATCTTAGTAGAAAGCAGACTGCCATTCTGGAGTCAAGAATTAATTATTTCATAGTTTGTGATGACATTGGAAAGCGCTTTAAACTAGGTTTTTTTAGCCTTCTTTTGGATCAACAGAAGAAACAGATGTGAGAAAGGCTGAGCATGATATACGGAAGCTTTTTTTCCCCCAGCTTAACTAAAAATAAAAACTCCAGAGTCAGAAGTAAATCCGTATTTCTAACATTTATTGTGCCATTGTCCCAAATCAGGCAATAATTTATTTTTAATACTATTAAATAAAAAATAAAAAATAAATCATGTTTAAAGTTATCTTTTTCCAGCACAGAAACTCCAAGAGGGCTGCTCATCTCTACTGCGACACCCAGGAGGCAGGACCTCCTCCGGCAATGGTCTAGTCCACAACGCCAGCACAAATCAAACACAGCCCTGACCAATCAGCATCTCCTCAGAGATGCATTGAACCAATGTATCTCTATGAGAAAAGTTCAGTGTCTCCATGCAGAGCGTGAAGACACTGCAGTACTGCCCCAGGAAGCACCTCTAGTAGTCATTTGAGGATTGGCCAGTAGAGGTATCCTCAGGCTGTAATGTAAACACTGCATTTTCTCTGAAAACAATACTAACTGGGAAAAAAAGCCAAGGGGATGATTCTACTCACCAGAACAATGTTTACCACTATAGTTTCAAAGTATTGTGAATGCAAGTATTACATTGATAAAGCTGAATATGAAGTCCATTCATACTAATTATTCCCTCTTTAAAATGTATCTACAAAGTTAGGGGTCAAAATGCATGAACCAAATAAACGGTTTCTATGTAGGCTGAGAGGTCAGTAGCGCTATGCAGAAACGAATTACTTCTTTAACACAAAACATCACAATGAGCTTTGCACATTACCAATTTCGCAATATAGATTTCTGCTAAAAATGAAGATCAAACAGAAGTGATGTTTCTGCATTGGACCACTGACCAATCTGATCCCTTTCTGCCTATAAAGAGTAACAGTTCATGCATTTTTGCCCCCTAAATTTGTAGATTCAATACAAAGGAAATAACTACGGTCTATAGATTTCAAGCTTCCAGCCAATTACCTATATTACCCCTCAACGCAAATGTCACATGGTAAAAGACCATGCCAATTAGCTTGCTAAATATTTAACTTTTAAACTAAACAGGTATGTCAGATCTTTAGAACAAATATCCTAAAAGTTCACACATCACACAGCTTTAAAAAAAAAAAAAAAAATGTTAATGCAGAAATTTCAAAATGCACACAATCAGACCATGAACCTACACGAATAGCCAGCAACTGAATTCAGCCTATGCTCTCTATATTCTCACTTGTTGGTGAGCATCTGCAAATGCAATGTATACAATCAGCTATCACGTTCGTGATGCTTTGAATGAATTTACATAGAATAAATGGTTTCAGTTTACTGAGAAATTGCCCAGAATTGTCCAGCACCACAAACATGAAGAAAATAGTCTGCATCTCAAGAAAACTCTGAAAAACTGTTTAACATGTTCCACCACCACACGGGTTTGGGCTTTTATAGCCAGTTATGGATTACAACGAGTTATGCCAAAACACGTTGTGACAACCAATGTTTAACAACTGTTCGATGAAGTAATATGAAAACCATTTCCCAAGTTGGTAACTGTTATTATATGCATATGTTACTCTTGTGTACCATAAAAAAAAATAAAAAAAAAAAATTGTTTTTTTGGTTTACCCTCTTGTGACATACTGGGTACAACCACTACTGCTTGTTATAAGCATTCCTATTAGACCACTAAGAATACCCAGAATTTGCTCAAATTCTGTTTCAAACACAGTGGGTGGGCTCAACTCAGTAGCAAATTTAAAAGGAACACTCCAAACTGTTAAAAAAATTAAAAGCTATATATTTTTTAATATTTCCCAACTCACTTCACCCAGTGATATGTTCTTTTTGCCTAATTCTCCCACACTGAGATCATCACAATCGATTAACTCAGGTCCAATCCGACACTACTCATATTGGGTGGAATTAAAGAGTTTTGTAAAGTGCCAAGTTCGCCTGAAACCTGGACTTAAAAAAACAAACAAACAAAAAAAACCACAGATTAACTCCTAAGACACGTCAGCTTGTGCTTTATGGGACTGGAGTGTTCATTTAAAAATGTATGATTTGTGTATTTATTTTTTTATTTTTATTTAAGGAATATAGTTCTACTATTACAGTTTATTTCCTCCAGCAGAAAGCACACATAAGGACAAAAACCAGGTCTCCACACCTTCATTGTGGTGCACCAAAAATTAAAATCAGTATCGAAAATTAGAAAGGAAAAGTTGTAAATATCCCACCAAGAGTTTGAGATGACGACCATAGGACAATATAAGAAGACACTGTGCAAAATAAAAATATTACAATGTACAGGCACACCATATACAACTCTACAATCTCAACATATTACATGCAAAGCAGGGGGGGTGGGGAGGGATATACACCAATGAATCTCAACATCTTGCAATATTTTGTGAGTGCACAAAAGTTCTCATACAACACTGCATTTAATGTAGTACCCACAATCACACATGCATTACATTCAGTAAGGCACACAGCTTACACCACATCTTTTATGACATTTAGTGTGACACATCAAATTTTAAGGGTGTCAACGATTACACCAAAGTTATTAGCCGTTTTTAATTGTTACAGCTAACTGTACAAAATTCACGTGAGGCCCTGCAATGCAATTGGTGGGATGCAGAAAAGGGGTGTACAGTTTATCTCCCAATCACGCATTTAATTTAATGGGGTGCACTGACCCACTTATATGCCCTGCACTCAGTACAGGTGCAGAGAGACATGTACAATTCCTCTCCATGCAATGCATTTAGTGGTTTCACAAATCAAATCCAACACCCTGCTTTAAACTTACCAAGGTGCATTCATCGGGGGTACATACTGTATCTCAGACTCATTCAAACAAAAGGGTGCAGAATCCCCATTCCAGTTTTCATATTCAATCACAGGGGTACACAGACCACAAGCCAAATTCCACATTAATACAAAAGGAGTGCAGTGAAGGGTGCACAGACCCCATGCCAGATTCCGCATTCTTACAAGGGGTGCACAGACCAGATTCCGCATTCATATTAAGGGGTGCACAGACCCCCTTCCAGATTCCGCATTCATACAAAGGGGTGCACAGACCCCCTTCCAGATTCCGCATCCATACAAAGGGGTGCACAGACCCCCTTCCAGATTCCGCATCCATACAAAGGGGTGCACAGACCCCCTTCCAGATTCCGCATCCATACAAAGGGGTGCACAGACCCCCTTCCAGATTCCGCATCCATACAAAGGGGTGCACAGACCCCCTTCCAGATTCCGCATCCATACAAAGGGGTGCACAGACCCCCTTCCAGATTCCGCATCCATACAAAGGGGTGCACAGACCCCCTTCCAGATTCCGCATCCATACAAAGGGGTGCACAGACCCCCTTCCAGATTCCGCATCCATACAAAGGGGTGCACAGACCCCCATCCAGATTCCGCATCCATACAAAGGGGTGCACAGACCCCCTTCAGATTCCGCATCCATACAAAGGGGTGCACAGACCCCCTTCAGATTCCGCATCCATACAAAGGGGTGCACAGACCAGATTCATCCATACAAGGGTGCACAGACCCCCCTTCAGATTCACGCGCATCCATACAAGGGGTGCACAGACCCCCCTTCAGATTCGCATCCATACAAAGGGGTGCACAGACCCCCTTCAGATTCCCGCATCCATACTTGCACAGACCCCTTCAGATTCGCATCATACAGGGGTGCACTGACCCGCTTCAGATTCGCATCCATACAAAGGGTGCACTGACCCGGTGCACAGGCCAGATTCCGCATTCTTACAAGGGGTGCACAGACCAGATTCCGCATTCATATTAAGGGGTGCACAGACCCCCTTCCAGATTCCACATTCATACAAAGGGGTGCACAGACCCCCTTCCAGATTCCACATTCATACAAAGGGGTGCATTAACCGCTTCCAGATTCCGCATTCATACAGAGGGGTGCACAGACCCCCTTCCAGATTCCGCATCCATACAGAGGGGTGCACAGACCCCCTTCCAGATTCCGCATCCATACAGAGGGGTGCACAGACCCCCTTCCAGATTCCGCATCCATACAGAGGGGTGCACAGACCCCCTTCCAGATTCCGCATCCATACAAAGGGGTGCACAGACCCCCTTCCAGATTCCGCATCCATACAAAGGGGTGCACAGACCCCATTCCAGATTCCGCATCCATACAAAAGGGTGCACTGACCCGCTTCCAGATTCCGCATCCATACAAAAGGGTGCACTGACCTGCTTCCAGATTCCGCATCCATACAAAAGGGTGCACTGACCCGCTTCCAGATTCCGCATCCATACAAAAGGGTGCACTGACCCGCTTCCAGATTCCGCATCCATACAAAGGGGTGCACTGACCCGCTTCCAGATTCCGCATTCATACAGAGGGGTGCACTGACCCGCTTCCAGATTCCACATTCATTCAAAGGGGTGCACTGACTCCATGGCAGGCGCTGTATTCACACAAAAAGGTGCACAGACCACCATTCATACAAATGGGTGCAGAGAGGGGTTCACAGACCCCGTGCCAGATTCTGCATTTATACAAAGGGATGCACTGACTCCATGACGGTCTCTGTATTCACACAAAGGGGTGCAGAGAGGGGTGCACAAATCCCATTCAATCACTAGGGTGCAGAGAGGGGTGCACATACCCCATGCTAGAATCTGCACTTATACAGAGGGGGTGCAGAGAGGAATGCATGGCCCCTATGGCATGGTCTGCATTCATACAATGAGGTACAGAGAGGGGTGCACAGACCCCATTCCAGATTCTGCATTCAGTTACTGGGGTGCAGAGATAACCCCCAGAATCTACATTAATGTCCTATGCATGCAGAGCCCACCCCATGCATGCATTACATATTATATATCACAGAGGAGGGCACTGGTCACCCGGAATACCCTGTATTGCATTTTAGGGAATGCACAGGAACCCACACACTCAGCTTGCCCCTCCCCCAGTCCATCCTCTCACCTCCTCCGGGTATCCCCCAGACGCAGACATTTCCTCTGCTCCGCTTAGGCCCCCTGCCTCGGACTCCAGGTCCCCGTTAAGCAGTGAGGGCCCCTCAGCCGATCCCCCGCTTAGCGCCGCCATCTTGAACTGATCGGGAGCTGCGGGAGCGAGCACGGGACCAAGGCGCACGCGCTCCCACTCTCGCCTACCAGGTCTGCGCAGCGTCACGAGAGAGGAGGAGATATGAGGAACGCGCGTGGACGAATGAGAACAACCAATCAGTGAAGAGCAAGGGCGGGGTTTCCTGGGCGCTTGATACGTCAGACAGGGGGAACCCTTTGCCGCTAACTCCGCCTACACGTACAGGTGCAGTGTGCGCGTGCACAAAACATAGCCCTGACGTCATTGATCCCTGCGGCCGTGACGTCAGATTTGTGTTTTAACCAGAGACCGAGGAAGGATAGCAGTAGACAGATATAATCACACAGGACAGATATGCCAGACAGATATAGAGATAAACAGATAGATAGATAATTGCACATGGCAGATACAGAGCTGCTACTGAGGGAGAATGGGCTACAATAACAAATATAATCATACAGAATAACATAGCTTTATTAATACACGGATATATAGACTGACTCTGCAACAAGGATACAGATATAAATAGATATAATGCAGGGCAGATATAAGCACACGGACAAAATAAATTTGCGATTGTGACAGTAGTCACCATCCTGGGAGCAGAAGGACACTTTACATAGGTTCTGGAATTGTTCTTATATTAGAAACATAGAAACATAGAATGTGACGGCAGATAAGAACCATTCGGCCCATCTAGTCTGCCCAATTTTCTAAAAACTTTCATTAGTCCCTAGCCTTATCTTATAGTTAGGATAGCCTTATGCCTATCCCATGCATGCTTAAACTCCTTTACTGTGTTAACCTCTACCACTTCAGCTGGAAGGCTATTCCATGCATCCACTACCCTCTCAGTAAAGTAATACTTCCTGATATTATTTTTAAACCTTTGTCCCTCTAATTTAAGACTATGTCCTCTTGTTGTGGTAGTTTTTCTTCTTTTAAATATAGTCTCCTCCTTTACTGTGTTGATTCCCTTTATATATTTAAATGTTTCTATCATATCCCCCCTGTCTCGTCTTTCCTCCAAGCTATACATGTTAAGATCCTTTAACCTTTCCTGGTAAGTTTTATCCCGCAATCCATGAACCAGTTTAGTAGCCCTTCTCTGAACCCTCTCTAAGGTATCAATATCCTTCTGAAGATAAGGTCTCCAGTACTGTGTACAATACTCCAAGTGAGGTCTCACCAGTGTTCTGTACAATGGCATGAGCACTTCCCTCTTTCTACTGCTAATACCTCTCCCTATACAACCAAGCATTCTGCTAGCATTTCCTGCTGCTCTATTACATTGTCTGCCTACCTTTAAGTCATCAGAAATAATCACCCCTAAATCCCTTTCCTCATATGTTGAGGTTAGAACTCTATCAAATATTCTGTACTCTGCCCTTGGGTTTTTACGTCCAAGATGCATTATCTTGCACTTATCCACATTAAATGTCAGTTGCCACAATTCTGACCATTTTTCTAGTTTACCTAAATCATTTGTCATTTGGCTTATTCCTCCTGGAACATCAACCCTGTTACATATCTTAGTATCATCAGCAAAAAGACATACCTTACCATCAAGACCTTCTGCAATATCACTAATAAAAATATTAAAGAGAATGGGTCCAAGTACAGATCCCTGAGGTACCCCACTGGTGACAAGTCCAAGCTTCGAATATATTCCATTAACTACAACCCTCTGTTGCCTGTTACTCAGCCACTGCCTTACCCATTCAACAATATTTGAATCTAAACTTAAAGATTGCAGTTTATTGATAAGCCTTCTATGTGCAACAGTGTCAAAAGCCTTACTGAAATCTAGGTAAGCAATGTCTACTGCACCACCCTGATCTATATTTTAGTTACCCAATCAAAAAAATCAATAAGATTAGTTTGGCATGATCTCCCTGAAGTAAACCCATGTTGTCTCTGATCTTGAAATCCATGTGATTTTAGATGTTCAACAATCCTATCCTTTAACATGGTTTTACTTTCCCCACTACTGAAGTAAGGCTTACTGGCCTATAGTTGCCCGACTCCTCCCTACTACCTTTCTTGTGAATGGGCACAACATTCGCTAACTTCCAATCTTCTGGGACTACTCCTGTTAACAATGATTGGTTAAATAAATCTGTTAATGGTTTTGCTAGTACACCACTAAGCTCTTTTAATAGCTTTGGGTGTATTCCATCAGGTCCCATTGACTTATTTGTCTTTACTTTTGACAGTTGAAATAGAACCTCTTCCTCTGTAAACTCACGTGTAATAAATGACTCATTTATCCTTTTTCTCAACTGAGGTCCTTTCCTTCATTTTCATCTGTAAATACAGAACAAAAATATTCATTGAGGCAGTCAGCTAGACCTTTATCCTCTTCTACATACCTTCCTTCTTTTGTTTTTAATCTAACTAATCCTTGTTTTACTTTTCTTTTCTCATTTATGTATCTAAAAATGTTTTATCCCCCTTTTTTACTGTCTGTGCTATTTTCTCTTCTGTGTGTGATTTGGAAGCTCTTATAACTTGCTTAGCCTCTTTCTGCCTAATCTTATAGATCATTTTGTCTCCCTCACTCTGGGTTTTTTTATAATTCCTAAATGCTAACTTTTTGTTTTTAACTATTTTGGCCACATCTGCGGAGTACCACAGTGGTTTCTTGAATTTTTTGCTTTTACTGACAAGCCTAATGCAATTTTCTGTTGCCTTCAATAGTGCAACTTTTAAATAATCCCATTTTTCTTGGACTCCATTTAAATTGCTCCAGTCTGATAATGACTCCTCTACCCATATTCTAATTTTAGAAAAGTCTGTTTTTCTAAAGTCTAAAACTTTTGTTTTTGTGTGGTGTGACTCAGTCACTGTTCTTATATTAAACCACACTGACTGATGATCACTGGATCCTAAACCTACTAATATCTGATACCAAATCTCCATTTGTTAACACTAAATCTAGTATGGCCTCTTTACGAGTTGGCTCCTCAACAACTTGTTTTAGAGACAATCCCAGTAGGGAGTTTAGAATATGTGTGCTCCTGGCACAAGTAGCTAATTTTGTTTTCCAATTTACATCAGGAAGATTAAAGTCACCCATGATGATAACTTCCCCCTTCATTGTCATTTTAGCTATTTCCTCAACTAGTAGATTATCTAACTCTTCAATTTGTCCTGGGGGCCTATAAATCACACCTACACGAGTTACTGTGTGATTACCAAATTCTAACGTAGCCCAAACGGACTCTATGTTTGCCTCACTAACTTTTATTAGGCTAGATTTTATGCTATCCTTCACATACAAGGCCACCCCTCCCCCTTTCTTGCCTTCCCTATCTTTCCTATATAAAGAGTACCCTGGTATTGCTATGTCCCAGTCATTTTTCTCATTGCACCATGTCTCAGTAACAGCGACTAAATCTACACTATCAGTTGCCATTATTGCCACAAGTTCATGGATCTTATTCCCTAAACTGCGAGCATTTGTAGACATGACTCTAAGCTTATCATTTTAACACACTTGCTACAGGCACCTTCTGTCCTTGTTTTGGGGACAATTGGATTGATGTTTTATCACCCTTTTGCCCCCCCCTCCTAGTTTAAATACATCCTAGCAAAACCTCTGAACTGCTCACTGAGAACATTTGTTCCCTTTTGAGAAAGATGCAAACCATCTTTTTTGTACAGCTTATCTCCATTCCAAACAGAGCTACCATGAGAAATAAAGCCAAATCCTTGCTCCCGACACCATTCACCAAGCCACAAATTAAAGTCCCTAATACGCATCCGCCTGTCGTTCTGAGTGTTATGCACAGGCAGAACTTCAGAGAATGACAGTGTGGAAGCAACCTGCCGTATATCATTGGCAAAAACACTAAAAACTTCCTTAACCTCTGAAACCTCATTGCAAGCCAAGTCATTTGTCCCTAGATGGACAAGTACATCCAATTCCCCTTCCTGCTTTGCTTGCTTAACAATATTACAGATACGTCTCCTGTCTCTGTGAGCAGTAGCTCCAGGAAGACACCTCACAAGACCACCATTGTCCATCTCCACACCTCTTATAATGGAATCACCCAACAACAACTGCTTTCTATTAGGCCTCACCATAGTCTCCAAGCCGGTCTCCACAACACCACTAGTCTCAGTGCCTCTCTCCACAACAACCCTAGCCTCAGTGCCTCTCTCCACAACACCACTAGCCTCAGTGCCTCTCTCCACAACATCACTATCCTCAGTGACTCTCTCTACAACACCACTAGTCTTAGTGCCTCTCTCCACAACACCACTAGTCTTAGTGCCTCTCTCCACAACACCACTAGTCTTAGTGCCTCTCTCCACAACACCACTAGCCTCAGTGCCTCTCTCTACAACACCACTAGTCTTAGTGCCTCTCTCTACAACACCACTAGTCTTAGTGCTTCTCTCCACAACACCACTAGCCTCAGTGCCTCTCTTCACAACACCACTAGCCTCAGTGCCTCTCTCCACAGCACCACTAGTCTTAGTGCCTCTCTCCACAACACCACTAGCCTCAGAGCCTCTCTCCACAACACCACTAGCCTCAGTGCCTCTCTCCACAACACCATTACACTCTGAAAGTGCAGAAAATGAATTATGCAGAGCAACAGACTGTGCAAAATGCCTTTTATCCACAACTCTAAGTCTACCAGATCCTACAGTAATCCATCTGCCTTTCCTAGCATGTCTCTGCGGCAGTGGCTTTGCAGCAGTTCCAGTCTGAGTTTCTACACCAGATAATTTACAAATCTCAGACTTCAAAAAATACAATCTCCTGCCGCAAGATAGAGAACTGTCTACAGATAAGACAACAACCAAACCTCCAAAAAGTGGAACGTGAAACAAATGCATAGCAATTGTTACACTGAACTAAGCCTGCCATTCCAATTATGAGAATAATTTAAATCTAACAAATCTTAACTTTTTTCTTTATCCTCCAGAATACCTCAGATTACCTCCAGGTTATCTCCAGAATATCTCCAACTACACACTTAGAAACTGCACTTAGAAGTAACACCAAGCTATATTAGACAAGCTAATGAGACCAAGCCTTATATAACTCCTTAAATCACCGCCCACTAGGAATGTTTAACACCTGGGTAGGCCTCTGCTTATTTGCAACAATAGCTAATTAACCAGCAATCAACAGCAAGTAACTAGCTTAATCAAATCAAATGCCTTATAATTACCAACAGGAATTCAAACCTTGGGCAATCAGTAACCTTTTCCTACAGATGAATCTTACCTGTAACAGTAGAAAAGAAAGCTCTTAGCACAACTCTTAGACAGTTGAAGCTTCTGTAGCAACAGCTATATGCACTACCTGAATAGGCGTGTTAATTTGCATATTCAGGTAGATTTGCATAGTACTAATTCTGTAGTCAGGAGATATATTTTGTGCTAGTTATTGTCTTCCCCACCCTGTTAAAAATAAATCATGTTATAATAAGTTTGTGTATGTTGTCTAATGTGATTTGATTGTTTGTAGTTTTATGGAGTTGTCACCAAAACTTTTATGTAATGAGCTGTAACAAACGCTGGTATAACAGCTCCCCGTTCGTTTATTTCCTCCCGAACTGCCTGAGCGATTATAGCTCGCAGTTCGGGTGCTGAGTCTCCACCACCGCCTTGCTGACGTCGCAGCCTTGCTGGAACAGGGTGGCCGTCCACCAACCATCCACTACTCCATCCATCTGGACCATCCAGGGTTGCACGGCCCTCATCAGTTAACAGGACTGTTTGAAAATTAGTCTTCATGTATTTTTCTTCCTAATGCAGCAGTTTCTGCTTGTGAGCATTGGTTAGTGGTGGCCGAATAGAAGGTTTATGTACAGTTGCAAGACTCTGGAGGACTCTACACCTTGATGTCCGTGGGACTCCAGAGGCACCAGCAGCTTCAAATATCTGTTTGCTGCTATGTAATGGTATTTTAGCAGCTGCTCTCTTGATCTGATGCATGGATCTGGCAGAAATCTTCCTTAATGTGCCTTTATCTGCACGAACCCGTCTGTGCTCTGAATCAGCCACAAATCTCTTAATAGTGTGATGATCACGCTTTTCGTGAAATATCTAATGTTTTCATACCTCGTCCAAAGCATTGAACTATTTCACTCTTTTTGGCAGCAGAGAGATCATTTTTCTTCCCCATATTGCATGAAAATGGTGCTCTGCTTAATAATGTGGAACACCCTCCTTTAGTAGTTTTTCCTTAAATTGGGCTCACCTGGCAATCTAATTATCACAGGTGTGATCACACAAGTCCATCCATGAGTTAAACTGATATACAGAATTTTTAATCTTTATGACACTTAAATAGAATTTGCATAATAATTTGGAACAGGGTGTAATTATCTCCAGGCAGAAAAAACACAATTTCTACAAAACTTGATAAGTACCCCAAAACATACAAAATCCCCATAAATTTCTCATATCCCCGGACAGCCCTGCTCTGGGTGACCAACATATCCAAAAATCACCCAGATCAGTTCAGGGGTTTTGGAATTTTATGGAAGTCCAATTTTGACCGACTGCACACAAGGCTCCTGCCCAGAAACAGTTCCATGAGTTTAGGTTGCGCAGCTGGTCTATTTCGACAAGTCTTAAAAACGAACAAATGCACGAACTACACCCTCTTGCTCATAGTAGCGATTGTTCCCCTGGTTCGTGGGAACCAAACTATCGAACAGCGCTCTCCTGGCTGTTCAAGAAAAGGAAGCAGGTGTTCGTACAGTTTGACCGGTGTTCGGGAAGTCAAGTGTGATTTTAGTTCCAGACACTCGACGACCAAGTACCGCTGTAACTGCATTCTAGAGCATTCTAAAACTTGTAATATTTGCATTTGCCCATAACACCGCTACCTCCTTTCGTACGAACAAAATGGCACACAGGGAAAGCACTTAATCGACTGTTCTCTTTGAAGATAATGAGCCAGGGGGGTGGTCGGTATTCGGTAGTTACAGTAAAATAACCAAAATAACTCTGTAATTTCTTCACATGAGCCTATGGGCTAGTCCCGCAGAAAAAAATAAAGATGAGTGTGTTAGTTCATTTTGGAACTATGTGTTCTATGTGGATTTTTAGGAATCCCAGTAACAGAGTTGTCATATCTGTTAGTTGACTGCACAATCCCTCTAGCCTTGGAGTAAATAAAAAAGATCTAGGCCTGAAAGACGCAAATGTGTTTATAAAACTAAAAGTTAACACATTGCAGGTGCATACCTGCCTGAAAGGAAAGCTGCAGAGGAATAGGCAGAAAGGATGATACCTGCCTGGAAGAAAGGCTGCAGAAGAATAGGCAGAGGGGATGATACCTGCCTGAAAGGAGAGCTGGAGCCTAGGTGGGGTTGAAGTGCTCCAGTGTCCCGGCAAGCGACTAGGAAGCTTACTGGGTGGAGGTGCTTGGTCAGAGTACCGTGATGTATAAATATACACACACACTTATATGAGGGGCTTGCCAAAAATTGCTTGGAATCTAGGAGTCAGCTAAAAAAGTTAGGAGATAGTATTTTTTTTAACATTAACAAAGCTTTATTTTTAATGACAAAAATAAAATTCTTAAAGGTACACTATGTTCACCACTACAGCTTTAAAAAAAAGGTAGAGTTTACATTGGTGCCTAGTAACACCTCTAGTGACAGTCACTCAGACGCCACTAGAAGTGCTTCTTAGTCCAGTACTGCACAATGTGTAGCACCTACATTCAGTCTCCATGCTCTGCATGGAGATGTTGGATGTTCGTCAGAGATGCAGTGATAAAATGCACGTCTATGATGAGATGCTGATCCTATGGGAAAGCATCGGATTGGCTGAGTTAATTACCAGATTTTACTAATTTCATGACGTAAAGTCATGATTTTATAAAGGACACGGAGGCGAGTATTATGCTTTCCTATTTCTTTTATTCCTCAGCAGCAAAATAAATATTGTATATATATTCAATGAAAAAAGAAAACAATTCAATAACACCACATCATAACTTCTAAAGGGTTAACCAAATACCACATAGGAACCAATTAGAATGTCCCCATTACAACAAAGTCCCATGTGACCCTAAGCCACTCCTCTTTCTTTTGGTGTTGCTGATGGACACTCCAAAATTCGGCAATGAAAAAACAACCAGTAGTCGTGTAGAGAAAAAGAGTGAATCCAATAGAAGATGACGTCGGACAAAAAAACCAACAAACCCTGAAGAAAAACCTGGTCATCCTCCATCCGCACCTCTGTGGGTATGCCTGGACCATTATGGCACTCCAACTAGGAAGCTGTAAGACAGAGAAACGAGATGGTAAAATGTGTTCTTGGATAATATTTTTTCCACGTTCATATTCCAACGCTATCTAACACTAAATCATTCTCATGTTAGTAACTCAAATGGAAGATAAAATAGCACATTATCACACGGCTCCAGTCCCATAACATACATTACATTCCCAGAGGAGGGCAACTTACCTTTAGTGGGTGGGATAATGCTCGCCTCCGCGTCCTTTATAAAATCATGACTTTACGTCATGAAATTTGTAAAATCTGGTAATTTTATTAAAGGACACGGAGGCTCTTATAATGCTAGTTCAAAGCTGTGTGATCACTGACGTGGAAAAATGGGGAACCGGACGGAAATAAAATTCACGTAATGTAGATTCTCTCGACCAATCGGCTGCTCAGAGGAGATCTTCCAATTTACAGCCTAATGAAAACGCTTTTGATACCATCGCACCCCTCACTGAATGTGCTCCGTATGTGGAAGTATCAATGCCTGCCGACGTCATGATCCATTTGACCCAGCGAGATATGGTGACTGTAGAAACCGGACGATGCGGTTGTCGAATGGCCAGGAATAGGTCAGCACATTGAGGATCTCGGACCGCCGCCGTCCGTGCTTCATACTCTTTGAGGCAGGCTACTGGGCATAAATTACTATTATGTGGAAAAGCGGGGTAAAAAACCTTTGTGATGGACGTTTTTGTACGTCTCGATATATATAAGGCCACCCTTTCCGGTGTATATGAGCGTGCCTGAATGTCCAATGCTCATACATCTGAGACCCGTTTACAGGAGATGAGGCAAAACAACGTGACCAATTTTGCGGTGAGTTGCTTGATCGACAAACCTTCGTTCTTTGGCCAACTTTCAAAAAGTCGGAGAACGAGGTTCACATCCCATACCTCCGAATACAGAGGTCGTGGTGGTCGTGCAAATTTTATGCCTCATAGGAGTCGACACACCATCAGATGTTTCCCTGTTTGAATTCCATTCCAACCTACGTGGCCTGCCGAGATAGCTGATCTATATAGATTAATTGTACGATACGCCAGGCCGTGGTCGAAAAGTGAAGTAAGGAAACCCAAGACTTGACTCACAGTTGCAGATATGGGATCCACGTGTTGTTCCACGCACCAACCATACCATGCGTTCCAGGCATGTAAATTCGATTTCCTTGTACCTGGGGCCCAAGCTTCTGCCAGGAGGTCCAGAGTTGTTTGTGGAACATTTGGGATGTCATCGAGTCCCCTGAGAGGAGCCATGCCAAAAGCTTGAGATGTCCCTGCAGTATGAGAGGATGCGGATTGCCATAGGGATCCAGGAGAATGTCCTCGTGTACCGGTAGTAACCTCGGCAGATCTATTGACAGTTCCAGGAGTGTAGGGAACCAGGGTTGAGACGTCCAGAAGGGAGATACGAGGATTAGAGAAGTCCGGTGTCGTCTGAGGTGCAGCAAGGTCCTTGCGATGAGAGAAAAGGGGGGAAAAGCGTAATGTCTGGCGTTCGGCCACTGTTGTCGGAAAGCGTCCGTCGCTAGAGCCTCCGGATCCGGCCTCCAACTGAAAAACCTCGGTAATTGCGTGTACAGTCGTGACGTGAACAGATCGTTGTCCAGCGGCCCCCACAGTGATTGCAAATGGCTGAAGATGGCCGGGTTCAACCGCCAGTCGCTGGCATCCCGTAGATGTCTGGAATTCCAATCTGCTACTACATTGCTCATCCCCGGGATGTGTTCCGCTTGCACTGATATGTTGCGGTCCAGGCAGAACTGCCAGAAATCCTTTGCTGACCTCGTGCACCCGAGGTGGTTGATATATCGAACCGCTGAAACGTTGTCCATGCGTAACAGGATGGAACAGTTGGTCGACACGTTCAAAAGACTCCGTAAAGCAAACAAACCTGCCAACAGTTCGAGGCAATTGATATGAAGTCCCTGTTCCTCTCTGGACCATCGTCCTCCAGTGGAGAAAGGTCCGCAGCGCGCACCCCAACCGAGCAAGCTTGCATCGGATTCCACTACGAGGTCCGGAGCTGTTCCGAAGATCGCGCGGCCATTCCAGGCTTCCATGTGTTGTAGCCACCATTTGATTTTGTCTTTGGCGGCACAGTCGAGAGGAACAGAAGTTGAATATGAGTGCCCCAAACGAAGGTATTTTGCCTTTAACCGTTGAAGTGCTCTGTAGTGTAGGGGTCCGGGAAAGATGGCCTGAATTGACGCAGAGAGGAGGCCTACAATCCTGGCCAGCTGTCTCAAAGTAAGGACAGGATGTGCGAGCGTCCGCTTGAGCTCCTTTTTGATGGCCTTGACCGGAGTAGGAGCGTTCCGGTCACCGCGTCTATGGTGAATCCCAGGAACTCTATTGCTTGCGAGGGTTCGATGACGGACTTCTCCCAGTTGATTAGAAAGCCCAGGTTTTCTAACAGATTTCTCGTCCAAGAGAAATGTTCTTGCAACAGAAGCGGGTCCTGCGCCATGATGAGGATATCGTCCAGGTATATTATGAGCCGTACTCCCCTGCTGCGTAGGAGGGCGACCACTGGTTTCATGAGCTTTGTGAAGCACCAGGGGGCCGATGAGAGACCGAATGGTAGGCATTTGAATCACCACATGGTCTCTTCCCAGCGGAATTGTAGGAAGTGGTGGCAGTCGTCGGCCATTGGGACCGTGAGGTATGCGTCCTTCAAGTCGAGTTTGACCATCCAGTCCCCTGTGAGGAGGAGGTCCCGGAGAGAGTGTATACCTTCCATCTTGAAGTTGTGGTACGTGACAAACATGTTTAAAGGTCTCAAGTTGATGACTGGGCGAATACCTCCGCCTTTTTTGGGTACTAAGAATAGGTTGCTTAGGAAGCCCGGTGTGACAGGGGGAATTGTATAAATTGCCCCCTTGGAGGCTAGGGCCTGGACCTCTCGGGTTATCAACTCTCGGTCATGAGTGGGGAACACCATTCGGCCGGGGGGTTTCAGTTGGACCGGGTATTGCACAAATCTATAGAATAACCCCCGACCGTGTGGAGCACCCAGGCATCCGCAGTGAACATGTGCATTCTTTGACAAAATGGCCCAGTCTGCCCCCCACCATAGTTAATGCAGACATATGAGGAGGTAGTGCACTTACCATAAGGTCGTCGGCCATATGAAGAGCCTCTGGGTCCTCGGGTTTGCCACGGTCTGCCTCGAACCGGGAAGAACGGTGAGGCTTGTTTGGGTTCTGGGGGCGTGAATCTGGATTGCACGGAGCCACGAGAGCCCGGTATGAGCCCCGGGGCGAGCGGCCAGGCAGACGGCCCCGATATCTGCCGGCCCCGCCAAAAACCCTCTGATGGAACACTCGTTTCATGCTGGCTTGAGCCTTATCAAGTGCCGTAAAGGTGCCCACATATGTGCCTAGTTCTTTCACAAAGTTATCCCCGAATAGGAGGGCTTTAGCCTGGGGACCTGGCTCTGAGATAGCTAGGTTTAATAGCTTAGGCTCAATTTTAATTAAAATCGCCTTGCGTCTTTCCATGGCCACCGCCGTATTAGCGTTGCCCAGGAGACACACGGCACGCTGGATCCACCCCCTGAGGACTTCCAGGTCCAGCGGTGCACCCCCTGCCAACGCGATTTCGACCATTTCGAACATCCTCGCGATCGGTCCAAGGATCGCCAGGCAAAATCTTCTTGGCCTTCCAGCCTGACTTTCCCCAAAATTGGGCGATTTTTGGGTCCACTTCCGGGGTGGCACATGCCATATCCGGGACCGTGGGGCGTGGGCATTCCGCCCGCAACTTGTTTCGCGCCACCTTATCCAGTGGCTTTCTGATGCGGGCAGCGATGTATTTCGCTACGTGGTCCAGCGGGTACCACTCGGAGGACCTCGGGTGCTGTAGGGTGTCCGGTGGCTCTAGGCGTTGTGGCACTATATGCACTGTTCTCAGCCTGCATGTCTGGGGTGGGAGGACAGTAAATACAGGCAAGGCTGATAAGTATATCCCCTAAGTAAAGTGTCAGAATGGCTAAACCCCAACTACAGTAATATTAGACACACTAGCAGGCACCAGACACCAAGTGTTGAGCAAAGCACTAACAGGTATACAACAAAGAAAAAATGCAGCAAGCTCACCGAGTGTTCCCTCAGGATTAAGCTCCTGGGGAACACAGGGAGACTTGCCCAGCAACAGGGATCAGCTCCCGCCCCCAAACGAGCAGTATTGGCCGCGCTAGGAAAAGCGCGGCAAAACTGCCAACCCAAGATGGCCGCCGCGTTGCGCGCATGCACGGGGGCCGCGACCGCAGTAACGACCGCGGACCACCGAGACCACGACCGACAGCAGTACCCGTGCGAGGGGAGACCAAATGGAGGGAATGGGAAGCAAGAAACGGTCGGGAAATAAACAAAACGACCGGAGGGGGAAGATAGAGAGGGAAGAAAATACAGGGAGGACAAGACCCAAAAGAGAGAAAAAACCAAGAAGATTATAAACACATCCAAACCCTGAGGGAAAGTAAAGGATTTAAAGGTACTCTGACTGAAACAGCAAGCTATTAACTGTCAGAAACAGAGGAGGAAAAATGTTTGTACTTATCTGAGGCTGCAGCAGCAAAAGAAAGAGGAGTGGCTTAGGGTCACATGGGACTTTGTTGTAATGGGGACATTCTAATTGGTTCCTATGTGGTATTTGGTTAACCCTTTAGAACTTATGTTGTGGTGTTATTGAATTGTTTTCTTTTTTCATTGAATATATATACAATATTTCTTTTGCTGCTGAGGAATAAAAGAAAGAGGAAAGCATAATACTCGCCTCCGTGTCCTTTAATAAAATCAAGATTTCTTATCTCAGGCATGGAGGCGGGGCCAGCTTCGGCAAAACCAGCACAGTATGGCAAAAAAGGTGCGTTAAAATGCCTTTCCCATGCTATCGTCGGTCGGCAACGTAGAAAGAAACACTGACAGACAGATGCACTTACTGACAGAAAGACATATTGATAAACGGACAGAGACACACACTCACTGACTTGACACACACAGACACACATTTTCTCATACTCACACAAAGTATTAAATTTGTATTTATGTCCACCTGGCTTCCATAACTTTGGGCTTGAGTGGATTTTTTCATTTTTGGATTTTTTTCATTGGGGATCCCTTCCCTGTGGTCCAGTGTGGATGCTGTAATATTCAAACTGTTCTTACTCTGCTCTCTTGCACTGTTTAGTGAGGCCAGGGCCAGAGTAATGTCATATCCCAGCTGCTGGCATCACAGCAGGACTCGTAAATAAGAGCAGGAAGATTACAGCTCCCTCGCTGCCCGGCTCCATTCTGCAGCCACTGAATGAGCTGACAAACACCCATGGCGACCTGGGATTGCTGAGACCTCTATTGATCTGGGTGATTTTTGGATATGTTGTTCACCCAGATCGGGGCTATATGGGGTTTTATGAGTTTTTAGGGTACTTTTTGGGGTTTCATAAAATTGTATGTTTTTCTGTGCATGGAGATAATTGGGTTAGATTAGTACAGTTCCTGATTCAATTATCTCCCAAGCACAGAGGAGGGATTCTATTGTTTGTGTATACGAGTGTCTCACTGTATGACTTTGTTTTTATTCGTTTATTCACTTTGTGTCCCTGTGCCCAACAAGGTTCACCTGGGTGTCACCCTTGTTGGGAAAATTGCATAAAAGGCCAGTGTGCCTCCATTAAAGTTCCGTTCCTGCTTACCCTCAACATAGAGTCTCATCTCATGTGTGGGGGAAACGGCTGTATCTATCCTGGGGATTGCTATATCACTATACTCCCCAGAAATTCTAATCACTAGCTCTTATAAGAGCTTTTCCTGCTCTCTGGGAGTAGGAGAGGTCTGCCCACTGGAAGCTGGATACTGGTCTTGGGTCCAAGGTAGGTGAAGGACAGCGAGACCCCGGCGCAGCTGCATTGCTGGGGTCTGCAGTGCTTATGGTGTCTGGTGGAGAGCTGGAATTCCTCGGTGAGCAATAGCAGCATCAATTTGTGGAGGCACTTAGTCAGAGTGCCAGGCGGTCCGTCACATTTGGTGGCAGCTGTGGGATGGCGTCCTAGTGCAAGGAGAAGCATCCTGGAGACACCGGTAACGTGCTGAGGGCAATGCTAGCATTCGTGCAGCGCCTCTGGAAGCAGAGGTTTCCATTGACTTGGAGCAGGCAAGTATGGCATACTTTGACTCTTGCGAAGATTTGAGGCAGCGAGTGGCCTGGTATGACCCTGATGTGTCCACTGATACCTTCCAGGCGATCTGTAACCAGGTAACCGTTGAAACGCAAGCGAAAAGGGACCTAGAGTTCCTGCTGGCTAAAGCAAGGAAAAGAAGTCTCCATGAAAGGAGGTTAGCCTCTCTCCCCAGAGGCAGCTGGAGGTACCCGAAGTAGGGGACCTCATAGACTGGTCCTGTGAGGGACCCCAATAGGCAGGGGGAGATGGGACCAAAGTCTCTCCACTGGTCCCACAGGGATGCTGGGCAGCCGGCTCAGATCCCCAGCTGCAGCCGGAGCTACCGGGAGAGGAGACAGGTGATCCTTATTCCTAAGTCCTGGGGGACCTCAAGGACTGGCACTGGGAGGAACCTCAAATGGCAGGTGGAGTTGGGACCGAGGTCTCTCTAGCAGCCCTAAAGGGATGCTGGCCAGTCGGCCCAGATCCCCAGCGGCAGCTGGAGTTACAGGGAGAGGAGACAACCAGTCTCTCTCCCAGCGGCAGTGCATCCTACCTGGAGAGGAGACAACCGGTCTCTCTCCCCAGCGGCAGTGCATCTCACAGGGAGAGGAGACAACCGGTCTCGCTCCCCAGCGGCAGTACATCTGATAGTGAGAGGAGACAACCGCTCTCTCCCCAGCAGCAGTGCATCTGACAGGGAGAGGAGACAACCGATCTCGCTCCCCAGCGGCAGTACATCTGATAGTGAGAGGAGACAACCGGTCTCTATCCCCAGCGGCAGTGCATCTGACAGGGAGAGGGGACAACTGGTCTCTCTCCCCAGCGGCAGTGCATCACACAGGGAGAGGAGACAACCGTTCTCACTCCCCAGCAACAGGGCATCCTACAGGGAGAGGAGACAACCGGTCTCTCTCCCCAGCAACAGTGCATCTTTCAGGGAGAGGCGACAGCTGGTATGTCTCTATGCCGGATCTACAGGGATGCTGGACGGCCGGTCCAGATCCCCAACTAAACCCGCAGTGGTACCAGGAGGAGGAGGTAAGCGCTTTCTCCCCTCCCCAGCCAATTCCCAGCAGGGCCCTGGGATTAGTGGATGGGACTACCATACCCACTGACCCCCCTTCCAGCAGAAGCGCAGTTAGCCTCTCCCCTTTCCCCTTGTCCAGGGCCTAACTACCTGCAGGCCACCCAAGCAGAAGCGCTGGCAACCAGGCAGAGCACTGATAGCCTCTGCCCTACCTGCCCCCTTGTTACAGGGCAGAACTATGTACCAGTCACCCCAGCAGAAGTGCTGACAACTGGACAGAGTGAAATTAGTCTCTGCCCTCCCCTGGTCCTTGATCCAGGAGCTAGGAACTCAACTGCTGCAACGCTGGCTACAGGACAGAGCACTGCTGGTGTCTGCCCACCGAGTAACTACAAGCCAGAGAGCAACAAAGGAACTGGGAGTACCAGAGGCCCACATAGCCCTTGGGGTTGTACAGAACCGAGACAGACTACAGGAGTCACCAGGTCCAGTAATTGTTTGTTGTGGGTGGGTTACTCAACTAACTCAGGCACCGACCGACAGGAGGTCAGATACCCTCCCATTGGGAGGGAAGATATGTGGCGAAAGTAACCTCGCCATTTGAACTTGGAGGGGCCTGCTTGCCAGCCTCCTGCCCACAGTCTATGGGCCCTGCAGGGAAACCTGTAAAAGACTACTGAACTTGACAGACTGTTAGCACTGATTTCCCTGGAACTGTTTTGGGCCTGGAACCATGTGCACGTTCGGTCAAAACTATGACCTCCAGGAAATTCCTGAACCCCTGAACCAATCTGGGTGATTTTTGGATATGTTGTTCATCCAGATTTGGGCTATCAGGGGATGTATGGGGTTTTATGTGTTTTTAAGGTACTTTTGTTTTGTTTTTATAAAATTGTATGTTTTTCTGTGCTTGGAGGTAATTGTGTTAGATTAGTACTGTTCCTGATTCAATATCGTCATTGACATATAGGTGTATGTATCATTGTAGCCCTGTGGCCTCTATGCCCTTGAAGTCTCTAGCCCTCATTCCCGGGAAAACACTTTATTTCTGAGAACTGGAGTTAGTGGTGATAGGTCATTCCCCAGTGCATATTTTTGCTTTACTTGTCCCATAGTTGGAGGGAGTTTAGGGCGGCTGGGCATGTCGTTCTTAAAATGGACCTCTGCGTTTTAGGGACCCATAGGTAGAATTGGGGTAGATCCGCCCCTGTCAGTAGGGATTCAATGTCCACCCATCTCCTTTGGTCCAGGGGAGAGTGCCAGTGTATGATCTGGGCTAATTGGGCCGTTAGGTAGTAGTGGTATATGTGAGGTAGACTGCATTTGGGTCAGTATAGTAGGCTGCGGGCCAGCCTTGGCCATTTTTTTTTGCCATATGAAGGAGTTTTTGCATAGACATCAGATCCCCTCTGGTAACTCTTATGGGTAGGGACTGGAACATGAATAGTAGTCTCGGTAGGATGCTCATTTTTATGGAATGTAAGCGCCCCAGCCAGGAGATGGGCTTTTCCGTCCATCTCTCTAGGTCGCCTATGAGGGCGTGAAATAGTGAGGTATAATTTCTCATATATAGGAAGGCAGGGTCCACTGTTAAGGTGACACCCAGGTATTTAAACTCCTTTGTCTCTACATTGAAGTGGTATGTCTGTCTGATGGTAGCCGTGTCTGGGACCGAAAGGTGGAAGGGCATTGCCACTGTTTTGGAGGGGTTGATTTTAGTCGGAGATGTCCCCGTATTGATCTAACTTTGTTCATTCCATTTTCCTTTGCTTGTCTCAGATGGGCCACTCTCCCGAGTCCCCCTGGGCATTTGTGCATTGGGAGGTCCCATTGCTCTTCTTGAAGCAGACAGTTGGAGCATAAGAAGAGATGGGAGGAGCTATATACAGTTTGGAATCACATTGACAACGGGGGCGGGTGGGATGCCCGTTCTCATTGGGGTAATCCCTGTTGTGCGGAGGGCACAGTTACGGCCTTGTGCCGGTTCAGTTGGGTGCGTGAGGGCCCTTACGTGTACTGGGGGGGGGGTTGTAAGAGTGCGGTGCAGATGATTATCTTAATTTGGTCTGCACATGGGTTGGGATTCAGTGGGAGTTGGCATGGGCGAGGGCGCATGGTGCGCGTATTGGGGTGGAGTCACCCTTAAGAGGTGGTGTCGAGATTCCGCCATTTATCTCATAACCCTTCGTACACAGGCTGAGTCATATTAGGGTGGGAGTGCCCCAAAATCAATGTGTAGTCTAGCTGTGTGCTGTGGTTTGTCGTCGCCCCGTGGCACCACCCTCCAACATCCCTTCGCATGTGGGCCAGCCCTGTGATTGCCTCCAATTCCCCCCTCCCGCTGTTTGTCTAATAAACATTACCGTTATAATCGTATGAGCCCCCATTGTCCCATATCTCACATAACCCCCTTTAAAATACACTTAGCTGAGTCTCAAGTTTCAGAAGAACCAGACAGTTCACAAGGTAGTTGTTAATCCAGGTGTGCCATCACCGATTCCGCTGGTGTCATTCAGGTGCGGTGCTGTATGGCGCCTTTCACAGTATACCAGTCTATCTTGAGAGAAGGAAGCTCAGGGCGGGTGGGCTTGGGGAGAGTCATCTCCGGTGGTGCTTCGATGCCCAGTTTAGCAAGGAACTGGTTCGGGTCTTCTCCTGGTAGCAGGGTTGTGGTTTTCCCATTAATAAATGTGACCAGCTTAAATGGGTGTCCCCAGGTGTAACAAATGTGCTGTGATGGGCTTCCATTCCCGGCGTCCCTGTAGGATGGATGGGGAGAGATCTTGGTAGATTGCTATGGTAGCGGTTTAGTAGGTCAGTTCATGTTCCCTGCTATATTGCAGGACTGCTTCCCTCTGTTCTGCGGGCACGCAGTGTGCGGTGTGCCCTTTCAATCAACCATTTAGCTTCAGGGACTTCTGGTGTAAGGTGTTTGAAGTAGTGCTTCAACTTTTCTATCAGGGAGCCTTCATTAGGCGTTTCTGGTAGGCCCCGGATCCGGAGGTTGTTGCGCCTGGACCTATTTGCTAGGTCTTCTACGTGCATCTCCACGTCTCTTAGTTGCCTGTCCATGGAGTTGGTGTGGGTCACGGTGGTGTTGTGGGCCTGCACTATGTCCTCTACCCGGTTTTCCAGGTCTGTTGTGCGCAACCCTAGGGCTTGAATTTCAGCCTTCACTTCCTGTGAGCTCCGTGCAATTTCCTCCACCAGGTAGTTCCTGACTTCCATCATCTTGGTGAGTATTTGCGATGCGTCTCCCTGTGTCCCTTCAGGGGTCTCGCTGCCCGCTGTGGATGCTGGTGAAAGGGAGCCTCGTGGGCTTAGACGGCTGCCATCTTGTGTGGCCTGGTGTGGGCACACCTGGAACACACCTGGTGTGTTAGGTTAAATTCTAGGCCTTACTTCCCCTTCTTACATGTTCTTAGTTGTAGCAGACATTTTGCTGCGGTTAGCGTTGTTTTGTGTGGTTGGATGCTGCTGATAGGTGCTGGATTCACAGCGGAAGCACTCAAATTATGTGGCCATGCAGGTCCAAAGTCAGGCCACGCCCAGTCGAAAAGTACTCTTTTAACATCCAAAGAATGGAGGTATGCTTCCTTTGTGGACCTTCCAAAACATAGGTAAAACTATTTCTTATTTACCCTAAGGACGGAGGTATTTGTCCAAATTCTGAACCAAAACAAAACCTAAAATTTGCACATTTTGTTTGTTCAAATGTAATTTAAGGGTTTCTCTTTAAGTGCCGCCATACATAATATATATTCCTAACTCAACTTATAACTTGTGAACTATGCTTCCAATGGTGACTCTAGGAACATTCAATGACTTAACTATCTTTTTGTATCCTGTTCCTTGTGTGTGAAGGACAATGATCTATTTTCTTAACTTTGTGGATCATTCTTTTGACTTAGCCATAATTCTAACATGCAGTCAAATGTGACACTCAACAAACCCCTCAGGCAAAAGTACAAAGAATCTCCAGGCACTCAAAGTGTTCAAGCCGCAGGCAGGTTTATTGGATCAAATGTGGCAGAGCAGCAATGTTTTGACCTACTGGGAGGTCTTTATCAAGCTTGAAATGTTGCTGCCCTGCCCCTTTTGATCCAATAAACCTGCCTGTGGCTTGAATACTTTGAGTGCCTGGACATTCTTTCTTCTTTTGCCTTATGGTTGTGGGATTTGCTGGTCCTGCTTCAATGCATCTAGTGTCAATTGGAATTCAGTGCGGTTCCTCCTTTGATTTTGATAACTCAACAAACCCCTAGCTAGTTGAGGTATTTCAATTGTTACAGCTCAAACACACCTGGTGTAACTAATGAAGCCCTTGATTAGTTGCATTAGGTGTGCTTCAAACAACACATGTTTTCCATATTTGTGCAGTTTTGAGGAATTATATTTAGGGGGTTGAATAATTTTGAGACTAGAGAAGCAATTAGAAGTTGCATTTCCAGATGAATTTGGGGAAACCACTGGAAGCATTTTTTGTGTTGAGCTATTTCAATGGCTTTTGTTCGATTTGTTCATTACTGAAAGTCTGACAATAAATCTGATTATCAATAAAGGTTGAATAATTTTGATTACAACTGTATCTTCAATAGGTTCAAAGGGATGTGTTCAGAACCAGATTTTTATTTTTTACATTCTTTATTTTATTGCGCATGAAATCATAACATATTGGTCTACAATACCCCAACAGCATGTGTAGCCGAAGTATACAGAATTTCAAAACAGTTGTTCAGCATTAAGATGATACAGCACTTTTTATATATAATAAATTTTAAGCAACAATAGCCATGGCATGTGTATGTAACGAGAAGGCTGGGGATTTACAACGTATGCCAGAGCCATTGATAGTCTAATGTAACCATGAACGTGGTATAAAGTGTACGAAGAGAAAGGTATAACTGGTTTCGTGAGAGCCACTAGGCCTTTCGTAGTGTTCCAGAAGTGGTCATGACAGCAGTAGCCGCTGACCCAGTCTCAGTGGGGATGTTAAAATATGCTTAAAGTCCTGAGGAGGCCATTATACCCTGCTAAGTTCAGATGGTTGTCACCTATTCAACTGTAGGTGTGTAAAGCAGGATAGTGCCACTGAGGTCTGGGGTTCTAATTCAGGCAAATATATTGAGTGACAGTGTATAGCACATCTGGGGTAAGTTGGCTTAATAACAGTGTCCAATATCCCCTGGACACCACTGGGGGGCGTGGGGGAGTACTGGTGCGTGCACTGGTTGGTAACTCCAAGATGCAGATTAGTGTAAGAAAACAAAACAGAAACAATAGAGCGAAGAGAAAATCATTAAATAAATCTTGAAATAAACAAATTCCTAGGTACATATATCAATCTTCTGAAGATATCTTTATTTGTGTGCACTTGTAGTATTGTGTGGACTGCAGTTTATGCAATTGTGATGACTATGCATGGGTCATCAAAAGGCTTTTCTGTCTCTGGGATAGGATCAGGGGGGTAAAGTAGTTCCTCGGAGGAGGAAGAGTCAGGCAGGTCTGGTTGCGCTGCCATCTTTAGCTTGGGCCGCGAGTGAAACAGCTCCCCGCCAGCGAGGGTTTTTAGCTTTTTGGACTGCTTCCCCATGCCGCTGTCAGTGTCCGGGGTCCGATTGCCACAAGGTAAGCATTGATTGTCGATGTTTAATAGGCTTAAGCGCCGGAGCTCCGCTCGCATGAGACTGCTCTTGGTGCCGATCAAGCCATGCCCCCCAGAACCCGATTTTAATCCCAGGAAGGGACCATTGACCTTTTAGGAGGTCTCAAAACCGCTTTAAAGAATCTTCTGAAAAGTTAGTTTGTTGCCAAATCTTTAAAGTGGCTTTGTCACCATCTTGGTCTTTGCAAATTATGCAAAGACCCCAGACAGTGACATTGCCACCAGGGTCAAGGGAAGGTAGGTGTTGGAACTGTTCCTAGGTGATCACTTACTGCCATGGACTTATACTTCTTTCCAGATTGTACCACATCCCCAAGTACTTGGAGGCACTCAATGAGAGACTATACAAAGGAGTCAATTCATAAAATGTCCAGTGTTTATTAAACAGGACAAAGGTTATAAGGCAAACAACACAATAAAGGAGATGTCTAAGTAAGAGTTTAATTAATCACCTATCAAATTTTGACAACTATTTACCAACAGCATGGAAAGCTTGTGCAAGCAGCACGGTAAAGGGATGTAACAAATCATTCATCTGAATCTTATTAAGGGGACATGTAAAAGGTGGGGTTTCTAATAAAGGGGGTGTAAGGATAAGGGTCATGTGCAGAATTAAGTACACGATGCCCTTGCAATGTACAAGTTTGCTAGTCTTTCAGCAGATTATACTTACATGAACCTGTCCCTTGCAGGCAGCATCATCCTCTTCCGTCCAGCCCTCTTCAGCTCCTGCTTCAGCTGCCAGTGTGAGCAGACACTGTGATCCTCCAGGTGACAACTGGGGGAAATGGCAAGCTTTACAAAAGGTAGCTCATCCTATTCTCTAGCAGAGAAAAATAGTGAGATAAAGTAGCCCGGGGAGCTTTTAAAGGTGTTGTACATTTCTTCTCAAGAAACTGAAGAACTGGAAATGTTGAGCTTGCAAACTACATTCTAGAAAAGTATAAATTAGGCTGCAACATATCACTCAAAATATACTTTCTCAACTCTCTCCTGGACCTGTTCCCTAAAAACTGCAGTGCACTGTGTGATGAGTGAGCAGTTCCATTTCATCAATAAAATGAATATATCAGAGTAACGTTAATATGCTTGCTGACTACATTACATTGCGATCACATGGGCGCAATAGCAGGCTATAGAACTGACTGCAGGAGGACTGCGTGGATTTTCAGGCAATCACCCTAACTGCAAAAAAAGTACAAAAAAATAAATAAAATTATATAGTATGGGCAGTACTATGGTTGTAGAATGAGCATAAAAGCAGAGTATTTGAATAAAAGTTCAGTTCTACATCACCCTCAATTTGGAGTGCCGTCTCTTTTTGGGGGAATCTGCTACAAGGGATTGCTATGCTAGTCATACTCCCTTGCTATATCACTACTAAGCTCTTGTAAAAGCTTGTTCCTGTTCTGCTACCTGAAGGAGTCTACAGTGGTTATGGTGTCAGCTAGAGTGCTTGGAGTGCTCAGGAAGCGGTAGGAGCATCCATCAACGGAGGTATCCAGTCAGGGTGCCAGGTGATTCGTTACAAAAATGTAACAAGTTTGCTAAACCGGTGATGAAAATGGTCGATGAGGTGTGCCCGGCGGCTTGTCTAATGGACAATCAGGGAATGTATTACACACACAAAAAAAAGTATTTAACTAAGCCACAGCCTCCCCACATGCTACTACGCCCCCCACTGCCACCATCCCCTAACACTACCAACCCCCACTGTCACCACTTACCATGCTGTCAACACCAACCCCACTGTCACCACTTTCTACACTGTCACCTTCCCTCCACTGTCACCATCCCCCTCCCAGTGTCACCACCTCCCACACTCATCACTTTCCATGTTTTTACTATCCCACACATACTGTCACCATCCCCCCACACTGTCTCCATCACCCACACTGTCACCATCACCTCCACTCTCATAGTTACATAGCTTGTCCATCAAGTTCAGCCTTCCTTACATTTGTTTTTTGCTGTTGATCCAAATGAAGGCAAAAAACCCAGTTTGAAGCACAATTTAGCAACAAGCTAGGAAAAAAATTCCTTCTTGACCCCAGAATGGCAGTCAGATTTATCCTTGGATCAAGCAGTTATTACTAGATTATATCCTTGAATATTCTGTTTTTGCAAGTATGCATCTAGTAGCTGTTTGAACATCTGTATGGACTCTGATAAAAACCACAGAATTCCACATCCTTGTTGTTCTTACAGTAAAAAAAAAAAAAACCTTTCCTTTGCCTTAGAGAAAATCTTTTCTTCCAGTCTAAACACATGACCTCGTGTCCTATGTAAAGTCCGGTTTGTGAATAGATTTCCACACAATGGTTTGTATTGGCCCCGAATATATTTGTATAATGTTATCATATCCCCTCTCAAGCAACGTTTTTCTAAACTAAATAGGTTTAAATTTGTTAACCTTTCTTCATAGCGGATATGTTCCATTCCTTTTATTAATTTTGAAGCCTGCCTCTGCACTTTTTCTAGTGCCATAATATCATTCTTTAGAACACATGGCCATAATTTCACAGCATATTCAATATGTGGTCTTACCAGTGATTTATAAAGAGGCAAAATTATATTCTCGTCCTGAGAATGAATGCCCTTTTTCATGTCTGACAATACCTTACTTGCCTTGGCCACTGCTGATTGACATTGCATATTGTTGCATAGTTTGTTGTCTATAACAATTCCAAAGTCCTTTTCGTGTATTGTTATCCCTAATTCGCTTCCATTAAGGGTATACGTTGGTTGTGTATTCTTTATGCCAAAGTGCATAACTTTGCATTTTTCAACATTAAATTTAATCTGCCATTTGAGTGCCCAGTCCCCCACTCTATCTAAGTCCCTCTGCAGCAAAGTAATATCTTGCTCACATTGTATTATTTTATAAAGTTTTGTGTCATCTGCAAACACTGAAACATGACTTTCAATGCTGTCTACATGATCATTTATAAACATGTTAAATAGAAGGGGTCCCAGAACAGACCCCTGAGGGACACCACTTGCCACCTCTGTCCAGCTTGAAAATTTACCATTAATGACAACTCTTTGTACTCTGTTTTTAGGCCAATGTTCTCACCACCTTCCATATTGTCCCCATCCCCACACTGTCACCACCCCCCACACTATAAGCCACAAACACTGTCCCCCTCCCAAACATCACCCCAACATACTGTCACCATGCCCCCACACTACCACCACCCACTGTCACCATCCCCTCATGCTACCACCACCCCCACTCTTACCATGTCCCACACTCACAACCTTCCATATGGTCACCATCCCCCCCACTGTCACTCTCCCAAACATACTGTCACCATCCTACACACACTGTCACCATCACCCACACACACAGTCACCCTCCACACAAATTATCTATCCCACACACTGTCCCCCTCACAGACTGTCACCGCCCCACACACACTGTCTGTCACCCTCTCACACACACACTGTCACCATTACTGGAGGCAGAGAAATGGCACTAAGAGGCAAAGGGCAGAGAGATGGCACAGAGTGGCTGGAGCAGAGCGATGGCAAAAAGATGTTGGTGGCAGAGAGATGGCACAGAGAGGCTGGTGGCAGAGATGACACAGTGAGGCTAAGGGCAGAGAGAGCTCTTTGGCATGATATTCAGGATTTATGCATTTACTGCTCATTGGCATGATATATCAAGTTTATGTATTTATTGCTTCTTTGGCACGATATATCAAGTTTATGCATTTGCTGCTCATTGGCATGATATATAAGGTTTATGCATTTATGCATAATAGCATTACCCTGCTGCCCATGTGTTTTTGCCAACCATGGTATATATGTGTGAATGTGTCGATGTGCATGTGTGCTCGCCTATGACTTGGGGGAGGGGATGGGAATGGAGTCCTGGTCCCAGGCAGCACAATGTCTCGTGTCGATCCTGTGGAGTTAGAAACATATGAAAAGTCAAAATGGGGTATGAAGCCCACTACTGGACATACTCCCCCTTTTTTTTTTCAATTCTTTACTTTTGGTGAATTGATGATACAGGTAACATTTTTCTAGCAATGCCACAACAGCTATCGCCAGGAAATTAGTAGATCAGTATAAACAATTGCATGGCATGAGTAACTATGCACATTTTTATATTTGAGAAGAGTAGTTAGTAGTGTGAAGATTCGCTGAGTATACATGCATCTCTGCTCAACATCTGCCAAGCATATACATCATTATGTACTATGTTTGGGCATTAATACTTAGGGCTTAACAGGCACTAGCTAACATATTGCTCAGGTGCAGTGTCTATTCTATGGGTAAATAAAGGAAGTATCCATAGCAGGACATAAAAGTAATAAGAGTAAAATGAGTAGACTAATAGATTGTTAAACAGACTGAGGCATCTGTGTGCTATTAATAGTAAGCTGGATGTCTGAGTGTTTGCCTGATGAGTAGGGTACAAGGTGTTAGTGATTGGTTGTATTAATAGGCCCTGTATGCTTGTTAAATAAACATACTATTTCACTAGCATATGGAGTGTTGCTGAGAGAGAGTATATTAGGTTGCTTTGATGGCAAGATTGACAGGAGCCTGCCCACCGTGTGCAGCCCAGGCACCGAGAGAGTCCCTGTATAATCCAGGCTTAACCAACCCCCGACTTATATTGCCTTCGGCATGGAAGGAGTGAGTCCAGCGTGGTGTGTGGTAAGAGGGGTGGGTCATACCCCATTTTGAATACCCTGGGTTGTCTTCTTTTGTAAATGGTATGCCATGATGGAGGGAATTCTCCTTCCTGGGCTACCATACCTTCTCAAAAACAACATAACCAATCTGGCAAATTTAAATTTATAAAAACTGAAATGGGCAAGCCTTAAATTCGACCCTGAAACTTTCCAAAACATCATAAAACCTGTAGATGGGGGATAAGGTTGTACTCGTGAGACAACAGTATAATGTAGAACGCCCTTGTGTATTATTGCAAATGGAATGCCATGATGTACGTAATTCTCATTCCTGGGCTGTCATACGGTCCCAAATGCAACATAAGCCCAGCAAATCATATTTATTAATGTAGATGATGCCATTAACAGCAAATCGTCTGGATATGGAATAATGGTGGCTTTTCTTTGTCTGAAAAAAAAACGCCAGTCTCACCACAAGTTTTGTAAAAATTTTTGGTGCCAACAAGAAGTCAAATGGTAGGGCTCCATTTTGTCCTGCGGTAATGCTTTTTTAGTTTCCCACATTTATTTCAGTTCATCCAAAGGTGACCCTTTCTAAAAGATTAATTCTCATAGGTCAATTTCTGAAGCTTTATCTGATGACTGTTTTTTAAGCCAAATAGCTCTTATAGCAACAGAAGATAGCCTCAAGCTATCCACTAGGAATATGAGTCTTTCTTCTGCCATTACACACAGTTATATACTAGGCAGTCATATCTGTCCAAGCAAGTAGAACAACAAACCTCCTGACGACTCCCTAGATACACATTCTTCAAGGTCTGGAAGCCACATATTCTGTGCTTTTGCTCCAGAAATTGGTGCATCACTCTTAGCTGTTGCTGCTTGGAAGATACTTACACCCTGTTCAAAATTATTATGCAAATTCTATTTAAGTGTCACAATGATTAAATATTTTGTTTTTCAGTTTAACTCATGGATGGCATTGTGTCTCGGGGCTCTTTTGATCACTGAAAACAATCTCGGACACCTGTGATAATTAGATTGCCAGGTGAGCCCAATTTAAGGAAAAACTACTAAAGGAGGGTGTTCCACATTATTAAGCAGAGCACCATTTTCATGCAGTATGAAGTCATGTTTTGGGCCGGAATCATGGGAAGAGAGCTGGTCGGCCCCTTTAGGGTCCCCAAAGGTGTAAAGATGACCTCTGCAAAGTAGGTGGAGTTTCTGACTGACCACTTTCTTCCCTGGTACAGAAGGAAGAACTATGCTTTCCGTAATAAAACCATCTTCATGCATGACAATGCACCATCTCATGCTGCAAAGAATACCTCTGCATCAATGGCTGCTATGGGGATAAAAGGAGAGAAACTCATGGTGTGGCTTCCATCCGCCCCTGACCTCAATCCTATTTAGAACCTTTGGAGCATCCTCAAGCAAAAGAGCTATGAGGGTGGGAGGCAGTTTACATCCAAACAGCAGCTCTGGGAGTCTATTCTGACATCTTGCAAACAAATGGAGGTTTGTTCAATAAAATTTGAATTGTACTCTTAATAGTTGATAACATGAGAATTATGCTGACTGTTATTTACATCAATTATTTAGGTAAATGAGAAAAATATCATTTGCATAATAATTTGGAACAGGTTTCTGCTTTTTTATTCATATGGTCTCAAGTGTGTGGCTTCCTCTATGGACAGCGGTTTGTTTGTTTTTTTGGCCAGTTGGGCATTAGAGACATCTTCTCTAGATAAAGTGTCGAATTGTTTGTCTTCTTCATCCTGCATAGTTAACAAAACTTTAAAGGGACAACAGTCACCAAAATAACTACAGCTTAATGTAGTTGTTCTTGTGCTCACAGTCTGTCCCTGCAGGCTATTTAGGAGAAAAGTCTGGGTTTACTTTACTGCCCAGGAACATAGTTAGTGGTAGTCGTTTGTATTCCTGACACTATAGGTGTCCCTTTAAATGCTTTGAATTCTCATCAAATTCAGCAGTTTGGTGTGTTACAGGGAAACCTATAATTTACCTGGTTTTCTATCTTCTTCTACCATCCTCACTACTTATCCGGTACATTTTTGCATTTCTTCTTCTGGAAATGCTACATCTTCTAGATATGAAACCTGTGAACCTGACAACCTGTTAGTCAAGCAAGAATTCAGATTCTGATGGTGATCTACAGCCTTTAGATGCAGTAGCCTGTTGGAGGTTAGTTTGGAAGCAGTTCAGAAATTTACACATTTTCTGTGGAACATTGCATACAAAACCAAGGGTATCTGGCACTGCACAGGCTAGATATATTTGTTTGCATGTTGCTGTAGGCTTGTAAGTAGAAGGTTGTTTTTCCACTTTCTAAGTCACTTTTTCAGAGACAGACAAGCTAGCTATCTGTCAAAAATATAATACCCATAATAAGACTACCATTATATCAAATTAATAGTATTACGAGGGTTTTAAGTTATAAGAAAAATATTTCTTTACCTTAAAATTCTCTGTATCAAGGGTGTGTGTTTGTAGGGATAGGTAGGTTATTCAGATTTTTTTTTGTCCAGACATGCACCCTGCAGTCAGTCAGACAGGTTCATCAGTCTTTAAGTGCCCTCAAAATGTTGAATTTTGGTAGTCATGGATTCCATTGTAGCCTCTGCGTGTGTACGTTCCACTCACTGCTTGGCCCTATCTGATCTGTTCAAACTGCCTCCTGGGCAAGCCATTTCCAGCAGAAGTGTATAGGGTAGAGATGCCAGCTCAGGGTCAATAGCCATGTAAGGATTGGTTCCATCCTGGAAGGTAGTACTGCACATGTCCGAATTGCATCAATTCAGAAGTGATGCAGAGACATGGAACCTTCTCTAGCTATACAATGGTTTTTCAACGCCTGTCTCAGGTGTGTAGTTTTATTTGACTTTAGTTTTTTGTCCTATGACAATTGGCTTTGTCCAGTTTGCTTGTTTGTTGTTGCTTAATCTGTCAGGTATAAGTTTTACGTCCAATCTATCTTCTTATTTTGTTCTAACTACAGAGTTTGCACTAAAACATCCCCTACCTGGTCGAGTAATAGGTTACAGTCTAGATGTGACAAGTAAGAATTTTAACAATATAAAGGAAAGCTTCTGGGTATTGGCACACTTGTCTCCTTTTATCAGTTTGGCCCACAGGTCCCCTCTGAGATTTCTAGCTCAAGAGAAGGTCTGAATGTTGTGCAGCTCGCAAGGATCCTGCTTTGGTGGAAAAGAGGTGCGATTCATGCCTTAGAGACAATATAGTCACCAAAACAACTACAGCTTAATGTGGTTCTTCTGGTGTGTATAGTATGTCCCTGCAACCCTTTTAATGTGAACATTGTCTTTAACACCACTAGTGATAGTCACTTAGATGGCTATTAGAGGTGCTTCCTGGGTTAGTACATTCAGAGTTTCCACCCTCTACATAGAGGCGCTGTACGTTCCTCATAGAAATGCATTGATTCAGTTCATCTCTATGAGGAAATGCGGTTGACGTGGCACGGCTTTTCCTGGGAGAAAGCATTGGATTGGCTGAGATAGTCAAATTTAACTATCTTAGCCAAAGAGGCAGAGGGGGCAGAGCCAGCCGCGAGCAGACCCATGTCGAGCTGGAATAAAGGAGTTAAATCACCCTTTTACTTTGCTGACGGGGGGCCGGATTATGCTTGGGCATAACCTAATGGGAGTGCAGTCATGCATATGGCCAGGAAATTGGAAAATTAAGTCATGCAAATATTTTCACTGCTCAGTAATATGCTATAGTGGTGCTATGCGTCCTCTACTTACTTTCCTGTTGTTTCATGGATTAATATAGAGACTTACTAGGCTAAAGTAAAGATGTCATCTATAGAATTTGGGGGAAAGGGTATTCTTCATGTCCAACAACACTAGTTGGAGGCACTATTCTGGTGGTAGTGCTGCCATAGTATATTGCTGGAAAAATAAAATAGGAGTAGAATTTAAAGGAACACTGCAAAGTCAGGAAACATGCATGAATATCTTTAAACATATCCATAAAAATTATTTAACCCCATTGAAAATCAGATTTATTGTCAAACTTTACAGACTTTCAGCTGTTTGCAACGTGTCTGGTTACAACTACATGTTTATTTGTCCACCCACTAAAGCGCTGCAGAATTTATTGGTGCTACATAAATATTAACATAACGTAATCACATCAAACAAATGCAATTGAAATAGTTCAACACAAAGAATGCTTCAAGTAATTTCCCCAAAATCAACTGAAAATGCAACTTATAATGACTTCTCCAGTATCAAAATTATTTATTTAATCCCTTCTCAGGCTCTATTCCCCTGAGCAGTCTCCGATAAGGTTCCCGAACCAGCAGCCTGCACCTCCAGCCTCGCCTCCTTTTGCTGTTATGACCTGATACGAACAAAATTTCATAGCCAGACAACAGCTTCTGCTGCATTCCTGAGGAAACAGCCCATTCCACATGAGCAATGGCTTCCAATTCAGCAATATTCCTGTGTTTGCGTGCTGTAACAGACTTCTTCAAATCCCACTAGACATTTTCTATGGGGTTCACATCAGGTGACTGATTAGCACTGTAGAATTTTCCAGGACTACTTCTGCAACCAAGCCATGGTGGAATTTGAGGCATGCTTGGGATCATTGTCTTGTTGAAAGGTCCAATGACGCCCAAGCTTCAGCTTTCTCACAGACGACATGATGTTTTCTCCTGGGATTTCCTGATACTTGAATGAATCCATCTTGCCTTCCACACGCTGCAGGTTTCCATGCCAGAGGATGCAAAGCAACCCCAGAGCATCACAGAGCGACCACCATGCTTAACTGTAGGAAGAGTGTTCTTTTCAGCATATGCTTCTTTCTTCCTCCTCTATACATATCACTGATGCATTGGGCCGAAAAGTTCTAGTTTTGTTTCATCACTCAACAGAACAGGATCATCTGTGGCTTATTTATATGATTTTGAGCATACAGGAGCCAACGTTCCTTTTGCATTTGGGACAGTAGTGGTGTACGTCTTGGCATTCTGGCATGGAAACCAGGGTTTAGCACTCTGCCTTACAGTGCTCACTGATACCCAAGTGCCTGTTGCCACCACGTCTTGCTGCAGAGCTTGAGCAGTCACTCAAGGTTTTTCACAATCTGCCTACTCTGAAATCTGGTTGCAGCCATTGATAGCCTCCTTTTTCTGCCCCATCCAGATAGTGAAACCACTAATCCTTTAACTTTGAACTTGCGAACTATGCTCCCATAAGTGCCTTTAGGAACATTCAGGTCCTTGGCTATTGTGAAGGGCGATGATCTCGTCTCTTAACTTTGTGAACCATAAGCACTCCAGAGACCATAACCACCACGAACCACCGCAGCTTGGTTGGGGTACTGCAGTCTCCTACACACCCTGAAACCACGGCAAGGCTCCAGGTTCTAGTGGGTGAACCTCTCTTTCCCCAGAGAGTGAAGCAGGACAGAAACAAGCTCTTACAAGAGCTTAGTGATTATTCAAGGGAGTATGAAGAGCATAGCAATCCCTTGTAGCAGATTCCCCCAATAAGAGACAGGACTCTACATTGAGGGTGAAGTAGAACTGGTTTAATGAGCACAAAAGCATTTCTTATATACAGTTTTCCCCACAAGGTTACCACCCACGTGAACCACAGGACACAAAGGCACAACAGCCAATCAAAACAGTATGGTACAGTTAGACACTCCCACCTAATGAACACAAACCCTCCCCTCTGCCTGTGATACAATTAACAAAGACAATGGACTAACTCAATTACCACAGGCAGAATATATCCAGTTTTACCCAAAGTCCAGAAACACCCGAAAAAAACAACATATCCCCAGATAGCTTGGATCTGAGCGCACAATATGCCCAACGTTAAAAGTGCCCTATATTACAGGGAAGGGTGGGGTCAGACAATAGCAAGTGCTGATGAGAGATTGAGGAGGGACAAAGCAGCCAGTTTCAACTGGTCTGGCAGTGTCCTTGGGACAACGCCCTGCTGGAGAACAATAGGACAGGAAAAAGGGGGAGGGGAAGAGGCACATTTACCCATGGAAGTCACTTTTTAGCATGTCTTTTTGCGGGGCCCATAGTCTTGGGGCAGGAGGCTGGCAATCAGGCCTCTCCAAAAACCAGGGGCGAGGTCACTTTTGCCAAAATAAATAAATAATAATAAAAAAATAATAAAAAAAAAATATATATATATATATATATATATATATATACACACACACACACACACACACAGATAAAAAGATAAATCCTGCGCTCACTCCCACTCATGGGCAGCAGCAACGACCACAGTACACATCAGTCCCAATATATACAGTAAAAAACAAAGAAAAAGTTACCTGTGCTCTCTCCTGAATCCCTGTGCATATTTAAACAAAGGGAGGTCATTTAGTTACTCCAATGGCCATTGGAAGGAATGCCCGCCTGCCAACTTTAAGGCAGATCCCCCCGAGACGGGTCCTACACTGACCTTTCACCTTGCTTCCTTGAGCTTATGGCAAAGATATCTCCAATGAGACAGAGAGGGGTATTTTTTTTCATACACACCCCTATATACTTATTAACCCTTAATAGGGAACACATGGGATGGCATTGTAACAAAGCTGTGTTATACATAAAGTGAATACAAAAAGAAAAGTCCTGCGCTCACTCCCATCACTCCTGGGCGACAGCAACGACCATAGTACACATCAGCCCCAATATATACAGTAAAACCCAAAGAAAAAGTTATCCCATTTGCAATACCTTGGGTTGTCTACTTTTGAAAATGGTATGCCATCATGGGGGTTAATTTTCATTACTGGGCTACCATTTCATCTCAAAGTCAACATAACCAATCTGGCGAATTTCAAGGTGTATAAATAATTTTTTTTTAAATTTTTTTAAAAGTAACATTTGACCCTGTAACTTCCCAAAACACCATAAAACCTGTACATAGGGGGTACTGTTTTACACATGAGACATCGCAAATACAAATATGTTTATTTTAGTAAAAGCAAACAGATGACATTCACAGTTAAAATGTCATGCAGAACAAAAAAAACACAACATTTCTTATTTTCTCCCTTTTTTTTTTTTTATATTTTATTCATATTAAATTGTTTCATATGATGTTAAATGAAAGCCCCGTTTCCCCTGAATAAAATGATATATAATAAGTGTGGGTGCACTTAATATGAAAGATGTGAATTACGGTTGGACAGACATATAGTCAAATTCCAGGTTTTGTTTTGATCACAACGTGTACATTTAACTCAGTCCTTAAGGGGTTAAATTGAATAAAAACAGTGAATATTTTTATTTTGTTTTGATATTTTAAAAGTAAAAACAAGAATATTAAATTGTTTTAAAAGTTATCCAAATATATAAAATCAAAGTTACTTTTTAAAAATCAAGGTTACAAGTGGTACATCAATTATAGCTAATAAAGTATACTAAAATGTATTCAGAAAGATTTTTTTCTAGTAAATAAATTGTAAAACACGAGAGTGTAAATAGATTTAAAGTATGAATTTTTGAGAATTGAAAATGAATATCATATTTTTGATTAAAATAGACACATTTTAACCCCTTAAGGACACATGATGTGTGAGACATGTCATGATTCCCTTTTATTCCCGAAGTTTGGTCCTTAAGGGATTAAATATTTCCAAACTATGTTTTTAGTTTGGCTATTTTGATTGAAAATGTATTCTGAATCCCAAGCAATTTAAACTCTAAAGAATAACCTTGTCTGCTGTCTGATAACTTTGGAGTGTTCCTTTAAGCCAACAACTGATTTTCGATTTTAATATCCTTTAACCCTGTTAATGGAAGGCGTCCTCCCACAAAAAAACAAAACAAAACAAAAAAACACATTATTTTCCTTTGTCTCTAGCAGCGAGTACGGTCTCAATGATGCTCTGCTCCACCTTCTTATCTGGATAAAATGTGTGCATGAGCAGAAAATGCCATGCGTGTGCCAACCAGATGCCAATAAGAAGCATTAGAATGTCAGCTTGGCTGCAAGCGGATGGGGTGCTCCTACATGAATTTATAAACATGCCAATCTGAAATCAGCACTTTTATGAATAAGGCAAAGCAGACATGCAGTTGACTGAGTATTAGTTCAACTATACAATTCTTTTTATTAGTTTCTATTTTGCTCCCTTACTAAAGAAAATAAAATTATGTACTGCCATATTTCCTTCCCCTCTAATTTGTTGTCACTGCAATTTGTATGTATTATGAATTCTTCCCTGTTATACAACTACCACCAAGAAAAATTTCTCAAATTCTAATGTAAGAAATTAATAAAGTGAAAGGCAGGTACCTATTCTTAAATAACGCTCATAACACATTATTGTACTACAAATACAATATTATGAAAATAAACACTATAGGCAACTAGACAACTTCAGCTCATTGAAGAAAGTTACTTTGTATTCCTTACACTATAGAATCTAACACTTTATACAATATTAAAGGGACACTATAGTCAGCAGAACAACTACAGCGTATCGCATTTGTGCTAGTTGTTCTATTCTATCACTCCCTTCAGATTTTTTGCTGTCAACACTTTTTTTCAGAGAAAAGGCAGTTTACATTACAGCCTAGGGATAAATCCACTGGCTTCTCCTCATATGGGTGCTAGAGGTGCTTCCTGGGGCAGTGCTGCACAGTGAGCAGCACTGCCATCCAGTGTCTCCACCCTCTGCATACAGACACTGAACTTTCCCCATAGATATGCATTGATTCAATTCATCTCTATGAGGAGATGCTGATTGGCCAAGGCTGTGTTTGACTTGTGCCGACTCTGCCCCTGATCTGCCTCCTTGACAATCCTCTGGGGAAGCATTGTGATTGGCTCAGACCAGCACTTCTAACGAGGTCAACAGACAGGGGCAAGTCTGAGGCAGAGCCAGCATCTTTAGACTTGAATACAAGTAAGATTTTACTATATTTAGGGAGGCAAAGGGGAGTTAGGGGGGCTAGAGGGTGGTTTTAATACTAAAGGGTCAGGAATACATGTTTGTGTTCCTGACCTTATAGTGCACCTTTAATATTTGTGCTGCATTAGTTTACTGAACAGAAAACATTTAATAGAATAAAAAAATGACTGTTTATTGTTGTGAAATATATATTTGTTACAATGGTATATATTACAGCAGATTTATTTCAGGTCATGTTAACTTTGATTTTTTTAAACCCAGAGTTGAGAATCCAGAACCGAAATATACTCTTTAGTGAGAACGGTTGTACTTTTAAGGTAACAATACACAAAATTTACAGCACATACATGGATAAATATTATAGCTTTTGAATGTTCCTTATTTGACTGCCACCAAGCTGTTTGTGTGGAGTGCTGGGGCTTACAGTGTAATTTGTCCTTACATATATTGGTCTGCCACATGTCCAGGCTAATCAGTCAGAGACCCCTCATTTCTTTTTGAGGGCTCTCTTCCCTTCACCCTTTTTCGGTTTGCCTTTTCCACGTAGCTTCTTAAGGCGTCTCATCTCTTCCTTAAAATCCTCATGCTCATCCCTGAAAAAGACAAAACATGGATGTAAAAGCGGCTTGCAAATTCTAAAAAGAAAATTTGCTTCCAGATTCTTACCTCTATTCAGATGGGATCAAGGTATTAACTAGAAGTATGGCAATTGCTGTAATATAACCAACCAGATGGTAACAAATTCCTATAATTAAGGCTGTGCCTCTATTGTAAACAAATGCTAGAACCCAATCAAATACTTGCTATCTAAATCCTAAAAGAAAAATACAGCTACAAGTTACATTTTACGGTCTATAGATATCATACAATTACCTGTAGAGTCCCAGAAACCGGAGAGTCCTCATTAGAGGCACATAAGTATTATGCGGAGGGTACCAGTCATAGACTTCTTTCCTTTTGGCTAGGGGTTGTTCACTGAATAGCTTCACCACTTTCAATGAACGATCATCTGTTGGCCTTACCACTTCTCCAAAGATTCTGGCACTCAGACGGCCCATTCGCAGAGCGTAGATAGACAAAGTGGACATGGTAAGGCTGGTTAAAACTACCTGCATTAAAACAGAAGAGGAATTCTTTACAAGTCCAATTATAGTTATGCATACACATAAGATTCCATCTACAGGAAACCTTAGAAGTGTGTCAGATGGTGACTTACTCTACCAATGCCGTCCAAAAAGAGATCTCAAGACAGTGGCTGGCACTGTACTTTCATCATGAAGAGTGGACAGCATGTACACTTTTTTTCCTTTTAAATCAATGTACCTAAGGGCCAACATTTTATCATAGCGCAAAGCAGTTGTTTTGTCTCTACGGTTTTTGCAAGATATCAGCTTCCACATTGTGCCACAGGGGCAGGACTAGGCAACCTTCGGCACTCCAGATGTTGGGACAACAGCTCTTATATTATTTTTACAGCCATAACGCTGGCAAAGCATCAGAGAAGATGTAGTCCAAATATGGAGTGCCATAGGTTGCCTACAATGGGTTATGGTGTCAAAATACATTTGAAATAAATCTATGCTGGTGAAGTGGTCTACCCATAAGTGACGGCCTTTGGTCATCAGGGGAATGAGGAGATCCCACACAATTTTGTCATTTGTACCCACAGAATCACGGAGGATTGGTGAATCGAGTTGGCTAGCTTTCCCTTCATAAATGCAAAATGCCCAGGTTTTACCTGTAATGTACTCTCACAAATTATAACATTTTACTCCACTGCGAGCTCACTTAGATCAAATACACTACTTGAAAAGAAGTCTTCCCTCTAATTTCACGAAGGATTTATCTATACAGATGTTCTGGCCAAGGGTGTAGTTTTCAGAAAAATCTCACAGGTGTTTAATCAGAGGCCTATTTTTGTATAGCTTGTCATACAAGGGTAATTTCTCTGGGACTGGGAGAGGTTGTTTAAAATGGAGGAAACAGAGGCTGCTCATGTATAACCCACCTCAAAAGGCCTTGGAAAAAGAAGGGTAACCAGGATGGGGTGCTTGTACCAATAATTTCAAATAGTAAAAGGGGTGCCCAGTGTTTTGGTTTTTTCACGGTGATGTGAAGCAGAATTTCCAGAGAGATACTGGCCGGCATAAACATTGATTTATATAGACATCTGCTCAAATATATAATCTGCCATAAACAGTTTTAACTATATTACTGGCTCACAAACTTTAAAGCTAGTTGTGATGCCAGTAGTTGCCAGAAACAGGGGTATTTAAGGGAAAGATATGTTTGGGGTATTCAGTGTTCAGACACCGTGGGGCATTCTGGTGGTTTGCTGGAATAATCACTAGAAGCCACACTTAGTTAGTGTAAGCGTGTCCCTCTCTGAGGGAATTAGAATGGAGTATATTCTGAAAGGTAACATGCCATGATGTAAAAGGTGAAAAAGAAAATGCCACTGCGGGACTAAGACCAACTCCTTCAAACCAAGCCTTAATTCCAAATGCTAAAATAAAATAACTGACGGCAGTATAAAAAGATGCGACCAGGTCAGTTTCCCCCTCCCCCAATTTTCTGTTTACACTAATAACAAAAAAAAAAAAAAAAAAAAATCTGGTTGCTCTGAAAAAAAAAAAAAAAAGCTCAGATCAGAAACACGGTACTGAGATTAGTACGCAGGAAAGGGTGAAAAATATTATTTAAAAGTCTTTGAAACAGACACAAAATAAGTAAAATTAAGAAACTTATTGCTATGCGCAGAACTGCATTCATAGACTGAGAGCAGTCTGCTGAACTCTCAGCCAATGAATGAGTGGCAGAATAGGCATCTACATGTAATGATCATACTCATTACAGCAGGCTGTAGAGGTTATTATGCTTGGAGTAACCCTTTAAAGGAGAATAAACTACTTGCATGGTAGTGATCCTTCAAAGGTTGTCTTTTGTTTATCATAAGATGCCATGACATTTATCAGTGAATATACTGGCGCAGAAAACAAAAACAAAAAAATGGAAGCAGCCCGTGCTGATTGGCTAAGGTTCCAAAACCGTGATCCTATTAAAAAAAGATAAAGGAACACGGCTTGATAGAATTTACCATGTGACAACTCACAGACCCCCACATCAGTGTGATGCGCTAAGAAAACTATCCAAGCATTGGACTTCAGTTGCCACAGGCAGGCAGTCACATACAATCACATTGGTGGGATGTTTTCATTTAATGCATGAGCACCTACATCCAGAGCTGGCTTCAATCTTGCAAACTATTAAATTAGTCAATTGGACTAAAATGCTGACAAGCGTTTTTCATTTGTGACAAATACTTCTTAACTAACAGCAGCATAATATATCAGATTAATGTAAAAACTCTGTAAGTATACTGAGGCATTAATTTAAATGCAGAGGATAAACATGAGGGTGGGGTTGCTTAGAAATATGTAATGCTGTGTATCTCTGTCACCCATGGGGTGAGCAACAGACTACCTCACCCATAAAGAAGAGTCATATTTAAAAATAAATAACATGAGCGTGCGGATACATAATCTCTCATAAGATGACACCCTTTATACTAAGGGTGTCATACTCAAAATCTTTACATTGACGGTTTCGGTAATCCTGTAATTAAGCAAATTTAAAAAACACTACATTTCTATAAAAAAACATTACAATAAAAAAAAAAAAAAAAAAAACGACGACATTTAAATTTTTCTTAATTTATCTTAGTGGTTATGGTGCCAGGAGTGCCCTTGTCCTCCCATTGTAACAAGTAAAACCATTTTAGAGCAGTTTGACCTCTTACCTGTGGCCACCTGACGCTCTTCCCACCTCCACTACTTCCTATGTTGATCCGGACATTCTTAAGCTTCCGTTAGCTCTCCTGAACTAAGTCTTGCATTGCAGGACTAGCTCATTTGCAGAGAGCATCAGCTGATCGCTCTCAGCCAATGAGCCAAGCCTTGCACTGCTGGGCTTAGCTCTGACAGAGGGCTTCCAGCTCTTGAAAGGTAGTAATGTAGGCAGGGAGCAGCATCCAGTGGGGCCTAGGAATAAAGACAGATTTTTAAACCATCATCCTTGATAACAGCTGCAAAACTCTTGTATTTCAGTTACTATCCATACAGAAAACAAATTAAAAGTGAATGTCAGATTAAAGAGAACCTGCCACAGATACAGTAATATATACTTTATTGAAAGAGCATAACAAATCATACATTGTGCTAGAAAAAGTGCTGATGCCAGCTCTTCTGCTGGGAGGGTGTCAGTGGAGACCGCAGTCCCATTTACTACACCTGGCAACTGGATCCTCCCCAGATCAGTCAATTCGGTCTCCGCCGGCTGGAGCTGGTGGGGAGGCAGGGGGAACAGCAGCTGGGATTTCCCACCCGGGATGTTGTAGGTCTGGGTCAGCCCCCCAGCCTCTCCGCTCTTCCGGGGTTACCCAGCTCTTTCTTTGTTCTGTATCAATGCCCTGTGGCTGAACCCACTATCAGTTCTAGGTAGTCTTGCTCAAACTTCCATTCCATGGCAATCAGGCGAGTGAGATCTGGTTTCAGCCCAATAGCTCTTGGGCACTCTAGCATTGCTTCTCGGTAGCAATAGATAGCCCAAAACCGCGACTCTGTAGGACAACTTCCTCCTCAAAGGCCTTCCACAACAGGCCAGAGCCTTTGTAGTTCTCCCCAACCGGCTGCACGCCCTCCGCCAACCAAGTATCTCGCTGGACTATGTACCACCATACTGCCTGGTACGAGTCATCCAGGAACAGTTCCCTCTTGAGCAGGGACTCAAGGTGCCTTACCCGCTCAGTCACGGGTTGCTCCCCCAGAAGCACCATCCGCCGTGCCACTTGTTCCTGCAAGCGGAGCTCTAAACCGGGAAGGCCCTTCTTCCAATGAAACTGCGCTTCCATCAGGGCTTCGTACCAGAGTTCTTTCCGGACTACATCCCTCCATTTCAGGTCACTCACTTGTGAGGCAGGGTCACAATCCTGGGATAGGGCTTTTTGCACCCTCCGCTGGAACGCTTTTTTTTGTTTGTTTGTTTTTGTTTTTTTCAATTTGACAGTTTTTATTTTCCAAACGTGAAAGCATAAAAAAGGGGGGTACAGAACTAAAAAAAGGGGGTTTACAGACATAGGTATAATGCAATTTGTGCTGTGTCAGTTTTGCTTCACAGAGTTTTGCATAGAGCCTCCTCAATCAGTATATAAAGCCTTGAAAGGGTATCGTTGCGTAACCTGAAGCTGATATCAGGTGTGTTGTCTATCCAATACCACTGGTTTGGTTCTGTTTGTCATATGCTGGGATGAGGATCGAAGGGGAGTATGAGCCTGTTGGTTTGGGGGGAATTGCTCCAGTAGTTGTCGGGCCAACGTCAGTGGGGTCCATCAGAATCGCACCTCGGGTTCATCCCCATATTGCCCGTTTCTGTCTTGTGTCTCTTAGCTATCGACTTTATATCTGTGTCTCTATATGTGCGTGTGTATTCTTCTCTGTCTTCTAGTCTGTGGCTCTTTTGGCCCTATTCTCCCAAACCTCCCGTTTCCAGGGTTGGTGTGTTGTTATAGAGGCATTTCGTAGCTCCCCACTGTTGAGACATACTTAATCAGTTCTTGCATAGTCGCTGTGGATGTGGAAAGCCAATTTCTGGCAATGTGTGTCAAGGCTGAGATTTGGATGTGGTATATCAAGTATTTATCGGCTGGGGGGTATTGGTCTTTGTATATAAACAGTAAGAGGGAGGCTGGGGAGTTGGGGACTGCAATGTTTGTATGTGAGTGAATGAGGGAAAGAACCTCTTTCCAGTAGCTCTGTATGATGTCACAGCCCCACCAGATGTGTAGGAATGTGCCTGTGTCTCTATGGCATCGCCAACAGGTGTTTGGTTGTGTTGGCAGTATCTTAGCCAGGCGTGTGGGAACCATGTACCGCCTGTAGGCAATTTTGCGCATGAGTTCCATGTGAGCTGCGCAGGCTGACCTGCCTTTGTAGCTGTTGATGGCTTTGAGCCAGGTGTTTTCGGGTATTTGACAGCCTATGTCTGTTTCCCATGCTTTGGCCCACGGAAGATGGCAGAGTTCGGTGTTAGTGTTCAGGAGTGTGTAAATGGCGGAAATGGGCCCCTTGGCAGGTGCTCCTGCAATTAAGAGTTTCTCAAAGTGTGTAAGGAAGTGTGTTTGGGGGTCCGGTGCTGGGATCTTCATATGCATGAGCCACCAGGCCCTCAGTTGTGTATAGGAGAAGTGTGCTCTGCTTGGGATAGTGTATCTGGTGCTAAGGTCGTGAAATGGCAGCAGTGTTCCCTTGTTTTGCAGGTCGTGCAGGTGTGCAATTCCATATCTGTTCCATATCTTAAAATTGAACTCAGGGATCAGCTCTGCCAGCGATCTGAGGGACATGGCCATTGAAATAGGGCGGCAGCTGCACAAACGCGCGCGGGAGGTGTCCCAGTCCAGAATAGACATCTACCAAGGAGATGCAGCATCACTACTGGGATCCAGTAATGGAGGGCAGCACAAGAAAGGTGAACTATGCTGCATTTAAAAGTTTCGTAGATGGGGAAATGGACACAGATGCGTATCTGCAAGATTTTGAATGACAATGTGCCCTAGAAGACCTGGACAGAGGATAAGTGGGCAGCTATTTTAAGCAGCAAGTTGTCTGGCCGAGCAGCTGAGGCATACCGGGCAGTACCAGACTCGGACATACATTACTGAGAGCCGGTAAATGATATTTTGATGGCCAGGTATGCTGTGACACCAGAGGCCTACAGGAGGAAGTTTTGGGGGCTCCGGAAGAACCATAAAGACTCTTTTGCTGAGTGGGCCTTCAGGATGCACCGGGCAGTCAAGAATTCGATGCAGGGCTGTCAGGTAACCTCTACTACTACTGCTAGAGCAATTCTTCGATCATACGCCACAGAGATCCGTGACTGTGTGAGAGACTGGAAGCTTGGAACTGTGGAGGACGCAGTCAGACTTGCTGATAACTATCAAAATGGCAGGAAAATAGAGTCCAGCGGAGAACGACCCCCCTTCAGACCCTCTTATCCGGCGCAAAGAGCACCACCACCCAGACAAGCTCCATTTACACCGGCAACTACCCCTGCACCCTTCAGAAGCACTGGGCCCTTGTGCCAAGGGTGCAACCAACCAGGGCATTTCAAAAGTAACTGCCCACACTGGAACAGAGGAGCTGGGAACGCACCCCTCTGCAGCCAGCTCGGGCCTCAGCCCACTGTTTCCAGCAGGGTTTCCTTCACAGCAGTGCGACTCAGAGGAACAGTGAACGGTTCTGCACGAGGTAAACCCGGACCAAGCTGCAGGCGACAAATGGGAGCACCATCGGCAGTGAGTCACCGTAGACTGTCAGGAAGCAAGGGGCCTCAGAGACACTGGCGCGACCCTCACCCTAGTGCAGTCGCACAAGGTCAGTCCACAAGCCTGTACCAACAAGACAGTAGCCGTGAGGGTGGTAGGAGGAGCTATCCACAAACTCCCAACTGCCTGAGTGTACCTCAACTAAGGTTCGGGGGTCAAGCATCTGGAGGTAAGCATTATGCGGGAGCTACCAGCGGAAGTACCGTTGGGGAACGACCTGGGCTGCCTGACATCCCAGTTCGCAACTACCTACCCAGAGGAGACCTTACCGGTGACCACAAGACTGCAAGCCCGCAAGGGAGAGCTGATGCACTCTGAGGACCCTATGTTCCGACCCTAGACGAGAACCCCACCCTCTACTGGGATACCCTTCAAGGTTTTGAAAGGGAACAAAGGGCCGATCCAACACAAGAAGAGTATAGAAAACAGGTAAAGCCCCCACAGGGAGATCTAGAACAGGAGAGGTTTGAGTGGGAGAAGGGGTTATTATACAGGGGGAACAGGGAATGTGGCCGCACAAGTGGCTAAATGACAGCTGGTAGGGCCCCGTAAATATCGGGCTGAGCTACTTAAGCTTAGTCATGACTTTCTCCTAGCAGGACATCTGGGTATGCAAAAAACCAAAGACTGGTTAACCCAGACCTTCTTCTGGCCAGGGATCACACGGGATCTGCAGAATTACTGCAGGACACGTAATGTCTGCCAGAAGACGGGAAAGAGGGGTGGCCAGCCAAAGCCATTACCCATAATTGAGGAACCTTTCCACCAAGTAGCGGTAGACTTTTTTTTCCTCTTTCAAGTTATAATTTTTATTAAGTTAAGTACAGCATTAATGATATAGCATAAAAGAACTAATTCTCAAACTACAGCACCCAATTAGGTGGCCAAGTAGAGAAAAAGAAGTACAACCTTATAGAAGTGTACTAGTGTATCAAAAAAGATAAAATAATTATACTCTATTTTATTAAGCTAAAAACAATAGCCCACTCATTAATAGTTAATCAAGAAGGTAGGTACTCAAGCTGGGTGCTCACTGCAGGTAAACTCACGGGGGTAGGTAAACAGCGATAGCTTAATGCAGGTAAACTCCCTGCTCCAATTATAGTGCTAGACTGGGAGTGAGGCTGAGCCCTACAGTATATGTAAGTCAGGTATAGATCCATCTGTCCAGGTGAATCTCACCACCCAGGGCACCAAAAGCCTTCCCCACTGAAAAGGTATCCACATCTCCACCTGTCCCTGTTACCTCGGCACCGCACAAAGCTAATGCCTACCGAAACTTCTGATCCTATTACTAGAAGTCAACAAAAACGTGCTCTCAAAAGTGACCCAAGTGCATAGTGAAAAAGGAAATTAAATAAAAGAAACGCCCAACGCGCGTTTCGGCGTGTTAAAACGCCATCATCAGGGGCTAGCGTGTCAGGCGTTTCTTTGGTTTAATTTCTTTTTTCACCATCTGTTTTGAAAATAGAATTTACGGTACATAAAACAGATTAAAATCCATGAAGAGAAGCGGCGTCATGACGTGCTGACAACGGGCGTCGTGACGGAGGAGGAGGGGCAGTCTCTGCGGAGTGCTATGGCGACTTCACCATGTTGAACTGTTCGAACGCCACAGCTCCCCCATGAAATACTCTGCCTAATGCAAACCACAAGCCTGAGAAACGACGGACCAAGATTTTATCGGTTCACATAGCAATCTAGATGAGGGCGGATTTGTTTTCTGGTCCTTAAGCTACGGTCCCTGACTGTGTCGAGGGAGTTCCGTTTTGCTGCCTCACTCCTATGAGGGTCAATAATACTCTCATCATCAGTCTCCCTCGGATTGGAAACAATTAGTGCCAAATATCTGACATTTCCATACAAGCCGCAATAAGGAGAGGAAGTTTGACTCCTGTCGTGGCCGAAGTATTTCATCTCCAGTATCTACTAAAATACTACTTTTCATCAACAGGAGACAGATATACAAGATAAGTGTTTTATTGCTTGCTATAGTAAGTGTCATCTTTTCTTTTTATTGTACAAGCCTATATAGTATATTGGTGCTCAAAATTGAGACATCTGTATATATTTAGTGGGAGACCGTAATACGGAAAAGTAAAAACTTTGGTATACCAGCAAATATTTTAGACGGCCAATTGGTAACGCCAACCCTCTAGCTTAACACTAATTGCTGAAGTTCAATGAAAGGGGCTAATTAAATAACCCCAATATGGCAACAAGAAAAGCCCAGGATAATTAATCTACTGTGAAAAAGGATAAAAAGGACTTAGTGCAAGACAAATCAATGTCCATATATTTTTCTCCACAACAACAGAAGGACAAGATTAAAAATAACAAACAAAATATGGAAGAGTCATTTGTCACCATGGGAAGTACTATTAATGAAGATAGCAATAAAGAGCTGATTACTGTTTCCCAATTACAGGCTAGTCTCAATGAAAACCTGGCTGAAATTAAGAATATCTTGATTAATACAGCTGAAATTAAAACCGAAATCAAACAAGAAATACATCAACTTACAGTCAAATTTCAGCATTTTGAGAAACAAATCTCGACATTGGACTTCCATGTCAATACCCTTAAAGATGATAATGAAAACATACATCACAAGATACAGGAACTTTAGCTCAAAATATACGACTTGGAAGACCGCAGTAGATGGAATAATTTGCGGTTCAGAAATTTTGAGGAAAAAGGCACGCAGGAAAATTTAAAACAGATTCTACATCAATATTTCTTAGCGCGGAATATTCCTATCAAAGAACAAGATCAACCAATAAAATGATGTCATAGGTTGTTTAAACCTCAAGCACTACATGCAGATCTACCTAGAGATATCACAGTTTGTTTTTTCTCTCCCGAATTTAAAGACACAGTTTTACGTTTTGCAAGATCAAATCCGATAACAGGTCAATTCCCAAAAATTCTGTTTTTTCAGGACTTCTCATACCACACAAGAATGAAAAGAAAAAACTTTTAGCATTTCTACTCAAATTCTCAGAAATCATGATATCAGATATAAATGGTTATTTCCCCTGAAAATCAGTGTTACCTTTGAGGGCATGAGGGAGACATTTGATTCCAATGAAAGATTATTACAATGGTTAAAATTGAAAAAGTTGCTAGCAGATTAAGGATACAGAGTGCTTCCAGGGGGTTCAATTTTCAGTATGTGGGTTTTTTTTTGTTTTTTGTTGACAAAGTAATAATGCAAAACTGATATATTATTTTGTGAAATGGTTGGATATGTATCTAGCTACTATGGTATTAAGACGGTTAGGATACGACATTATGGAGATACATTATAAATATAAACACATTCTATATATTTACACACGGGGGTAATAGGGATATGTTTCACTCATACGATTGGAGATATATATATATATATATATATTTTAATTATATATTCCCTATCATTAGTAAGGCATAGCTATAAAGAGCACAACTAATATATTGTAATAAGCACTGTTTTATAAACAATGTTTTTAATAATATTCTACAGAGAAATGGTAGCTGTCCACGAAATAATATTTATTAACAGTATAATCCACTAAATGACATTTGATCAATGTGGCGGAACAGACCTCGCCACGTGTTCTTGGAGGGGGCTGCTTGCCCGCCTCCTACCTTCTGACTATGGCATTTGAAAACACTATTCGTGCCCTGTGACCAAACTGGAAATTGTGCACAAATAGGACTATTGTCCATATTTTTTATGATTACCTTCGTTTGTTGCACTGTTCTCCATGTGTTTCATCTGTTGGTTCGGCTGGATAGACTACCAGACAAACTGTGGAGTTACTGGATGGCCACCATTTTATGTATCAGAGGCACATGGTGAGAACAATGGATGAAGCACATGGTGAGAACAATGGATGGTGGCCATTTTAACTTACAGACACTGTTTTGACTTTTCTACACTGTGCCATCTCGCCGGTATTTGGTGCACAAAGACATCGTTCAGTAGTTTTAAACTACAGAACAGGGGACACATTTAACAGTAATTATTTTTCATATAGCCTGTATATGTTCTGCGGAATCTGCATTAAACCGTATCTTCCAAACTACTGAACGGATCTGAGTGAATTTTGGATATGTGGTTCACCCAGATCCCCCGGTTCCAATGATATATATTTATGGGGTTATTGCATGTTTTGGGGTCCCTGTGATATGTTTTATAATACTGTATTTTTCTGCCTGTGATAATTAAGTTAGTCTATTGTCTGGAGATAATTGCATCACAGGAGGGGAGGATTTCTGCTGGGAGTGGTTTACTTTATTGTACGTGTTGTAATGTTTTTATTGGTTCTTCTGAAAAACCCTGTGGGTGGTCCTGTATGTGTAAGACCTCCATAAAAGAAGGCCCTTTGGTGCTAATTAAACACAGTTCTTCTTGACCCTCAACACGTAGTCTTGTCTCGTGATTGGAGGGGACAGCTATACTTACACTGGGGATTGCTATGCTCTGCATACTACCCTGAGCTTTAATCACTTAGCTCTTTTAAGAGCATGTTCCTGATATGCTCTCCTGGAGGAGAGGTTTTCACCACACGGTCCTGGAGGACAGAAGCGGATCCAGGGTGGAAGGAAGACGGCGAGACTCCAGTTAAGCTACGGCGGTTGTGGAGTCTGTGGTGGTTGTGATGTCCGGTGTGGTGCTTGTGGTCCTCAGCGCAAGCTAGGAAGCGTCCATCAACGGAAGGTACTTGGTCGGAGTACGGGGAGTTCCGTTACAATCAGCTACATCTATTTGATAAATTATGCACAACATAGATATATAATCTTATATGCTATTCTATTTGGTTTAAATGGTTGTTAAAACATAAAGTATGGTACCTAATAGGTAATGATTGGTCTATCGCATTCCACAAATATTCTCAGGAAACACACTATCATTATTGTATAAGAGTCTATTAACGAATGGTCAAGTTATAGTCACTCGACGAATATTGACTAACGAGGTTGTTCACATATAAAACTATATTCTTTCTTCCTGGGAAAAAAAATATTCCTACAAATCAGAGAATGGGATTCATTTTTTTTGGAGGGGGGGGGGGGAAGATTTTATTTTTTTTTCCTTCATGGGGAGACGCCATTCTGATGCCCCGTAGAAGTTTCCCCTCAATATGTAGTTACACTACATTTTTTTCCGGAGAGCACTATGGGCTCTAATAGATACATTGGAACTTGTTTCCGATGGTATGACGACTTCTCTGGGTGTGTTAAACCCTTAGTGGTCTGGCCACTCCGATATGTATATTTAATATGTTGTATGTGTGTTTTGCAGAGTGAGATAGTTGGTCAGTTAAATTTTGAACCATATATATGTTAAAGTTTGTGTGTTCTAATGTCCAGGGGTTAAATACAACCAATAAGAGAAATAGGTTGTATCATTCCTCAATGCAAGAGAAAATTCAAGAATCCCACTGGCCTAGAGATTCCCAACAAAAGTGGGGAGGGGCTCAATATCCAATGATTTTTCATGCCTCACTAGTAGACAGAAAAAAAAAAAAAGTGTTGATATTATATTTAGAAACGATATTCAATTGGACATTGTTCACTGTGAATTGGATAAGGAGGCCAGATATATTATTTTAGTTTGTAGCATTGATAATAAGCTTTATATTTTGGTTAATTTATATCTACCTAATGTGGATCCAACTACTATTTTTTCCAAAATAATGTCTAAGGTTGTTAAAATCTCCAAGGGTATATTGATCATTGCGGGAGATTTCAACTGTGTATTAAATCCAAAATTGGATAAACAATCCCCTGCATTGGTCAGTGTAGATAAAAGAGCATATAAACAAGCCAAAAGATGGAGTACTATATTTAAATTGCATAATATTTTTGATGTATGGTGTACTTTTTATCTCTTGGAGAGAGATTACACTCATTCTAACATTCATGGATCATATTCAAGGACTGATTTATGCTTAAGTAATGCAAACTCACTAAAACTTTTCCAAACAGTTAAAGTTAAGGACAATCTCTGGGCTGATCATAGTTTCATTATAATGGAAATAGGGGGCACTTTCTTTCCTGGAACTTCCACTTGGCGACTTAATGTATTAATTGAAGATGAAAAGAATAGAGGAGATCTAATTAAATTTATTAACATTTTTTTTTGAAGAAAATCATCCACAAGATACTTCTTGTGCGATTAATTGGTGTACACAAAAAGTTGTGACAAGAGGTTATTTAATTAAAATGGGGCATATCTATAAGAAAAACAATGGGCAGACCCTGACAGATTTGTATATAGAATTTTATAGGCTCTCTAACCTAAATAAAAAACAACTGAGAATCAAAATAAATATAAACAAATTAAAATTAAACCATTATTATATGGGTAACAGAGCTTCTAAAAATCTGACAAAAAGATTACAAATCCATCAAGCGAGAAACAGGGCAGAAAAACGAATAGATGGCCAAAATATTTATACCACCCCATCACAAATTGGAGAAAAATTCAACCAGTTTTATGAGCAATTGTATAATCTCAAGTCTATCCATCAGACAGATATTCAAAAATACCTTGATAATATTCAGATCCCCAAAATCTCGCCACAAGACTTAGCCCTTTTGAATACACCTTTTACTTGTGAGGAAGTACAACAACAAAATTGAAAAATTACCCTGGAATAAAACCCCCGGCCCTGACGGCTTTACAAACGCATTTTATAAACATATGAAGTCTGTATTAGCGAAGCCTCTAAAGGACATGTTTAATGAAATAGTGGACAATAATTCATTTCCTAAAGAACTTCTTCAGCAGGCCTTTGGCCTAAAGGGCTGTATTTGCAAGGCTATCATGGCTTTGTATTCCAATCCCTCTGCCAGATCAGTTGGCCCTAATATTTCTGCAGGGTGGTTCTCCCTTGGAAACGGTACCAGACAGGGGTGTTCTTTATCCCCGCTCTTATACATTCTGACGTTAGAACCTCTCGCTATTAGTATAAGGAACAACCCAAATATTAAGGGCTTCCCTACGAGACATATGGATATAAAAATATCATATGCGGATGATGCTTTAATCTCACTTACTTTCCCGGAGTTTTCCCTGCCCTCCCTCATACAAGAAATTGACACTTATAGTGCAGTCTACAATTTTAAGATGAATATTTTGAAATCTGTGGCTATGTATATCAATTTACAAGATACTGTGGTCGACAGACTATGTCATGGATATAATTTTATTTGAACCAACACGGAATTAACATATCTTGGGATTGTCGTACTGACTTGTATTGGGGATATAGTAGAGAAAAATGTTTTGAGACTGCTTAAAGATATGAATTATAAATTACAAAAATTGAAAAATTGGGAGACAACTTGGATAGGGAGAATTAATATTAATTCTTACATATTACCGCAATGGTCCTTTTTTTTTTCTCTATGGTACCCCTTAAGATTCCAAAGATCTGGTTACCCATGATTCAATAGTTTTTTTCGAGGTTTAATTGAAAAAAAAAAAAAGAGAGACTTCGTTTTAGAACTTTGTCCAAAAATATTCAAAGGGGGGTTTGAATTTTCCCAACATTACTCATATTTACTATGCAAATATGATAAGACATATTTATCATTTACAAAATCCACAATATGCTGACGAACCTTGGTATATACTTGAAGCCCAGTCTGTCTTGCCTAATAAATTGCAATGTCTTATTTGGAAAGAAAGAATGAATTACAGGGCAACACTCAAATCTTTGCTCAAATAAAATCTACTATACTTAGCCAATTATTAGATATATGGCAAGAAATTAAAAAAAAAAAAATGACAGTTGGGATGTATGAATTGGATACCAAAGACTTGTTCCCTTGCTGTAATCGAACAGAATGTAGATGACTTATTATCTAGATGGATCAATCAAAGCATAGTTAAAATATCTGAAATTATGGTAGGTAAACAATTTATATCATTCCAACAGATTGTAGAGATGTATCAACTGCCATCCAGAGAAATCTTTACTTATTTACGTATTAAACATTATTTAGATATTTCTATTATCGATACTACATCCCTAATTTCTAAATATCTAGAAACTATCTTTTGTTAAAGATCTGTTAAAAAAAAAAAAAAATTACCTCTGTAAAATTATAGAGTTTTGGGAAAAGGAACTGGACATAGTAATCTCAGAAAAGGATTGGTGTACCTCAATATCCCATATGACAAAGTACGTCCAGAGTCTTAATTTGGTAGAATGCTATTTTTAAATTGGTATACAAATGGTATTACACCCAGTCTAGAATATCAAAGATGTTTCCACATTTACAGGATATTTGTTGATGATGTGATTCATTTGTTGGAACATATACACATATTTGGTGGGCGTGTCCGATAGTTAACCCATGGTGGTCATGGGTCTTTGATATTATTTTTTAAACGATCTAACAAATTAGAAGAAAATCCGGCTTCAGCCCTTTTACACCTTAATTGGAATTTTAATTGATCCAAAATTAATTGCATAGCATCACATTGTTTTGTGGCTGCTAAAATTATAATTGCCAGAAGGTGGAAATTATCTACCCCCTTTCAAAAAAGCCACCTTATAAATCAAATTAAATTCCAATTGTCGATGGAACATAATCTCCTAAATAATACTGCAAGTTCATTGCATAAGAAAGGCATATATAAAATGTGGCTTGATAAATTTATATTATTATATGACTGATGACATGAAGATAGGGGCCCCCCCATTAACTAGATTATAGAGAGTGAGCAGTGATTGTATAGGTGACATAAGGGATAGGAATACACCTATATGTTCAAACTCAAGTGGACTTTGACATAGTCCATCTTAGTACTTACCTCTCCTCACTTTGATAGCGTGAATAAAAGCATTTATGATATATACATAGCATATAAGGCGTTTTCGCCTTGCTATTATATCGCTTATACATAACATCTAAATTTGATCTTTGACTTTAAGTATATATTCAGTGTTATCTGGACTTTTCTTCAATGAGACACCCGGTTCAATAAGAGTAGTAAAATAAGAATTCGTAACAGACCCATGAAGAAATTAATGTAAAATCTGACTAGAATAGTCTATATTATTGTATGGTTGAGAATGAGAGTAAAACAGGGATGATCATCTAATAAGATTGTGGAGAGAGGACTTAAATTGTCTAGGAGATATGATACTGGTCCTCTACCAATTACATATATACATAAATATATAGATCAGTGTAGATTCAGATATACTTTACCTTAGGATCTATTAATTTCTCACTCTGAAAGTGTGAATGTTAGTATATATGGCATGTATATGGAGTGTATGGTATGATTTTTGCTGTTGTATTTTGTTAGAAAGTAATTGTAATATTCATGCATATCAGGCTAAATTTATCTTGGATTGTATATTTATACTCACTGTTTAACTGGATTGAAGTTTTTATACTGTATATACACTCGAGTATAAGTCGAGTATAAGTCGAGTATAAGTAGAGACCCCTAATTTTACCCCAAAAAACTGTGAAAACTTATTGACTCGAGTATAAGACTAGGGTGGGAAATGCAGCAGCTACTGGTAAATTTCTAAATAAAATTATATCCCCCCAAAAATTAGATTAATTGAATATTTATTTACAGTGTGTGTGTGTGTGTGTGTGTGTGTGTGTGTATGAGTGTGTGTATGTATGAATGCAGTGTGTGTTTGTGTATGTGATGCAGAACCTTGGTGGGGGGTGGGCATTTTTATTATTTTTTTAATTATTATTTTAATATTAATTATTTGTTATATTAATATTTTATTTAAATTATTTTTATTCGTCCCCCCCTCCCTGCTTGATACATGGCCAGGGAGGGGGGCTCTCATTCCCTGGTGGTCCAGTGGTGTGCCTGCAGCTCCTGTCAGCTCCCTTCTCCTCCGGTCCAGTCAGCTCCCCTGTCAGCTCCACTGCAAGTCTCGCGGTGTGAGTGCCGTGGGGAGCGTTGCCACGGGTCTGACCCCGCGGCTCTCGTGAGACTTACAGTGGAGCTGACAGGGGAGCTGACCGGACAAGAAGGGAGCTGACAGGAGTTGCAGGAAAGGTAAGTTACCGCTCACTGCCACCCCCCAACGGGACCGCGGGGCTTGTAATGAGCCCGGCGGTCCTGGTCTGTATTATGACAATGTAAGTTGTCATAATACAGACATTGACTTGAGTATAAGACAAAAAATTAAAGAGAAAAACACTTGAATCGCTGGATATAACAATCCAGCAGTTCGAGTATAAACTGGAACTATTGTAATCAAAATTCAATCTGAAAAAAGATGATGATAATAATAATAATAATAATAATAATAATAATAATAATAATCACATACCCATCCCAAACCTTAGAGCCATCCAATGTGAAATAATAAATACCAAGCCTTTCGGCTAAACCTCTTAAATATTATACCGTGACATTAGTAAATCTCAGACTCCTGACTTTATTATTAACCGAATAGGTCACAGTCTGTTTGTAGTAATAAATAAATATCAATTGAATCACGGATACCATTCCTAGTCCCTAGAAAAACGACCATATATAAAAAATGAATCACTTGTCCTGGCAACTCTTATGATGATAGTGTACCATAAGTAAAGAGACGCTTCTCTAGGATGTCTCTATATCCACATTTATATTGAATAGCTCTGTGGTAACACTATTCTAAGAAAGATGCCATATAGAAAAAGGACTCTATAGAGAAATGTATCAAAATAATGTTAATAAGTAACCAGTACAAGATCCTTTATAATAAAAAAAATAAAAAATAAAAATCTCTGATAATGTATCTCCTACAAAGGTTACTTAATAGATAAAAGGTTATTAGGGCTGGAAAAGAGGTAAAAGGTTACATAGTGCTAATGTGCAGAACCATACTTAGGATGTTGGTTGCCTGCATAGTGAGAGTGCCCAAGTGAAAATTGTGAAAAGACAAAAAAATGTGCTGAAAAAACTCGCCTTATACGGTATATGTTTATTAACATAATTGTATGATATGTTAAGAATAACTATTTTTTCAATAAAGAATATAATAAATTAAAAAATAAAAATTCTATTTTCCTTACTATAGGGTCAGTACTGCAACATGTGGGTAGTCACTTTAAGTGGACAAGAAGCTCTGCAAATTAAATTATATCCTGACTCCCTGCATATAAAAAGCCATACCTCCATATTATCCCCAGTTATCTAAATAACCATACAGAGACCAATCAACTGCAAAATTCATGATCCAATGGGAGGGAAACATGCAGCATTGCCACTATACTAAGGAAAATAGAATTTACGGTAAGTAAAATTACTGTTTTTCGTGTCGTAAGTGGCAGTACTGCAACATGTGGGATATAGCAAGATCCCTTAACAAAAGCAATGGGTGGGAAATCAATAGGCCACCGCTTGGAGCACCTTTGCCCAAAAGCAGCTTCAGGGTAAGAGAATATAGCCAGCCTGTAATGTTTTATAAAAGTATGAAGAGAAGACCAAGCAGCAGCTTTACTTCTATCCTCCGGATATGTTGAAGACCGCTCAGCACATGAGGTTGCCATCGCTCTGGTAGAGTGAGCCTTGACAGATAATGGAAGGGAGAGATTCCTGACCTCATAAGCCAGTTTGATAGCGTCAATAAAAAGCACCTTGCAAATTGATAAACAGATCTGATTTTCTATGAGGAGCTAATCGGAGGTGATTTGCTTCTAACACCCTCTTAACATCCAGGCACTGCCATTTCTTCTCAGTGTCAGAAGATTGGGCTTGGCAAAAGGAAGGTAGAATGATAGGTTGATTAAGGTTTTGTCTGGAGAGAACCTTAGGTAGAACAGAGTGTTTCGGATGCAAAATCACTTTATCCTGGTGAAAAACTGTAAATTCAGGAGGAAGGTGATAGTGCTTGTAATTCACCAACTCTACTAGCTGAGGTAACTGCAACCAAAAATGACGTTTTAAGGGATAAAAATCTTTAATGGTATAACATCTAATTGTTCAAAAGGAGGACTGCACATTGCCTTGAGAACAACTGATAAATCCGATGAAGGAAAAGAAGAGCTTTGGAAGACATTTTAAGAAGAACAGCTTTTAAAAAATTTTTTTTAAAAATTCTACGAATGAGCTTGTTGGATCTCAAATCTTGAATCAGGAAATGGCAGAGGGCTGAAACTTGTACTTTGAGAGAAGACACACTAAGACCTTCAGAGAAACGGTCTTGCAAAAAAGAAAGGATGTATGACATTGATTAATTAAAAGAGAGACATCCCTTTTGTGATCACCATTGCAGGAATTTATGCCAGATCCTAAGGTAGATCTTGTTTGTGGATATGCGAGTGGAGGACAGGAGAACATCATTAATTCTGACAGACACGCCTTGTTCTTTAAGGATCATCCTCGCAGCAACCAGGCCCGGACTGGCCATCGGGCATACCGGGCAAATGCCCGGTGGGCCGCGATGGCCGTGGGGCCGAGGCCAGCAGGGGAGATCACAGGATCTCCCCTGCAGGGCCAGCGCTATCCGAGCGCCAGCCCTGCTTTGTGCCTCCATGGGCCGGTGAGGGAGATCACAGATCTCCCTCACCGGCCCACAGGCACTGTTACAGGCGGCCGCAGGCTGGGTGAGGGAGGGAGGGAGAGAGGACCCGGCAGAGCTCTAACCAGCAGCTCCGCCGGGTCCTCTCGCGGGATTCTGAGCGTTGCCGCGGTTACCACGGCAACGCTCAGATCTCGCGAGAGTGAACTCTAGCCTGCAGGCTGGAGTTCACTCTCAACACTGGACCACCAGGGAAGCATGACAGCATGCGCCCCCCACCCCCTCATGGCAACACGGCTCCCCCCCCTCCCAGGCTAAAGGTAAGAAGGGGGGGCATAACTTTTTTTTTTAAATTATTAATAATTACTAATTATTATAATTATTAATAAAATAAAAAATATATATATTTAAAATAATTACCCTAACAGCCCCCCCAGACACACACAGCCCCCCCAGACACACACAGCACCCCCCCACACACACACACAGCACCCAGACACACACACACACACACCCAGACACACACAGCACCCAGACACACACAGCACCCCAGACACACACACACAGCACCCCACAGACACACACACACACAGACACACACACACAGCAACCCCAGACAGACACACACACACACAGCAACCCCAGACAGACACACACACACAGCAACCCCAGGACAGACACACACACACAGCACCCAGACACACACACACAGCACCCAGACACACACACACAGCACCCCAGACACACACACACAGCACCCCAGACACACACAGCACCCCCAGACACACACACACAGCACCCCAGACACACACACACACACAGCACCCCTAGACACACACACACAGCACCCCAGACACACACACACAGTAACCCAGACACACACACAGCACCCCCAGACACACACACACAGCACCCCCAGACACACACACACACACAGCACCCCCAGACACACACACAGCACCCCAGACACACACACACACAGCACCCAGACACACACACACACAGCACCCCAGACACACACACACACAGCACCCCAGACACACACACACACAGCACCCAGACACACACACACACAGCACCCCAGACACACACAGCACAGCACACACACAGCACCCAGACACACACACACACAGCACCCCAGACACACACACACACAGCACCCAGACACACACACACAGCACCCCAGACACACACACACACAGCACCCCAGACACACACACAGCACCCCCAGACACACACACACAGCACCCCCAGCACACACACAGCACACACGACACACACAGCACCCCACAGACGACACACAGCACCCCACAGACGACACAGACAACACACACACAGCACCCCACAGACGCACACACAGCACCCCACAGACGCACACACACAGCACCCCACAGACGCACACACACAGCACCCCACAGACGCACACACACAGCACCCCACAGACGCACACACACAGCACCCCACAGACGCACACAACACCCTCAGACAGGCAGCACCCTCACTCCCACACACATACAGCACATATATATTATATAAAATAACCTTCAGTGAGTTAACAGACAAAATTAGAAACCCAGACGGCAGATAAAAACACCCTCACACACAGCACTCCTCTTACACAAACACGCTGCGCACCTCACACATACAATACGTCCAAATATATTATACACACACACTACAGCACCCCTCACACTGCACCACTACACACATTACGCTCCAGATACACGCTAGATCCCTTACCTTATATGCACTCTTAATCCTCTACACACACACACAATCTTCTATACACACTCTGGGTCCTTTACACACTAGATCTCTTACACACACACTGCAAACACATACAACATTCTCTAAACACACCCTCTCTACACACAGTAGTGTGTATAAGTGACACACACTTTGTCACCTAAACACACACACTACTGCCCGTATGCACACACTCGCTACATCCCCTATAACACTATGCCCCTATACACGCACTCTCTACAGCCCCTAGCCACACATATTACACCACAAAATTGACCTATTTACACAATACCATACCACACTCTACACACAGGCAATCCCACAAGCATGCGCCAAACACATGCACCATACACTTTCCTGGCCCTTTTGTCCTCTGGTATCCCACTTGTGGAGACACCAGAGACAATTTAAAAGCAAACACAGCGCAAGCATGTTATTACATTTGCTTGCGCTGCGCAGAACAAATACAGGGCCTTTTTCTAATGCTAGAGCTCTTCAGCGGGGCTCTGCGCATTGAACCAACATGCTCACTTTCAGAGGGGGTGTACTTGTCATTAGTGATGACAAACACACCCTCTCTGGCCCCGCCCCCTTTTTGGGGGGCCGCTCTAATTGAAAAATGCCCGGGCCTAATTTTTTTCCCAGTCCGGCCCTGGCAGCAACCATTCGGAACATCCTTATGGTCTCCACTGGAAGATCTTTGTTTTCCAGAAGGTCGTTCGAACAAGGGAGTTCCTAATGAGCTATTGCCATCCGTTTGATATCTGAGAACCAGCTCCTGTTTGGTCAATGTCTGAATAATGCGGGAGGTCATAGCTACTGGAGGGAAAAGATACACCATGCTGAGCTTCCATGGTATTGAAAGACCATCCAGAACACAAGGATGATCTCCTCTCAAAAATGGAAGTGAATTTCTGGACTTTCCCATTCCTTCTTGTGGCCATCAGATTTATATCTGGTAGACCAAAATGCTTGACTAGCTTCGCAAAGACGAGAGGGTGAAAAGAACATTCTGACTGCGTCCATCATTGTCTGCTTAGATCGCCCGCGATTATATTGTTGGATCCTCTGATGTACGTTGCCGCAATTGATTTCACATTTTCATGAGACCAAGCCATGATTTGTGAACAGAGTCTGGAGAGAAAAAAAATTATGGACTAGAAAAAGGTGAGAGTACACTCCCAGGAACTCTTATTGTTTTAGCACCCTTTCTATAACTGCCTTTTTTAACAGGGTCAGAGATGCTAGATAGAAGAGCTTCTGATTTTTCTCTTGACTGGTAAGTTGATACCAGAAATTCCGGGCCAGTATGTTTCGAGAATTTTAGTCTGTAACCCTCTGCTATAGTATTCAATATCCAATGAATTTAAGTGGTTTCTTCTCATTGTTGAACAAAGAATCTGAGCCAACCCCCTATACTTCTGGCGTCAATATCTCCTTTTCTTATCTTTTTTTGTTGGAGTTCTTTCTTTTGACATCTCTGAAAGGCTTACGAAATTTCCTGCCTCCCAGGACTCCGTACTAGCAATTGCCGCATAAATACCTTCCTTCCACTTACGTTCCGTAACACGATGTGGAAGGGCGCCATTCAGCTCAACCTCCCGGGGAGCTTTCGGGTTCTGTTCCCCCAGATGTCATCCCGTGAGCCACACCAGACTTTTCTGAGCAACTGGTCCGCCAGATACCAGGACAAGAAAAACTGGGGATAATATGGAAGTATTGCCTTTTATAGGCAGGGAGGCAGGAATTAATTTAATTTGCAGAGCTTCTTGTCCACTTAAGGAAGGGACTACGAACATGTTGCAGTACGGCCACTTATGACAGGAAACATGAATCTGGACAACTTGGGTGCTCAGATCCAGGCTATCCAGGGATATAACATTTGTGGGGTTCCTCTATGTATTTAATATTTTATGTTTTGTAACTCTAGTGCCTGGGAGATAATTAATTTAAGCAAAGTACACTAAATTATCTCCCAGACACAGAGACTCCTGGGCGTGTTGTGGGAGCCGTTTAATTTACGGCTGTGTGGTAATGGGAGGATCTTTGTTTGAGACCCCCTGCTGGGTGTCTGTGTACATAAGTGGGCCACGTGGCCATAATAAAACCTTCCGGTTGTACCCTTCATCAAGTCTCAACTGATGTTTGGGTATGCGAATGACAAACAGCTTGATTTGTTCTCACAACCAGCTTGGATTTCGGGAAAGTACGAATCAGCATACTATGTGTACGGGATATAATCACTAAGTCCTTAGCATTTCGGGAGTGTGCGAATGAACATACTTCACGAAGTACAGGAGGTTCGTTACACTATGGTATAGGGCATGGCTGTAAGTTAGGACATATGAGGGTTATGGGACATGTCTGGTGGGCAAAGGAGGTGGCCAAAAAGTTTAATGGGATATAGATGAAGGAGGGCATGGCTGTGTGGCATTGGGAGGATGGATGTAATAACAGGCAGTGAAGTAAGAGACTAAAAGATCTTTTACACATGGCAGAGAAGACAGAGGTTGGCATGAGACATGGATGGAAAGGGACATGGCAAATAGGGCAGTGGTTCATATATGGCAACGCACATACCAAACACACATACACTACATGCAAACAGCACACACCACAAGCACAAAGAACACACACAAGAACATGAATGCACACAAATCACACACATTACACCCAGCCACCACACACAAATTATGGGGAGGACAGTGGGCGAGACCCTAGTCTCAAAACATTCACAAATTAAATCCAAATATGTAAACTGAGGAAAAAAATAACCAGTTGTAACTGTAGCGGAATTGGCAATTTTTTTCAGTTAAACAATTTTTACCTCTGCTTTTCCATTCGGATTTAAGTTACAAAATTCAGAATTTAATGAATAACCCTGCCAATAGCCAAGTATAGACAGGTTCCCAAAATGTTCGAGTTCGAAATTATTTTCTGCTAGGACAAGTAGATTGGGCTACCACTCTGGGCCCTTGAAAATGTAGATTATTTAAAGGACCACTATAGTGCCAGGAAAACAAACTCGTTTTCCTGGCACTATAGTATTAGGCGGGCTGAAGGGGAGGAAGGGGTTAAAGAGACACTATAGTCACCCAGACCACTTCAGCTTAATGAAGTGGTCTGGGTGTCAGGTCCCTCTAGGGTTAACCCTGCCTGATGTAAACATAGCAGTTTCTGAGAAACTGCTATGTTTACATCTGGGGTTAAGCCAGCCTCTAGTGGCTGTCTTCCGGACAGCCACTAGAGGCGCATCTGCAATGATTGAGGCATATTATGCCTCAATCACGCAGAGCGTCCACAGGAAAGCATTGAAAAATGCTTTCCTATGGACACTTTGAATGCACGCGCGGCAGTGCCGCGCTTTCGGCTCCGGTGACGTCAGACATGGATGCGGACGTCGGCGGGGGAGGACAGGTAAGGGAGCCCGGCGGGGGAAAAGGGTGAGTAGCTGAAGGGGTTTTAACCCCTTCCGCGCTGCAGGAGGGGGACCCTGATGGATGGGGCACCCTCAGGGTACTATAGTGTCAGGAAAACCAAGCGGTTTTCCTGACACTATAGTGTCCCTTTAAAATCTTACCTTTCTCCAGCGCCAGGCTCCCTCGACGCTGGGGACTCTCCTCCTCCTTTGGATGTCATCGGCAGAATGCGCATGCGCGGCAAGAGCCGCGCGCGCATTTAATCAGTCCATAGGAAAGCATTTCTCAATGCTTTCCTATGGACGCTGGCGTCTTCTCACAGTGAAAATCACAGTGAGAAGCGCCTCTAGTGGCTGTCAATGAGACAGCCACTAGAGGCTGGATTAACCCATATGTAAACACAGCAGTTTCTCTGAAACTGCTATGTTTACAGCAGCCAGGGTTAACCCTAGATGGACCTGGCACCCAGACCACTTCTTTAAGCTGAAGTGGTCTGGGTGCCTATAGTGGTCCTTTAAGCTTCCACACCACTGCCAGCAAAATAAGTATGTTTTGCCATGGCTGAAATAAACACTTCATTCAAAATGAGGATACAAATGCAGTACATATTCCAGATGAACATATTATAATAGTCAGTACTAGTTAACACCACAAAGCATTCAGAGGTTTAATTTACGTCCAAATAGTTGGAATCTAGTCAGTAATTTAATTATCACAGAAATGTGTAACCTAGGAATTTTGCACACATGCAATAAATTACTACCCTTCATAATTAATCTGTAACAATGTTAAATTTACAGTCCCTAATAAAAGCCAATAATTTAAACAAATGTTCATAAACGATATACTCCCTAGCAATAATAGCTTTAAATCATGTAAATTAGTGGCTCAGTCTTCCTTAGACTGTTATTTTTAATTATAGATTAGTATACAAGACACATTGTTTAATATTGTATATTAATAAATTAAATACGACTTTCCTCCAAAAGAGAAAAACAACTTTTAATCTTTATTTAATATTAGAGACAAAACCCTCTACTTGAGTACAAGTTCTAATCGTAATTAATAGGATAGCTTTAGTTTTTGTAAAGGACATCTTTAAAATCATTAATAACAGACACTCTAATAGAGGACAGCTTTTTACATGTTAATTGTATTATAATTTCAGTATAGCAACACATGAAATCGCCATTGCCCGTGCTGGTAATAAGCTCAGAAAATGATTAATATCGCAGCAATAACCTCTTACCTGCCTGACCTCTCTAGAGAGCCATGCAGCCTGTCTGCCCCGGATGGAACTCTCGCACTTCCTGATCGAACGCTGCTTATTGCGCATGAGTGGAGCTCGCACTACGTCTTATTGCAGGGCGGGAGTATAAAAACAGCAGCGACATTTACCCAGATACTTAAAAGCTCTGTGATATCCCTGGGCTACTACCAGCTTCGCTATCCTTGCACAGAGCTTGGTTAGTGTCTGCCGGGGCTATCGCTGCACGGAGCCGGGCTAGTGTCTGCCGGGGCTATCGCTGCACGGAGCCGGGCTAGTGTCTGCCGGGGCTATCGCTGCACGGAGCCGGGCTAGTGTCTGCCGGGGCTATCGCTGCACGGAGCCGGGCTAGTGTCTGCCGGGGCTATCGCTGCACGGAGCCGGGCTAGTGTCTGCCGGGGCTATCGCTGCACGGAGCTGGGCTACTGTCTTGTTTGTCTGGTCGCCCAGTTCCTGTCTGTGCTGAGCTCTCAATGCAGAAAACAGAGTTATTGTCTGTCTGCATACAAAGAGCAGGACTATCATATGCCACACCTCAACAAAGCAGGGTAACTGTCTCTGGCTGCATATGTCAGGATTGTTGTCTATCTGCCAGCACAGAGCAGGGTTACTTTCTTCTACGCAGACAAAGAAGGTTTGTCTCTGTTCAACCAGAGACATTGGACCGCCACTGTGGAGAGAATGGAATTGTTTTTTTCAATTTGTGGCAACATTTGAAATCACTACAAACCGGGGTTGTTGCTTCTTTTGAATCAACAGGAGTAATCCAGATATGTGAAATTCTGCTCGTGAGGTTTTTCAGCCCCTATTACTATGTAACTATGACTTAGAAAATAAAAGCAAACCAAACGGAAAAAAATCTCGAACTCGTCTAATTTGGCAAAAAAATAAATAAAAAAAACCTCAGTTTAACAATTTACAGTTTAGTGAAGAAAGAAGGTCAAAATGTTAATTCTTACATTACCTGTCAGGCCCTAAACTTATACTATTCATCTCAAGTCCACAAACAGAATTTTTTCTTTCTCTCTCTCTCAAGAAGTGCCTATGGTAGCTGTAACTTTCATCACTCTGTATATCAATGTGTAATAATGCAGAGATCTATTCATCCCTTCTCTTTTTCTCCTTCACCCTACTTCTTTCTCATTCTCCTCTCTGTGACTCTCATTCACTGCTCCATCTCTTTAATTTCATTGGTTATAGTGCATTGAGTCTCCAGACATCGTCCCTCCATCCTGTGATAAAGGGACACCATTACAACTACCTGTAGGTATTCTGGAGTCTGTCTGTCTCTGCAGGCTTTTTAAAGTAAACACTGCCTTTTCAGAGACCAGCACTGAAGTTCAGAGTCTCCACACTGCATGGAGGCGCTGAACATTCCTCTTAGAGATGCATTGATCCAGTGCATCTCTAGGAGGAGATGCTGATTGACGCAGCGTGGCATTTTACCTTGCATGCGTGATAGCCTCCCAATGCTTTCCTATGTAAATGCATTGGATTTGCTGACAAGAAGGAAAAAAAGAATAGGCGCTCACTATAGTAAATGGTGAACAGGCAGCAGTATACAAAACAAGGATTCCCAAGCCTTGTGAATAGTAGACAAGAAAAAAAAGGGTGTATGCCGTGCCTAATAGTTTATATATGTAAAATATACATACATATATTTTCAAATGTATCCAGAAGATTGGAACCTCGGAATAAAACAAAAATAATAGTGCAATACAGTTTAGTAATAACTTGAAGTAGTGAATATGGCTATACACAGTCCACTCACATTTATATGAGTTATAACAGAGCTCGGCTCTGATGTGCTTGGACGGTACAATCCCCGTCTCAGGATATGTAGTTGTGGTTGACACACATGTTTCCAAGGTGCAGTGTGAGACTGTTGGTAGCCAGACGCTGTCCCGCACCGCCTCCCCTTTGCCTGTTCCTCCACAGCAGCTCAGTCTGTTACCTAGTTTGGGCTTCTATTCCGGTGTCTGGTAACATGTTCTGCTTCATGTCCATAAAGTTTGATGATCTCAGCCAAGGAAAATGAGCCAGCCACGACCTGATTCAAGGTTATCTGCGCGGCACAGTCAAAAGATGAATAAAATCACCTTTTAATTTTTTACTTTGTTGACGGGGGGCTGGTTACCTAAATAGTGCTATTAGAACTATAGTGTCAGGAATACACATTTGTTTTCCTGACACTATAGTGTTCCTTTAAACTATTTTCCGTTGCAGCCTGGCTCCTACTGGAGGTATGGCTAAGGCAGAGATTACACTATTCCTTCTAGCTATACTTATTTATACCAGCAGTGGGCACAGTGATAGGCTGAAAGTGGTTAGATGACCAAGGGGCTCCAGACAATGTAACCACTTCAATGAGATGAAGCAGTTAAAGTGCCTACAGTATCCCTTTAACTCCCTGCCAATCATCGTTATAATCGCTGTCATTTTGCATCTGGCAGTCCCAATAAGAAAACATTAAACAATATTGTAGCGGACTCAGGGTAACCCGAGTGGTTACCTCTCCTAATTCCCTTCCTTCAGCCGGTCAGGAACCATTTAGAATATAAAGAGACCAATTTTCCCTCCCCCCCAGTAACTGGACGACACACAGTCCTGGAGGTACAACACAATTTTATTGGCCACACACAGCTTTTATTCATAACCCCATGCAAGGGGTCTACCACACAATCATACAGGGTCACACCCCAAGATCCTCCTCCTCCCTGGGGTCCCAGTGTGGGAAGGGACTCCGTTCCCTTTGTCCCTAAAGCCCACCACTAAATCCACAGGGTTCCCCACACCAACCACCAGGGGTCTTCTTTCCAAGAGCCTCTGTGCCTGGGAGTCTAGGCGCGGGAAAAGGGACCGTTCCTTTGTCTCCCAGGCTGCTCACTGTTTACTAGACATGCCCCATACTCGCGGTATAGCGAGTAGGGGCAGAATTAATTAATACTAAGTAATTTTTACTTAGTGTTAGTAAACTTGACTGAAAGACCAATTTAGGTCTTTCAGCCTTTTGGTAGATAGCTCCCTAATACCGTGGGAGTTATCTACTAAACGGCTGCAAGAGAACATATCCGAAGTCCCGAATTTTGGAAGTGTCGAACCGAAGTCCCGAATTTCGGAATGACGAACCGAATGTCACATATTCATCCGCTTATAGAAATGTGGTTAATGACATTTACTGTCCACACAGGAAAAGTTGTGCCGAGCAGCAACCTAATCCACAGAAGGGTTAATGCTGAGCAGCAATTATGCAAATGAAACCTGGTAACTGACTTTGGGGTCAAAGGCCGGTTACAGCCTATCAGAACTAAAGGAGGGGTATTTAGGCCCAGTTCTCAGCCTGCTCAGTGCCCTGTCGTGGTTTCCCTTGTGGTTGTCTGAGAGCGCGTTCCTGTTTATAGTTTTCTACCTGGTTTTTGACTTTGGCTTTGGCTTCTCTATATTCTGGTATCCTGACTCCTGGCTTTCCTCATCGCTGTGTCCCTTTCTGTGTTCCCTGACCTCGGCTAGTATTTTTGACTATTCTTTGTACGTTAAATCCGGCCATTCTAAGGACCGGTAATACGTTACTTATTTGTCATCCGTGCTGTACAGTTCTACGTGCTGGATCAAACAGTAATCCTGACATTACGACATGGCCATAGATCCTGTAGAACTGTGTCAGCACATAGCTGCTTGCGAGAGGAAATTAGAGGAGAATGATCACCGCATGGATCAATTCACTCAGGCTTTAAGTACGCTTCTCGCTAGAACGGAGCATCTGCAGCCTGCAGCGTCTCCTCCTATAGCACCTCTACCCTGTGTACCTCCACCCACTGTTAATAGGACTCCTTGCATCTCCTTATCACCATCCCTACAGTTTGATGGCAATATCCAGGAATGCAGGGGTTTTCTTAATCAGGTGGAGTACCATTTTGAGGCCTCACCAGGGTCATTTCCCCACGGACAGAGCAAGAATTGGTTATCTAATGAATCAATTAAAGGGCAAGGCCCTTGCCTGGGCTAATCCGTTGTGGGAGAGTAATCGGAGCATAGCTCATAATTACCAGGAATTCCTTGCCGAATTCAAGCTCAAGTTTGAGCCATTGGGTAGAGAGGATGACGCCTCCACTGCCCTAATGCACATCAGACAAGGTAACCGGTCTATCTCGGATTATGCTATTGAATTCCGTACCTTAGCTTCCGAGGTAGACTGGACTAACAATGGGTTAATCTTAGCATTCAAAAAGGGTCTCTCAGAGACTATACTAGATGAGATAGCCGCTAAAGAATTACCTAAGAGTCTTAACGAATTTATTACGTTTGTCATGCATATTGATAATAGGTTAAGACTCAGAGAAGTCACCAGAAGCAAGACCAGACGTACGGCTATGTCCCTAGCACCTCAATTCTCTAAACCTGTTTTGTCTAACCTCCCTGTACAGTCCGAACCCGAACCTATGCAGTTGGGGGTCACTAGACTGTCAGAGGCCGAAAAACAGTATAGGAGAAGGGAGGGGTTATGCCTATATTGCGGTAGAAAGGGACATATGATAACTAATTGTCCAGTGCGTCCGGAAAACTTCCGCACCTAAGAACCTTAAGGGGACAGATCTTAGGTGTGATGGAGTTGTCCTCTAACAAAAACAAAAGTAGATTCCTCCTTGAGGTATCTATTTCCCTTGATAACAAGAAGTTTTCTTGCAGTGCCCTAATGGACTCAGGTGCTGCTGGAAATTTTATTGATGTCCAGTTTATTAGGGGTAATGAGATACCGGTCAGGGAGAGACCTACGCCGCTAGCTGTAGAGGCTATTGATGGTAGACCACTCACACAACCGCTTATAACCCACAAAACTGTCCCTATTACGATCTCCATTGGGGCCTCCCATAGGGAGGAGATGACGTTTCAGGTTATTACTTCTCCATCATGTCCTATCATATTAGGGTTTCCGTGGCTGAGTAAGCACAATCCCTATATTGACTGGGCTAATGGGGAGATATTAGAATGGGGTAAAGAGTGTATGGGGAGATGTATAAAACCAGTACTAAAGAGATTGGATACTATTGACCTTCCCACTACCACTCCCCAAATACAATACCGAGAAATTCA